TGGCCTCGCTCGCGCTGGCCGAGGCGACGCTCCTCGCCATCCTCAAGGACGACCCGTACCCGGCCGCCGTCGCGCAGGACCGCAACCTCCACGACACCGAGTGGATGTACAAGGCACCCGACATCCCCAAGGTGCGCGCCCACCTGTTTGCGCGCCTTGCGCTCGCGGCCTCGGAGCACGCCGCCCAGGCCGTCGCGCTGTGTCGGGGCGCCACCGCGGGGTCCAGCGGCCGCGTCAGCCCGCACCTCATCCGGTACATGGAGGACTTGCGGCGCACCAGCCGCGCCAAGGCGTGTCGCTTCTTCGGCATCGATGCCGAGCTTGGCGGCGAGACGGCCGACGGCATCGGCTGGGCGCGCGCAGGCCTGCAGGAGCTCGGCGTCGATGTCCTGGACAAGAGCAAGAGGAGCGGTGGCGGCTTGGGGCTGAGCAGATTGAAAAAGGAGTTCAAGGAGCGGAGAGAGGATCGCAGGGTAGACGGCGATGGCGCCGCATGGGGCGCCGATGCAGGCAAGCTGGAGGAGACGAGGATTCTGGAGCTACTAGACGCGAAATGGAGCCGGATAAATGATACGGTAAGATACGACATGAACTGTTTACTGTGTGACGATGTGCTAATGGGCATGTTTAGATGAACACAAAGGCCGTTCCATCGCCCGCTTCCTTGCTGTCAAGGATGCCCTCCGGGCGCGATATCCATACTATAAAACCGTACGTGCCTCCAGTGTTGGGTCAGGATGTATTAGATGCCATGAGAGCGCCGCCTGAGCGTGAGGATGACTTGGATGGTGACCTGAGCTCCGATGCAGAGGAGTCAGGACCGGCGAACCCACCGGGAGCTTATCCCGGGTCCGAATATTCCGGTGGTCGCGCGACAGGGAGCTCGTACTATTAATCATGTGGGCAGAGAAAAGTGGTGTTGGAGATTCTGAGAGCCAATAAAGCGTATCAATATTTACAAGTAATACAGCAGCTATGTACTACAGTCCAAGTAGGGAACGGTACAATCAGATTTCCAGTCGTCCATTTCCAAAGTAGGTAGCCAAGACATTTTTAAGGAGCGGAGCTCGTCGCAACAACTGTGACAAGAGTTGTCGTCGAGGGGCAAGGGGGCTTGCTGAATGTCGGCCAAGGCTTGCAATCAGGAACGCAACTACACCAACGCTGTTAGCGACTGCAAGACGTGTTCGAGTGGTGGGACACTTACCCGCCGTACATCATTCCACACTCATTCACGTAATCGATGCATACGGTGCGTGTATGACAGTCATCGACCGAGGTCGAGGTAGTGGGAGGAGCCGTGGTCGTGACAGTGACGCTTGTCGTGGACGGGCAAGGAGGCTTGGAAAAGGTTGGCCAGGGCTTGCAATCAGGGACACATCTGTTCCTATCGTGTCAGCAATGTAGACTATAGGTCTGAAGAGGCCCAGCAGACTTACCCGCCGTACCAGATACCGCATTCATTTACGTAGTCGAGGCAGATGGTGCGCGTACTGCAGTTATCCGGCGTGGGCGTGGACGTGGGCGGGCAAGGAGGCTTGGAAAAGGTCGGCCACGGCTTGCAATCAGGGACACATCTATTCCCGTTTGCATTAGCAAAAAAATTGCGAGGGTCAAAAAAGAAAAAAATTGGTCAAGTCCTTACCCGCCGTACCGCCTGCCACACTCGTTGACATAGTCGAGGCAGATGGTGCGTGTCTTGCAATCGTCTTGCGAGGTTGTGGGTGTTGTAGTGGGAGGGCTCGTGGTGGTCGGCGTGATGGTTTTGATGGTGCAAGCACCACCATGATGGCCATTTGCTCTAGCAAGGGCCACAAGAGCTAGGAGGACGGGAATTTTCTGCATCATAGTGATATAATGTCGATTGCTTGCCGAGTCAGGTTGTAGGGTAGGCAAGATGTTGGCCGAGGGTGTGGTAGAATCAAGAGCGCCGAACGATGGAAATGACAAGTTGGCAATGGTAACTAAACTTATTATTCGTAAATTGAAAAGGACTTGGTTTAACTAGCGGGAGGTGCATCCTACTTAAATAAAAGAGAGTAACTAGGTAGTTAGCTTCCATCTCCCTAGTTACTCGTACCTTTTACAAAGACATGGCAGGGCTGCAAGACACTGTCGCACCCTTGGACTAGCAAACTCTTGGCATCTCGTACTAATTAGTTGGCTAACTAGTTAAAATTTCCCCAAGTGAAAAGAAACTCGCCAATCGGATAGATTGAGTCGAAGCAACAATGCAGCGAGCGGGGTCGAGCCCGGCAACCACACACAACACCTCCAGACCAGTTTGAGCAGCAATGCGTCATTAGGTAGTTAGTTTGTTTGGCTTTTGACTTGCAAACATTATCGACGTGTTTCGGTAATACGAGGGCTCATGACGTGTTGTGGGTGGCAACCATCGCGGGGAGGGGGAGATGGCCCCCGAGAAGGGCTGCCGAGTTTAAATGGTGCCGGCGAAAATGCAAAGAGGTCCAAGTGGAGGCTGGAGGAGTAGCCTTGAGATGAAGTGTAAAAATGAACAACTTATACGGTACGTGGGCTGAAGCCTATTGTAGTTAGTTAGCCATGGCGCTGTCTGCCACCTCGGGCTGTCGGGCTGCTGAGCGACAAGGGACACTTTTGCTCCCTTCGTATGCCAGTGCTGATTCTTGTTTCGTCTCTCTTTACAATCAACTCGTGGTCTCGCTCTTCTTTCCGAATCCCCAGTCCCTAGTTTGAGCAACTCACTGCCGAGAAAGAAAGAATCAACTCCGGTTGAACCGCGAATAGCGAGCAGCGAGCGCCGTGTGCCTTGGTTTTAATTTATGCTTCATGTTACGCTTTGACATGCGACGTCAGCCCAAACGCAGCCAGGCAAAAATAAAAAGGCGCCCGGACAGCCACGCGCGAAGCTGAAAGTAGACGTCCAATACGAGGTTGTTCTTTCAGCTGGTCGATCAGGCGGACGGCAGGGCTTGTCGGGGTGTGTGTGTGTGGCGTCTGTCACTAATTATAACACAGGCATGTGCGCATGGCTCTTGAGATTCGGCCACATGTGCAGACTAGTTTTGCCGCTTCTAACTATGTCAACGACATGTCCATGAAAGGAGATTTAGAGATGAAGTCCTAGCGCTAATAAACGCCTGGAGTACAGAGGAGCGGCGCGATGTGCTCGTTCGGTGAGAAGCGCTAGGGTGCATTCAGGCGAGGTATTAGATAGTTCACTAGAATATTGACCTGAGCCACACTCCAAAAAAAATGGATGAGTGCCAGTATCCAGATTGGCTTTTTTCCCGGGTGGCTGTAACTTGTAAGGCTGGGGTTGGCCGTTTGGGGGCGGCATATCGTATTTGACGGCTGAAAGAGTCACTATGTTCAACATACCGATAGGCAGCCGTAAATGAACGATACAGGTGGTTTTCATCTATGGAAAAAAATCATGAAATTCATCCCTGTAATTATATTCGTCCTCGATTTTCCTCACATCTCAGACTTGGTCGCATTGTGCAGAGAGTACTTGGCTGAAAGCCTCACTAACCATCAGAGAGGCTGACGCTGTGCATGAAGCAGTGCCACCACAGAGAAAGGAGGCTGCATTATAAAAATTCCGGTGGACTGACCCATTTCCATGGCGATGCAACTTTTGTTGATTCCCGTCTTGTTCGCTTTTACGGCCTCGATAATCTCTGCCTTGGATACCTTGAGTCTAGACTCCATGGGCTCAGATGCCTTGAGCGAAGCCTCGCCTCAAAACACGAATTACCTGGCACCTTCAAGTACAACATCACCAGGTCTTGTTCCTTCTTTCAAAAATCTCTACGAATTGTGCGGTTTTCATCTTCTCCTCATTCGAGCGTCGTTGCATCTTCCACCCTCGCCGACTCCACCCCCCGCTTCAATACTGCGCATCCTCGTCATACGTTCCTTCTCAGTGTCCTCTTCGAATCATTCGTTTGCTTCACAATACAAATGATACCCGTTCGCTTGGCCGCTTATCTCTTCATCGAAGTTGTTATCGTTTGATCTTATGGAATGCCCGCCAAAAACAAGTCGAATAGTTAGCACCAGACTCCACCAGCAGAAAAAAAATGGCGGCAAGAGGCGATAACAGGGGAGGGACAAAAAAAGCTATTTGTCGGGCTAGGCGGATCACGAAGCGCCGGAAAGGCTAGCCAGCATCGGAATCGCTCCCTTTTTTCTGACATTTTTCATGATACGAAGCCCAGGCCGTCCTTCTCCCAAAAACCATCCCCCCCCCCCCATCCCGTTCCTCCCCAAACGCCAAGCAGCGCCCTCTCGAGTTGACAGGACAGATTTGCTGTCTTCGAGGTTTCCCTTACGTCACTGCATCTTCCATGGCAGCGGCGTCTGCCAGGCTCGCCATTGCGACGCCCGTCAATGGTATGTCACGCTCTGCTCCGGCTCGCCGCGTCCTGTTTGCAATCCCATTTGCGCAACCCGATCCGAAACAACGATTGCCAAGAAGAAGGCACAAATGAAAGGCTTGCTAACTCGTCGCACAGCAGCACGCCTGAGCTGCGCGCGGCTTCTCCGGCCGCTGTCCGCCGAGTCTCGGCGCACCTTGACGACACCCACGACCACCATGGCACCACCGTCCAACATGCCTCGCCGATGCTACTCCTCCGCCTCGGGCCCCGTATCCTCCTCGACACCAGCCTCTCCCTCCACCGCCGCGACACACCCTCCCAAGAAGCCGCGCTTCTCCTACCACATCGCCGCCTCCTTCATCGCCAAGGACCGGCCGTTCGACCCCTCGACGCACGTCTTCCACTTCAACCCGTACAACCGGATACAGCCGCCGGCGCGGCACAGCCGCCGGCGCTCCGCGCGCCCAGACTCGGGCCACGACGCCTTCTTCGCCTCGCGCGTGCACGAGACGGGCGGCGCCGTCGCCTTTGGCGTCGCCGACGGCGTCGGCGGCTGGGTCGACTCGGGCGTCGACCCGGCCGACTTTTCCCACGGCTTCTGCGACTACATGGCCTCGGCCGCCTGGGAGCACCAGCCGCCTTCCTCTTCCCCCGCCGGCAGCAGCAGCACGCTCACGGCCCGCAAGCTCATGCAGCTCGGCTACGACGCCATCTGCGCCGACGGCTCGGTCCGCGCCGGCGGCAGCACCGCCTGCGTCGCCGTCGCCTCGCCCGACGGCCACCTCGACGTCGCCAACCTCGGCGACTCGGGCTTCCTGCAGCTGCGCCTCAACGCCGTCCACAGCTACTCGGATCCGCAGACGCACGCTTTCAACACGCCCTTCCAGCTGTCCATTGTCCCGCCCAGCGTCGCCGCCCGCATGGCCGCCTTTGGCGGCACCCAGCTCTGCGACCTGCCGCGCGACGCCGATGTCACCCAGCACCGCCTGCGCCACGGCGACGTCCTCATCCTCGCCACCGACGGCGTCCTCGACAACCTCTTCAACCAGGACGTCCTGCGCATCGCCAGCCGCGTCATGGGCGCCACCAAGGCCTGGACCAGGGGCGACGCCGGCCAGGTTCAGGTCGCCCCGGACCTCGACGCCATTGTCCGCGGCCCCTTACAGCCCGCCCGCCCCGCCCCCGGCCGGCAGCAGAATCCCGACCGCGTCGTCACCCTGCAGAGCCTGCTCGCCACGGAGCTCGTCCTCGCCGCCAAGCGTGCCAGCGTCAACACCAAGCAGGACGGCCCCTTTGCCAAGGAGGTGCAAAAGTACTACCCGCTGGAGAACTGGCGCGGCGGCAAGATTGACGACATTTGCGTCGTCGCGGCTGTCGTCGTAGAGGATCCCGTGTCCACCCCAAGCAAGCTGTGAGTTTGACCAGTGTCTCTTGGTCAGGCCGTGAAACTCGCTTGTTTGTGATTCCAATTTCTTGCCTTTTTAATTTATATACGGGGGGGTTGTTGTCTTTTTTGGGAATATTGGGAGTTTTTCATCGTGTTTCTCTGGGCTTTTTAGAACATTAGACGGCTGGGCATATAAGAAGCAGAAACGCAAGTATTCATGGCGCGATAGCATTGCCCGCAATTCGACCCTATTTTGTCCTATTTTCCTTCGTGTCCTGGGCGATTGAATTGGTGGAGTTTGTGGCACAAGAAGTTATCTTCATAGAATAAATACCCTGACAATGGCTCAAGACAGACATATCGCCATTCAATCAGCTGCATCTTGGTAGCGGACTTGTAGCCATAGCCAGATGTGTATACTCAACTACGGAGTAGCTACGTATGCAAATGGCCAGTCTTGCAAGCATTCACCCCACAGTACTCGCAATCAAGATTCAGTGTAGTTAGATCCACTTTGCAGGGAATTATTGTGCATGTCTCGATCCGGGGACTCGGGTGTCGGGTGTCGTTTTCATGATGTCATCCAAGTTCCAGCGAGCGCTGATGCGTCGAATAAAGTGTTCACGCAGACGCGGGAACTTCTATAAACACGCTTTCTACAGTTTTAGAACCTGATGATTTCCATCTCATGGATGTCTACGTGGTACGTGCTCTTGGACCACCCGCGATATCATAACCGGTGCAATTGCTCACAGATAGCAGGCGGGCGCATTTGCCGCCTTTACGGTGGATATGCTGATATACCCATTTGATACGCTCAAAACGAGACGACAGAGCCAGGATTACCTCAAGGTCTATACGCAGAGCGGCAAAAATAGTGCACTGGCGTTACGAGGATTATACCAGGGCATTGGAAGCGTCGTACTGGCTACGCTGCCGGCTGGTAAGGTTCAAACCTGCAAAACGCAGACAGGCGACTAATACAGTCCATCTACAGCTGGCGTCTTCTTCTCCACGTACGAACTATCCAAGACGGCCTTTGCAAAGTCATCGCTCCTGCCCTTGCCTGTGGTGCACTCTGTCGCTTCTGCCACAGCCGAGGCGGCGTCCTGCCTGGTGCTGACACCCGCGGAGCTGGTCAAGCAGCATGCACAAATGATGCGATCGCAAGGCGGCGGTGGCGGCCAAAAGGCAGGCTCAACATCGCTCAAGGCGTTTCGCGCACTATACCAAGCCGGCGTCGGGCGACGACTCTTCACCGGGTACACGGCGCTTCTGGCACGAAACATGCCCTTGACGGCCACGCAGTTTCCCATCTTTGAGCACTTGCGCTCGCGCTTGTGGGCGACGAGGCCGCCACGAAGGGAGCGAGGGCTGCGGCAGCGCATCTTGGAGACGGGCGCGATCGCGGGCTTGAGCGCGGCCGCGGCGGGAGGCCTGGCGGCGTTCATCACGACCCCCAGCGACGTGGTCAAGACGCGGATGATGCTTTTGACGGGGAGTAGCAACGGCAGCGAAGCTTTCGACAAAGGTGGTCAAGGTCGAATGGTGGCGGAGCAACAGCCCTGGCGAGTGGCAAAACAAATCTATCGGGAGAGGGGAACAAAAGGCTTGTTTCGAGGGGGTGGCCTGCGGTCAGCGTGGACGGCGGTTGGCAGCGGGCTGTATCTCGGGACGTATGACGCTGCAAAGCTTTGGCTGACTGGTGGCGAGGATGGGCATGCAAACTCTCCCTGACATGCAATGCGCCGAGAATAAAGGATGGCGCAATTTGGTCGGCCGCAGGAACACCCCTTTAATAAAGTTGGTAGTACATACCAGAGTAAGCGGCCGAGAGCAGCGGAATATGAGATGATTGCAGATCATGGTCGAGCTGGGGCTTCCTGGATGCATTGCGCGACTGCAGGGTTCAAGCCACGCCCTGAAAGAAATTTCAACGGCATGCAATGCGTTGATTGTGATGAATACGCAGCTGCTGCTGCATCGCACTACGCAGCCCGACAAGAGCGGCAGGTCACCAGCATGAGTCGCATCAAGAGGATCAAAAGGTTGCCGGGGGCGTCTGCTGAATAAGTACTAGGTAGATCAGATCCCAAACGAGTGCGCAGTGTAATACTGGCTGCTCCTTGTGGCGGGCGTCGGGTATGAGCGGGCGCACAAGCGATGAGCATTGTTGACTCAAGATGGTGTCATCTAGGGACCACCAAACAATGTGCGCTAAGAGGCAACCAGGCATAAGCGTAACCGCACCGGCCGAATGATGGGTGGGACTAGTAGACGTCACATCATCATTTCTCCTGGTGAGAATATCGCCCATCAACCAGTCCTGGGTAGTGTGGCTCACACCATGCGGGCGAGTTCTCACGCTAAACCTTGTTGCGCCGGCTTCGACGGTGTGAAGACACTTAACAAATTCCATGTTGTAGGAGATTCGCTGGGATGCCATGGATGCCGAATTGCTGAGCCAGGTCTGTTGCGCCGAATCGTCTACTCATTCATTCAATAGGCAACCATTGTCCAGTTTCCCACTCTCGACAAGCCAATGCAGCCCATGTGTCGTCTCTCCGTCCTCGGCGCTTTTGCCCCTCTTCTCGACAAGCCAATGCACTTCCCTTTGAGCTTGTCGCTAAACACAAACTTGGGCTGAACCCCCATGACCATCGGTATCGGCACACCACACCCCAGCGGCACTCGGCGGTGCTCCCGAACCGGTCCTGCAAAGGCTTTTCAGACTAAAGGGCACCTTCAAACTAGATGGCACAGGCCCAAATAGTCGTTCCCCTTCTGGCTTTTTCTGTGGCGCCCACTTCGAGGATGGCGAAATCACCCTGCCCAACTGCCTCATAACCATACCCGCACCGCACACCCCTTTCTTTGCGCAAGTCATGTAACCGTCAGGCTTCATGCCCCTCGAAGTTTTCCATCCACACCGGTCCCGCCATCCGTCTCGTAATAATCCTCGTCAGTGCATGACTGTAATTGTCGGTGACTTGTCCGCCGTTTCTGCCAAGCCCAATCCTCCACAAAGTCGATAAAAGTTGTCCTCTTCTCCGCCTGACCCCCCGACTTCATCTTCTTTTCCCCTTGTCCCCCCCACACACTTGCGAACTGTGCGCCGATTTTGCGATTCGTTCTGGATGCTTCGTTTTGGATATCGCCTAGTTCGATCAGCCTTTGATCAAGCGCAATTAGTCGTCGTTTCTCGTCTCTGATCACGGCGTTTCGCATCTGTACAGCAACATTAGTGGCAGCCCGCCCTTCCAGATTGCATCCTGTCCGCACCCAACTCGCAGCATGGCTGCTCCGCAGGTAGCAACTCTGCTCCCTACCGAGCCTCCTAGACTGGACAGAAGCCTAAGCGAAGCCAGTCTCGACGACGTCCAGCCATGGAGCGAGCCTCGTTTCATCGTGCAGTCTCCGTACACGGAGCTCAAGCATCAGCTGGATCTGACCAAGCTTGACTATGAGAACGCTCTGCTGGCCAAGGCGTTGAGTACTCTCGACGCGACTCGTCAAGATTATGCCGTTGCGTCGTACACCGAGTCGTTCAACTGGACAGATGTCAGCGCTCGTCTCAAAGCGCTCGTGAGCATATACGGCCAACGGTACCAGGATGCCACCTTTTACATCGTCGCATTCCGCTCGCAAATCAAGCCCAGTACCGATTACAGCCACCTAGGCGAGCTCGACAAGGCTGCACATCTCGAAGCCATCGAGAGTGGCGGGTTTCTCAAGTACGTTGCATGCATGCCCTCCCCTCCTTTCCCATCTCGGGTCAACTGACCCTGCCGCGCCATGGCTGCGCTTCACTTCTGGCACCCGCAAAGCTGACATGTCGCAGGTACTGGTTTGGCGTCCCGGACTCGGACTTGCGAAATTTGGCCACATGCCTCTGGCGGTCCAAGGAAGACGCGGTTGCCGGAGGACGCGGCCCCGCTCACAGAAAGGCGGCCATGTCCACCAGATCGTTGTATGCGTACTGGAAAATTGACCAACACCGTCTCAGCATCCGCAACAACGCAGAGGACTGGGAGATTGTTCCTTGGACGGACGAGGCTTGAGCGGTGAGACTGCGATGTCTGTGAGCATTTTCTCATCTCTTCTTGGGCGAAGCGCATTTTTTCTAGTGGTTTTGGAGTTTGATTTTGTGGTCGCTGCGAGCCGCGACTTGGTTATTCATCATCTCAAACGAGGCCGTTTTGCAACAGAGAAAGCTTGGGGTTGTTGAATTGCGTGCAGAGCGCAAATAAATTCGTCAAAAACCCTAGCTATCGCTATAGATGCTTTTAAAATAGAGAGTACATTTTTTGTTCCCGAAGACGTTAGTAGTGAAACACTGGTGCTGAGCACAATACCTCATGCAGTGCTGAGAGATGGATTGCAGCCTTTCAAGGCGTTGGTGATGATGGAAAGTGCATGTTCATGTCCCCGCGTTTGGGTGGCAGCCAGCGCCAGACATAGCGCCGCCCATCCTGCCACGCTAGACCGCCTTCCACCCACAACCCACCCACAATTTCACGCAGGAGCGAAAAAGTTCTATATTTCACGTCCAGGCCACCAAACTAACACCTTTACCCTTTGTCGCCCACGCTCAGCGCCCCATTTTCCATCTCGCAACATCACCTACTTCCCGTACGATCGAGATTCCGATTCTGACATCATGGCCGACACCAACACCGATGCGCCTGCTCAGGCCGTGCAGGTTGAAGCTCTCGTGAGTTGCTTTATACCCCACCTTGCGACGCTTTTTCCCCCTCACGCCCGCTAATCCGACGTGCGACTATAGGTGGTTTTGAAGATTGCGAGGCACTGCTCGGCCAACTTTCCCAGCATGGCCACCGGAGCCCTTGCTGGCATGGCTCAAAACAACCTTCTCGAGGTCACAAACACATTTCCCTTCCCCACCGTCGACTCGGCGGCCACCGACAGCCACAGCCACCAGAACAGCCACCAGAACGATGCCGCTCTTGTTGCCGCCGCCGCCCCTCGCCAAAAGTCCAACATTACCTACCAGAACGAGATGATTCGCCACCTCAAGGAGGTCAACATTGATGCCAATAATGCTGGCTTCTACACAAGCGCCACCATGGGCAACTTTGTCAACATGGGCTTGATCGAGAACCTCTACTTCTACCAGAAGGAGCAGAACGATACTGTTGCCCTCGTCTACGATACCAGCAGGAGCTCACAGGGCAACCTGAGCCTGCGCGCGTTCCGCCTGACCAACACTTTCATGGCCGCCTACAAGGAGGCCAAGTTCACAACCGAGAGGTATGCCCCAAGGCTGTCCGGAAACTGCGACCAACCCGTCCACTAACAAAGAACTAGCCTGCAAAAGTCGAAGCTCACCTTCAAGGATATCCTTGTTGAGCTACCCATCACCGTCCACAACTCGCATCTCCTCACGTCGTTCCTCCACCAGATCCCCACTGGTCCTTCACAAGACGAACTCGAGGGACCCACGACGCTTGCGTACCTTGAGCGGGAGCCTATCAACGCCCCCCTCTGCCCCAGCATCGACAACCTCGACGTTGCCATCGACCCTTACCTGGAGAAGACTTGTGACCTGCTGCTGGAGAGCATCGAGTCGCACTACACCGACCTCAACAACTTCCAGTTCTACCAGCGCCAACTTGCTCGCGAGCAGACCAAGATTTCACAGTGGCAGGCGAAACGCAAGGCCGAGAATGCCCAACGGACCCTTGCCAAACAGCCCCTCCTCCCCGAGGATGAGTGGCAGAGGCTGTTCAAGCTGCCACAGGAGCCCAGCCGACTGGAGGGCATGCTCAACGCCAAGCAGGTTGAGCAGTACGGCAAGCAGGTTGACGGTTTCACGGCCGGTATCACATCGAAAATGTTCGCCGTTCGGGAGAACCTTTTACCCCAGTAAGCCTGGGATGGGGGTCAAGCACGCAAAATGGGAAGAATTATACCAAAATGATGGATATAGACATTCACTGGGCTACATATGCATGTTACAATAGATGACATGGCGAACATGAAGACATGCTGGATTGTGTTGTATTAGCGGCGTTCCGGGATAGGATGGAATATAATGGCATTTTCAGTCTACTTTTGACGAACACAAAAGAACGGCGTCTAGTCGATCCGTTGGGGGGTGATATTGTAAAGTCTGTGTGGTGATGGGCTTCTACTAGAGACTCTTGGTGACTGTGATGGTACAGCAAGGGATGATCACTCAGGGGGGCGATTCAACGGTCGGTCTGGTTGTGCGAAGAATGGAGTTTAGGGACAACTCTTCCTCTAAAAGAAATATACAATATCAGCAATAGCTGTCGTGCCTGTTTCTGGCGAATGTGACCTTGAGGTATGCTTGGATCTCATGCTAATAACGCAGTTATGATACTCGGGCCCTCGCCGCCTCGCCCTGGGGAACCTTGAGGGAAGAGACCAAATGGCCGGTTCTGCAGGCAAACCAAACATTGGAGGGGCAAGACAAAGGGTACTTGTTCCTGATGTATCGCGCAGCCAAGTGTGGATTCCAGGGTCTTGGAAGCCCAGTGAGCTCGAAGGCTGCTATTTTGACAACAAGAATTGATCAAATGACAACAGGCTAAACCTAATTAGGTATTTATAGGCTATAGTGGATACTAACGCTAACTAGCGCGACGCTAGTTACTAATTCGAGAGTAGGACTGCTAATACTAGTAGCTTAATCTTGTAATGGCCTCTTCTAGTGTTTTCCTACTATTAACACCCTTAACACTTCCCTTAACAGCCTTAAGAGCGCGCAAGGTAGGCACTGGGCAGCCTCTTAGCTAGCAATATAGAGATTAACGATTTAGACGATATAAACTATGCGGGCGATATGGGCGATACGGGCGATATGGGCGATATGGGCGATATAGGCGATACGGGCGATATAGGCGATATAATAGGTATTATTATCGCAAATTTAGGGGCTAGAACGACGCCTCAACGAGTATAATCAACGCCGCTACTAGTAGCGTTAATTATCAACTATTATTTCTAGCCTCTAGCTTTATTATAGCGAATTTATCAATTCTAGCTATCATAGTAGCCTTAAGAGATGTAATTAATACTTATTAAGAATTAATGCTAGTACTGTCCCCTGCAAAACTTGGTGGAGTGGCTATGTGGGTCTATACTAATTAGGTTTAGCTTATTGTCATTTGATCAATTCTTATTGTCAAAATAGCAGCCTTCAGTAAGCTCTCAGCCCAGTGAGCTCTCAGCCCTGGCCACGTTGGGCGGCATAGCATCAGCGCGCGCCAAAATACAACGAGGGCGTATTCGACGTAAAAGTTCTGTTGATGAGATATGAGTCTCAGCGATCGTGGAGAATATCTCTGCCTTTTTACCAGAATCCACCGCGGCCTTCCCTTCTCCCGATTTAGTTACTTTCCGTTGCTGGATTTGCCTGTAGGTAGTAGGAGGTAGATTTTCGCCCCGCCTCTCTCTGCTGGGCAACGCGCGCGAATTTTGCCCCTCCAACTGCCAGGCAGGGTACCTGAGGAGCATGTACCTTTTGTTTGCAGTCAGCGTGCAGCCCAGCTGGACCTTTTTCACCGCCCGCCTCCTCAACCTCCGGAATCTGACACGCTGCCCCTCTTTGTCCCGCCGCCTGATTTTCTGCTAGTCAACTTTTTCTCTCTCTTGTCTTTCCCCTCGATCCTCTCTTCCTCTTCTTCTTCATTCCTGCTCTTTCATCCCCTCTTCCTTTGCCTCAATTCCTCATCAACTTCTTCCCCCTCTACCCTCTACCCCTCCTTCCATCACACATCATGTCTGCTCCCGCCTCCAAGTTCAAGGTCGCTGACCTCTCTCTCGCCGCCTTTGGCCGCAAGGAGATTGAGCTCGCCGAGAATGAGATGCCCGGTCTTATGTCCATCCGTCAAAAGTATGCCGCCGACCAACCCCTCGCCGGTGCCCGCATCGCTGGCTGCCTGCACATGACCATCCAGACGGCCGTCCTCATCGAGACCCTCACTTCCCTTGGTGCCGAGGTGACATGGACCAGCTGCAACATCTTCAGCACCCAGGACCACGCCGCTGCCGCCATCGCCGCCGCCGGTGTCCCCGTCTTTGCCTGGAAGGGCGAGACCGAGGACGAGTACAACTGGTGCCTCGAGCAGCAGCTCACCGCCTTCAAGGACAACAAGAAGCTCAACCTCATCCTCGACGATGGTGGTGACCTGACCTCGCTCGTCCACACCAAGTACCCCGAGCAGCTCAAGGACTGCTACGGTGTCTCGGAGGAGACCACCACTGGTGTCCACCACCTCTACCGCATGCTCAAGGAGGGCAAGCTCCTCGTCCCCGCCATCAACGTCAACGACTCAGTCACCAAGTCCAAGTTTGACAACCTCTACGGCTGCCGCGAGTCCCTCATTGACGGTATCAAGCGCGCTACCGATGTCATGATTGCCGGCAAGGTCGCCGTCGTCGCCGGATTCGGTGATGTCGGCAAGGGCTGCGCCATGGCCCTGCACGGCATGGGTGCCCGCGTCATTGTCACCGAGATTGACCCCATCAACGCCCTCCAGGCCGCCATGGCCGGCTACCAGGTCACCACCATGGAGAAGGCTGCCACCATTGGTCAGATCTTCGTCACCACCACCGGCTGCCGTGACATTCTCACTGGTGTCCACTTTGAGGCCATGCCCAACGACGCCATCGTCTGCAACATTGGTCACTTCGACATTGAGATTGACGTTGCCTGGCTCAAGAAGAACGCTTCCTCCGTCCAGAACATCAAGCCCCAGGTTGACCGCTTCCTGATGCCCTCTGGCCGTCATATCATCCTCCTGGCTGAGGGTCGTCTTGTCAACCTCGGCTGTGCCACTGGCCACTCTTCGTTTGTCATGTCCTGCTCCTTCACCAACCAGGTCCTCGCTCAGATTGCTCTGTACAAGGCCAAGGATGAGGCTTGGGGCAAGAAGTACATCGAGTTCGCCAAGACTGGTGCTCTTGAGGTTGGCGTCTTTGTTCTCCCCAAGATTCTCGACGAGGAAGTCGCCCGTCTTCACCTTGCTCACTGCCAGGTCGAGCTCAGCACTCTGACCAGTGTCCAGGCTGAGTACCTCGGCCTCCCCTGCGAGGGTCCCTTCAAGAGCGAAATCTACCGCTACTAAGCGGAGAGCGCACTGTAATAATAACAGCCCAAACCAGAGTTTCCTTCAACCGGCACTCGCTAACGTGGAACGATTTTCTACACACAGCATATTGGGATACACTTGTGTTTTCAACAGCATAATATTGCGAGGCATCTAGGTTCGGCAAGACATAAAAAGTATGGGGGAATATACGGTTTTTCTTTGTTTATATGATGTTGACATCTTTGTTGTTGTTGCCTTTGCACAAGGCTGGCCAACGATGTGCTTTTTCAACAAATGGCGTTGCAATTGCTTTGGTAATGATTCCCCCCGGAACGAGAAACGAAATTATACATAGTGTGAGCAGTTGACCCTCTGGGTAGCGTTCCTACACGGCCCGTCAACCGCGGCCGATTAGACTCCGTTAATAAAGACGATTCTAAAAAGAAAAGGAAATTGTGTGCATACTGTATACCTAGGTTGTAAAGAAGTGTTCTATCGTCAAGCCGCGATGGTGATACCTCTGCAGCTCGGCCTCTAGTCTTGATCTATGTGTTGCTCTATCCATCATCTATTGCATATCCTTTTGCTCCGGCACAATGCTCTTCAACCGCCCCTCTTGCAGCGCGAGCCGCACATTGTCCAGCGCCCACTCCTCCATCTTGGTCTCCGTCTCCTCGGTCCAGGTGCCCATGTGCGGCACCAGCATGACCCTGTCGTTGGCCACCAGGCCGGGATGCACCTCGGGCTCCTTTTCAAACACGTCGAGCCCCGCGCTGGACACAATGCCCGCGTCCAGCGCCTCTACCAGCGCGGCCTCGTCCATGACGGCGCCGCGGGCCGTGTTGACGACGACGATGCCGCGCTTCATCATGCCAAACTCCTTGGTCGAGATGATGTGTCGCGTGTTTGGCTAGTAGTTGATTTCTCGTCAGCAGGCGCGTTCCTTTGTCCATTCTTGTACAGTACTTTGGTGTGGGTTGGGAAAAGAAAAAAAAACTTGCATTCAGCGGAAGGTTCAGGCTGAGAACGTCGCTCTCGGCCAGCAGCGTCGCGAAGTCGACGTACTCGGCGCCGTCCTCCTCGGCCGGGGCGAGCCGCCGGCGGTTGTGGTAGCGGACGCGCATGCCAAAGACGCGCGCCTTGGCCGCCACGTTGCGCCCGATGCCGCCCATGCCGAGGATGCCGAGGACCTTGCCCTGCGGGTCGTGCCCGAGCGCGGGGAGGCTGTCGGGGCGGCCGCGAAAGGTGCCCGCGCGGAGCGCCTGCATTCCCGCGTTGAGGTTGCGCAGCGCGCCGAGGAGCAGGAACAGCGTGATGTCGGCGGTGGCGTCGTCGACGGCCGTGGGCGTGTTGGAGACGCGAATGTTGTGCGCGCGGCACGCGGCGACGTCGATCTGGTCATAGCCGGCGCCTACCAGTTCCAGGTCAATTTTGAAAAGAGACGAGACAACGTATTGTGGAACAGCGGGGGGTCACCTTTATGGCAGACGAAGCGGCAGCTCTTGGGCAGCGCGGACACGAGCTCCTCGTCAAAGAGCCCGGTGATGCGCGCGGAGCCGTAGGTCCGGAAGATGGCCTCAATGCCGGAAAAGGCCTCGGATTGGCACTCGGTGAGGAACTCGGCCCGGTTGGTCGCCGTGGGCTGGATCATGCCGCCGATTTGGGCGACCGAGGCCAAGGCATCGTGAGCGCTGGTGGTAGACTTGTTAGTGGTGTTGTCCTCTCATTGCATGGGAGACGGGGGACTAACAGCTCGAGGCTTCCCAGAAGAAGGAATCTTGCCTTTTCAGTAGCCATATCTTCAAATGAGCATTAACTCTTGGGTCGCTGGTATCAGAGAAGATCTGTGTAAAAGAGGACTGTGTTGAGCTTCATGGTAGTGGGGTAATGTAGAGGGCGCCCGATGACGGAGGCTAGCTGGTGGTATGATATGGGGCCGACTTTGTGAGATATCGACACGTACAGTTTTGTGGAGAGAAGTGTGTTGGTATTGTTTATGTAGTGGTTTGTAATATGTTGTGCCTGCTTAGAACCATGTTGGCTCCATTGTCTATATTCCGTGACAAAGAAAAGGGCACAAGTGACGTGCAAGGAAACAAAAGAGTGCATGTAACTAGCCATGAAGAGACTTGACCTCGACCCAACGACGCTTCAAAAACAGGGAGCTATAATATTGTCATTGCAATCCGAACATGCACACAAGGTGCTTATCCGTCGTGTCTTGTTTTACATGAGCAACCGCCACGCACCGAGCAGGACGGCGGCGAAGCCGGTGCAGACGCCCATCAGCCACTGGAGGGTCTGAAACTTGACCTGCTCGAGCTTCTCGCGCAGGGCCGCGACCTCCTGCTCAATCTTGGTCTCCGTCTCCCTGATCTTGAGCTCCTGGCTCAGGGCCTCTTCGCGGATGCGGCCCTTTTCCAGGTTAAGGTCGAGGCGGACGCTGGCCTGGGTGCGGGCGACCTCGTCGCGCAGGCGGCTGCCGAGCTTGGCGATGTCGTTGGCGAGGCGCTCGTGCGCGCCGCGCGTCGTGTTGGTCTCGGTGCTGTCGGCCGACAGCAGCTCGGAGCGGAGCTTAGCAAAGTCGACCTTTTGCGTGTACGTGGCCTTGGCCGAGTCCTCACGGAGGACCATGGTCCGGGTGAGGTTCTGGATGCTGTTTCGGGGAACTTGGTTAGTTACAGGCTGGGGGGGGGGTTCCGCCTGGTTGCACCACCGCGATGTTGGCCAATCACTCACCTCTCCTCAATCACGTCGCTCAGGACCTTCATCATGGCCACCGACTGCTCCTCGGTGAAGCCCTCGTCGCGCAGCCGCTTAACAAACTTGAGCGTGTCAAAGTGGTGGTCGCGCGCCCGCGGCGCCGTGGCGTGAAAGGCGCGCGATAGGATCGGGCTATGGTTGCCGTTGGCCGCAGGGGAGAGCCGCGGTCGTCGCGGCGCGCGGGACTGCTGGGTGGCCAGCAACGGGACAGCCGCAGCGGCGAGACCCGCGGGCTGCCAGCTCAGGCGCGGCAGGAGAAAGCGTGGCAGCATCTCCGCAGTAGCAGCGGTACTCATGGTTACAAATGGCCCAGGTTCTTCGCGGCGGAGCGAGAATGTGATAGATTCGTCGAATATACGTTGTTAATGATGCGTTGTTGTCTACATGGCAGACAATGGAAGCTGTTGAGAAATGGACGACGTAGTTTATTAGTGGGGGCGGCGCATTCGCTCCAAGTCAAACGTCGCCAGTGAGGCGCAGCCCTCGTGGCTGGGGAAGTTCGTGGCTAGTGGAACTCCAAGTTTCGCATTGCTCATTGACGGACAAAACTCAACAAAGCATAAAACCATCGAGCTTCATCAATTGCACGATACGTATCATCAATTTCAGCCAACAATATCTAACATATGTGTTGGAAAGCGTGCGCAAGCAGCCAAGCAACGAGCCCTCTAATTGGTTCGAGGCGAAGTGAGTCCGGCCTCCAGCCAGGTGATGGAGGCTTCCGTCAACGCACCCTTTAATTATAGACGAGAACGAACAACTAGAACACCAGAATAAGGCCTTTGCTATGACTCCTTCATGATCCTCCATATATTGACCTGTATTCCGACAAATGCAACCGGGAGCTCGTATCGCACCATGACTGAGATCCATCCATGTTGGACAAGATGCCAGGCCGAGACAAGATCTGCATCGCAAGAGGAGCTGCCCTTTACCACACCATCCGGGACCACCGCTAACATTACAAAAGAGAGCAGACCCGATTATCCGATCCTCTACAGCGTTCGGGCATCGTAGAGCAGCTCGCCATGTTAGCTGTGGTGCGATGGGTTCCAGTCAGATACCGCTCGCACAGCAACCCGATGGCATGCTGTACAACCCATGGACAAGAGGTTGCAGGTGTGATCGACAATGCAACTGAACCAATGCGTGGCCGCGCTGGTGTCGATACGAATGGCATTGCTTCCGAGACTCACATGAATCGGCACTTAGATCAAATTTGGGGAAAATCGCCGCACCATTGCTCATGTCGGGTAAACAATAATCTTGTCATCTCCTTCGTTCCACGATTAGGCAGGAATACTTTGACGGGGGGGCGTACAGCCAGGTTAGTCGACATGGCTCAATAGTGATTCGCCTTGTTCCGGTCGCTTTGTCAAAAGGCTTCAAGGCTTCTACGCCGGTAGCGTCGTAATTTCCAATGCAACGAGGCCAAAGCTGCACTCGGGAGAGGACATGCGGGGTTACGTGGAAACTTGAACGATTTGCTGCAGATTGTAACACAAATATCGGCTGCATGTCTCGGAGACAATAGCTATACTTGTCGTTGGAGAAAATGTTTCGGTTACGGGCCCGATATCGTCTCTGGGTTCGGCACCGATCAGCTGAGAGAGATTCCGTCACAGTCACCGTTCTTCGGTACGTATGAATCAATCCCAGCTATTTAAAAGCTGCCTTGGCCTGGTTTTCGAGCGTCGTCTCTTTCGTCACCAACAACACACTCTTACGCACTATAAATCCCACACTTCGTACTTTCAATACATTCCTGACCATCCATCATGGCTGTTGCTCTCCCCATGCACAATCTTCCAATGGATGAGCCTGCCCCCTCCGAGGTCTTTGAGTGCAACAATGAGACCTTTTACACCTGGCTGCTCACTGAGACTGAGCGTGCCCACATTGCCAGCATGCTCAACATGGAGAGTAAGAACTAACCACTCTCCCTGGTCCTGGAAAAAGAAAAAGAAACACTTGGCTAACATAACTCCTCGCCTCCACAGCCAGCGAGCTTAAGTTCCGGGGCGCCAACTTTCTTCAGGACCGCTCCCAGTGCAGCGGATGCGGCAAGCACTCGGGCATGGACGACTTTGTTCACAACGCCCTCTTTGCCGGCATCCACTCGGTTGATTTTATGAAGGACTTCCTCCTGGATAAAACCCAGCAGGCCAATCCGTACACCGAGCACAGAGTTACCTGCTCCCGCTGCAGCACCAAGCACGATGAGCCCTTCAGCTGGCGGGCCATCCCTCCCTGGATTAGATGAGAGTTGGGACTGCACACCATCTCCGCTTCTGGTCAACGGGGAATCCTTTGAAATGTAGTATATTCCTCCATGTGCTTTCGGATGCCAGCCGTGTACTCGTCTAGCAAGCCACGCTGGGGCCAGTTTAGCTCATCACCAAGACTGTTTCCTCGGAACCCTATCGTCTCATTACTTGCACGCCCCCTGAGTCCGTAGTATGAAATCAACAAGAATGTAATTTCTCTAAAACTTTGGATCCAGGCAGTCATAAAGAAGGATGTAGAACATTGGGGGTCGGTGTAAATGGCGGCTAGGTCCAAGTCGAGGACGGATATAAACCGTCCGCCAGCGCCGGCGCCTGCCCCGAAAAGTACACGCTACGGAGGATGAACAGGCCGTTTTCGAGTATGAAGAAACTTTGAATGTACCTAAAGGGCACCTGTAAAGAACAATATGTGGTTGAAAAGTAGTGGTAGCTTACCTCTGCTGCACGACTCGTCGACAGAGTGAGCCGGATGGCGCAGCGCCAATAAGCGTCTGCTTTAAATGTGAAAAAGTGTTAAATACAAACATAAGCCCAGAAACATTGATGAAGGAAGCCCCCGACCAATCTGCGACTGGGTGCTACCTCCCACGAAAGAGAGAGGCCTGACAGCCCTCAGCTAGCACCCCAACGCCAGGAAATGGGAGCAATTAAGGACGAACTTGTATAATATCACGGTGCAAGAGAAAAAAAGAAGAATTTGCAGCATCGTTTTTTGGTTCGAACAACATGCTGTTGTCGGACGCGACATTGCTGGTTCCCCCTTTCAGCGTCGTCATAGCTTATCGACAAGCCGATAACGATAACGGCAGTAAAGTTCCTACGAAATCTCAGCACTCCGTGCAGCGTCATCCCGACCACTACATTAAGGCCCAGCATCACCTCAACGCTCCCGACCAACGAATTTCTCCGCCTCTCTTCCTCCCTCCCATCTCAATCCGCCAAAATGGACATGTACGCCTTCCCATCCGCGCTGACCGCGATCACCGGCCCAATTCGATGCGACGCGACAGTAGCGACACAACCTCTCTCCCCCCTCCCGGCTGACCACAGACACATAGGCTTTCGGCATCCGAGCAGCGCACCCTGGAGCAGCGCATGCAGAAGCGCCAGGTCAAGGAGTTCATGGGCGTATGTTGACAGCCCCGCGCCGGACCGCCGGCCCAGGAGCAATCGGCCCAAAGCTAACACTACCATCATCACAGGCTTTCGGCGGCCTCGTCGACCACTGCTTCACCTCGTGCGTCGACGACTTCACCTCCAAGGCCCTCTCCTCGCGCGAAAACGGCTGCATCAACCGCTGCGTCCTCAAGTGGATGGCCACGCAGCAGCGCGTCAGCGACCGCTTCCAGGAGCACAACGCCCAGCTGTCGCAGCAGATGCAACAAAACTAAAAGAAGACGAAACGGCCATATATAGGTCCAACAACGGTTTCTGAAATATAATACGACTGGGGGGAATGGAGTGGGATTAGAGCGCCACGCTGTAGGAACAATATTGTACCATCACGAAAAGAAAAAACACTACTATTGGGAGGTGGATAAACGGAGCGCTGGGGAATTGGAAAATCAGCGCTGGTCTCTGACTGGAGACATGTCGAAAGAATGCCGAAACACATACTGTAATATAGTCATATTCTCGCTGGCGGCCGCCACCGCCAGATACAATATACAATGACCTCTCACATCTACAATCTAGGTTTACCCATGACTTTTATTTCAAAATCGCAACGCTTTGTGAATACCTCCAATTCCTTGCTATTACTCCCAATTTCCCTAAATTCATATCTTGCTTACTTTGTCTGGTTTCCGCTTTTCTATGCACACAACACTACAAGGTGGTCCCAACAACCAACGCCATAATCACTGCTGCTTTGCTTTCCCTTTCGCAGAAAATAATACAAAAAAAAATCAGTCCCATTTTTCCCCGCCTACTCCAATTCATCAGCCAAGATATCACGGATCATCTCCAGCTGCGAAACAACCTTGGCCTCGAGGACGTTCTCATTTGCCCCAGCGCCAGTCTTCATCGTCCGCCACTCCATCTCACGCTGGCCGAGCGGCAGCAGCTTCTCCTTGAGCAACCGGCGGCTGGCGAGCCAGTAGTCGACATTTTCGAGCAGACCGGTGGCATCCCACTGGACGGGGTCAATGTCGCGTGTGTTGGCTGCGCGCAGCGTCGTGAGAACACGCGTGATCAGAGCCAGCGAGTGCACTTCAGACATACCCAGCAGGGTGATGTACTGATTAGGGACTTTTGCTCCCGTTCGATTAGCACCGGGTGCCTCCAAGCGATCGACGCTTGCGCTGAGGAGTTGCGAGAACTGGTTCAGTACGTAGGTGATTTCGGGTGCTACGGCTGCGCCAAGCGAAGTGAGCAGGTTTAGCATCAGTGGCAGTAGACCCTTGACCCATATTGCGTAGCAGCGTTGCGCGATGGGGGCGTCCGAAGTGGGCGAAATGTTCGTCTTGAGCATCATCTTGGTGATTTTGGCGGATAACAAATTGCTGAGGATGCCATCGCAGGCTAGCTGCTCTCCCACAAGGGGCAAATTCGACAGTTGCAGCAGGAACGAAATAGCTAGCTCACCGTACACGGGGTCGCCTTGAATAGCTAGCTGATCAGCCCAAGAGTATAGCGACGTCGCTGCATTGACAACGTCATGAGTGGCCATAATGTTGAGGACTTGAGTCTGGGACTGATCAATCGTAGGTAGCGAGAAGGCAGCCTGCATTATTGCCGTGAGCAAGCCTATATCTTCTGGATAGACTTCAGCATCGCCATCGTGAATCAGGCTGACGAGTGCGCGGAAGCCACGGCCAACGACACTATCCAGCAAGTTCAGGACTGTTTGTGTCACTGACACGGAGGATCCGCCAAGGTCAACAGGTGCATCGGTTACATCCTTTTCTCCGCTTACGTGGTATGCGCGGAGAGTGACAAACGAAGCTTTCAAAAGAACTCTGTAGTATCCGATAGAACTGCTAGCGAATGGCTCATCGACACCACTCATGGTACCGACCAGTGTCCCAATCATCTGGTTGATGTCCTGAACAGGCAGCTTAGACTTGGCTAGGCGCTGCACAAGCACGAGAGCCAAGTTAGCACGTTCTTGTATCAGCTTCAGGAAGATACTTTCCGGGCCCGGAGCGCTTTGGTTGGCATTGAGACATTGTTGCGAGACTTGCAGCATCTGCTTGCCAAACGTCTCATTACTAGGAAGGCATGTGCTCAGCTCAACGAGCAGGAACTCCCAGGAATGGAATAGAGCAATCTGAGCATCGACCAGCGAGAGATTTGTGTTTGCGAGCTCCATTTCATTCTTGAACCCATTGGCCTTGCGTCCCAGCCATCCCGGGTCAAATCGCAGCATTATATCTGCCTGCTCCAGATCGTAGTAGTAGTCGGGTCCAAGGTGACCTGGCTCCAAAGGTGTTCGCTTGAAGTTCTCAACTGAGCAGCCGAAATATTTCTTCGCAAAGTTCTTCGCAAAATTGGTGTGCAGTGACTTGTTGTAACCAGCCACCTCAACACCATCGCGCAGATAGTAATCCAAGTCATTGACAAGATTTCGAGCCAGCCCCTCGGCACTTCCCAAGTGTCGCGAATGATATAGTTGCATTGCAAAGGTTTCGGCAATGTATGCAGCTAATCTGGCCTCACGGCAAGCGCGAATATTGTCAGACTTCACGACAAGATGCGACGGTTTCAACGCACGCACGTATGAGCGCAAACCATCCATGTATGAAGTGTCCTTCTGCAATGTGAAGACTGTCCACGGCCAGTAATTCTGCGCTGAGGCAACGAAATCTAAAATTGCAAGTGCCTCTGTGGATTCCAAATTTTCGATCCTCTTCAACTTGGACAAAGCAGTTGCGAAGACAGAGTCATCAGATACATCTGTGGTATTGCTGTCTTTAGCCATGGCTTCCCGTGGTGTTTGGCCCGTGAGAAGGCAATTAGACATCCATTGCTGGCGGTTTCGCAAAATTGCGGAGAAGAATCTCCAGATTGTTTCAACATCTGTTTGCAGGGCGTAAGGCTCGCCTAGGCCAGAGAGCAGAGTGAGAAACGATTTTGAGATATGAGGGCCAAGATACCCCAAGAGGGACGGAGGTTCACTAGAGCCTTTCCCTGCGTTCGAGACTAGTGCCTGAAGAAGAGACAAGACAGGTGTGCGGAAAATATCCGAGACTGCGCACAGGCGAGCTAATAATGTCGAGCCTTTGAAGAGATAGCTCTCCAACATTGCGGAAGGACGTTCCAAGTAGCTCGCGGCCCGAAGAAGAGACGTAGCAAAAGCGAGAACAGATTCCACTTCCGTGCGGACAAGGGTGAGTTTTGAGGGATACAAAGTGGACTCTGGTGTGAGAAGCGCGAAGATGAATGAGAACAGCAATGGCTGAAACCTCAGCGTTCCACTGGATGGCGAAAGAAAACAGTCAATAACGTAATTAGCCGCAGGCTTGAGGCAACTCGTGAGGCTCTCTGATTCCGTCGACTTGCCCATCTTGTAGCTGTGGCGTATGATCTTATTAAGCAGGGGCACGACGCTGTTCAGTAGCGAAACACGGCTCGTCTCCGTTTCGAACCGCCAAGTGGAGGTGTTTTCGAATATGTCAACAGCAGCATTAGCTACAGCTAGGCTGACCTTGGACAGTACTTTGTCAGAAGTGCCTAGCCATGGGTTGACTCCTTGTTGTCGACGGCGTGCCTTGTTTCCGGCTTGTCGTTGCACGCCAGATGCGAGTGCAGTGTCGACGATGTTGGAGAAGAAAAACAGCGCCGAGTTCAGGAACTCGAGACGCTCAGATATTAGATCCAGACTACCAGTCAATTTGGAGAGCTTTCCAGCTCTTGATTCAGAGCTTAGTAGCTCGCTGCGAGCGAGGTAGGACCATACTCTGCTGGGCTGAACAGGTAAGATGGCATCCAAGAACTTGATACAAGCAGAAATGACATTGATAGCGGATTCTTCCGTCATACCCAGCTCTTCCTGCATAAAGTAATCCATAGTGTCACAAACAACGGTGACAATATCTTTCCCACCACCAATGTGTTTGCTAGTCTCTGAAAGAATGTCATCGTCTCGGCGTATCAAGGCATCCGGGCTGCCAGCCAACTTGAGGTGTTCCATTCGGATCAGGATGGCAAAGAGCTCAACAACATCGGCAATTTCACCAGGTTGCAATGAACCAAACTGACACTGATAGCCCTCTTTCATCAGAGAGATTTCCAGACGGCGGCCCAACAATGACAATGTCGAGTGTGGGTACTCGACAAGTGCCAAGCGTCCACTATCAGTGATGAATCGTCCTGGAGTCCCCCGAGGAAGGCGATACGCGTCGTCGTCCATTTGTCTCTTCTTCCACGAAGACGAAAGTGTGATCAGGGGGATTCCACGCGTTAGAGAGAACGAATTCGTATTCTCGTCTTCGTGGCTGAGTTCGTAACCTTGGAAGCCTTTGGGGAGTTTAAGAGCCAGGGCGGGCGTATTGCGCAGAAGGCTCAGCACGTCCGAATATCGTTGATCATCCACTTCGCCGGTGACAGTGCAGAGGGATTTGCAAAGCGAAATGAACGGCTGGAATTCGTATGGGTATCGATCCATAGCTTGTTGGAAATACCACTGCATAAGAACGTCGTCGTTAATAAAGGAGGATACGGTGTCACCAGAGGCGCGGAGGCTTTGGACCGAGGACAGGTCCCAATAACCTCGACCCGGAGAGAGCAAGCCAAATAGACAGCTTAGGCTGTCCGCTTGATATCCAATGTAACCGTAGCTTATTTTGAGGACATCAGCGAAGACAATTCGAATGCGCGAGCTTAGTAAAGGCGATGCATAGCCTGAGATATTCGGTCCAAGCGCCTCTGCCATGGCACCCATGGTATCGAAAACTCTCCCGCCAGTAGTCACGCTCAAAGCAAGCTGCTCTACGAATTGAGCATCCCGCGGAGTAGTGGCATTTTCTAGGAAGTTGTCAAACTTTGTTGACTCGATTGAAAAAACACTGCCTGCCGAGTTTCGTCGACCGATTGTTGGGCGCGCGACCTCTCCGGACTCGAACCTCTCTCTCGCATTCTGTTGTAAAAGGTTGTCTCTCTTCTCGGTTCGGTTATGGTAGGAGACGTTAAGCCTGTGAAGGAGAAGGGCCCAAGTAAAGATGGCCGGTGTTGCGCTCTCAATATCCATGTTCGCTGCATTGAGAATGCACTTGTGAATTTGCTCGAGCACCTCTGAAGACAGTAAGAACGAGTCAAAGGTGTCGTCAGGTTGCCCATAATCTTCGTCCTTTTCGTTCAGGTAGCTAAGTGAGCGTTTGGGTTTCAGCATGATGACGGAAACTGCCGTAGCAAGTGTTCTGAGCGGTGTAATCAGCTCCGCGATACTCTCGTGGATTGGCTGAACAGACTCGAAAAAGCTGTACATTTCCATTAGAGAAAACCATTGCGTCACAGAGCTCGGCGGAGCAAAGTCATCCCCTAAACTATCCACAAGCTGGAAAATTACAGAGAGTGCGTGAACGATTTCGGTGAACAAGGTTCGCAGCCACTCGATTTCAGTCTTCTCGTTGGATAGCAGCACATCATCGGTAGTTGAAAGCAGGCCGGATTCTATCCGCCCAGTGCAGTCAGTAAGTACCTTGAAGTACGCGGGAAGGAGTGCTTCGATTTGTTCCTTGGCCAGTCGCGAGCCGAGCTTGAATGATTCGTGCAGAGAGGTATTGTTTTGGGTATAAATTGGGAGCCGTCGGTATAATTTTATCGAGTTGACATAGTCAATAGCCATCATGTAGTGTCGGCGTTCACTGAGCAGGGTTTCGAAGAGACGCGTGCGGCGGGCATCTTTCTTCTCAAATTCAGAGGATAATTCATCGGCATCCATAGCAGCGGACGAGCCCAGGTCTGCTAAGAAGGATGCACTCTGGCCATCTTTAAGGCCGGCGGCTTCATGCAGGTTGGTGGCATCCTGCGATGAAAGGGGCCCGACGAGGTGGCGCGACGGCCGAGATTGATGCTCCGCGATGACAATTCGCAGCGCTGCGACGAGGTTGGTTTTGGCGTTCTTGCTAAGCCACTTAGCATCGTCTTTCAGGGCCTGGATATCGAACTTTTGGGTCGAGGCAGAGGTCACATGGATCGGCGCGGTCTTGGTCTCGAAGTCTTTGCTTGAGGCGTCATCGGGAGGAGCGAAGGCAGCGGTTGGGTTCTTGAGAAGTCCGTGCACATATTCGTCGGAGAAGAATTCGGAGAGCGCGCCACTACGCTGGAGATGACCGGAGTTGTCCGAAAGCGCGGTTGCGACAAGCTTCCATGACCTGTGTTTGAAGAGTTAGCATCAACGGCGAGGCCAGCAAGGAGCTGGAAGAGCTTACAGCAGCACCTTTTTCCCTGAAAGACACTCTTCCAGGGAGGGGAAGTAGATTCGGTCCGACACGGGAGCCATCGCCACTATCCTCAATATGGTGGAAGTGGTAGACAACACATCACCTTGCGTCGAAATTAGAGGGTGCTTGAATGGATTGACGCGCCTCAACTCAGCGACCGCGAATTCCAGGTACAACAAGAGCTCACAGCTTAGTGGGCCAACGTTTTTGGGCAGCTACCCCAGCCGAGAATCAGCCGGGCTGCTTGGCTCCAAATTCTGTACAGTGCGAGCGGCTTCGGCGCCTTGAGGGCCATTACAGGCCTCTATCCACTACCTGTTTTTATTCAAGGCTCCAAGTCTGCTGCCATGGTAGATACCCAAGTATCCGCGTCTGCAACGCGTAAATGCATATTCCAAGGGTAAATTCTTAACTGAATGGCAAGCTACACACTAACTATCTCGCAAGTTTTGTGAGTGCAGAATGGCGTAAATACTTACTCATGGCATCATGGAAATGTACAGTAACTACAGCCGGTCCGCCCATCAAAGGTCCACTCACTTGCGCACAACGCCCTGAAGATACATCCATAAAATTCATTAGTCATAAGGCGTTGATGCTCGCACTGTGAAGACTCCCTCAGCTCCATAGATCTGGACAGTGCGTCTTAAACAGTCGGCACCGTACGTCTGCCGATTGCGCAGATATGTCAACGTTATCAACCCGAACTGTGCAAGTGACACACCTCGACCTGGACAGTTATTGTTTGCATTCAAAAAGTCGCAGTTGCAGACGCAATTACCATGCCGTCTGCCGAGATCATCGACCATTCTCCTCGCGAGGCCACGCGCTCATCCCCTATTCCCACTGCATCCAATCTGGTTCTCATCGACAATTATGATTCTTTCACTTGGAACATCTACCAGTATCTGACCTTGGAGGGTGCCACTGTCCATGTCATTCGAAACGACAAAATCACTCTCGACGAACTCATCAAGAGGAACCCCAGCCAGCTCATTATTAGCCCCGGTCCCGGACATCCTACCACCGATTCGGGTATTAGCCGAGATGCTATCCGCCACTTTGCCGGCAAAATCCCCATCTTTGGTGTCTGCATGGGCCTGTAAGAATAATTCGAGATTAACCTATTTCTTCCAAAATGCTAACCTTGACAGCCAATGCATCTTTGATGTCTACGGTGGTGTGGTGAACTCGGCGGGGGAATGGCTGCACGGCAAGACTTCGCCATTGACTCACGACGCCAAGGGTGTATTTGAGGGCTTGGAGCAAGAGATCCCCATCACCAGATATCACTCTCTCGCTGGATCTCCCGTCACCCTACCCGAGTGTCTCGAGGTCACTTCCTGGGTCGCCAAGCCTGATGGAAGCCGCGGCATCATCCAGGGTGTCCGTCACAAGCAGTATACCATGGAAGCTGTGCAGTTCCATCCCGAAAGTATCCTGACTGAGAATGGCCGTACGATGGTTCGAAACTTTCTGCATATGCAGGGGGGTACCTGGGAGGATAACGAGCACTTACAAGCAGCATCAAAAACAGCCAACGGCGCCACGTCGGCCCCTTCCAAGAGCAACAATATCCTGCAACAGATCTACGCCAGCCGCCGCACAGCCGTGGAAGCCCAGCGTGTGATTCCCTCCCAGAGAATGGAGGATCTCCAAGCCGCATATGATATTGGGGCCGCTCCACCTACGGTTCCGTTCGTCAAGCGCCTCAGTCAAACTCCGTTCGACGTCTCCCTCATGGCAGAGATCAAGCGCGGCTCCCCGTCCAAGGGCATTTTCAACATCGATGTTCGCGCCCCTGTTCAAGCTAGAAAATACGCGCTGGCTGGTGCCAGTGTCATCTCTGTATTGACAGAGCCTAAGTGGTTCAAGGGAAGCATCGAGGATCTAAGAGCAGTCCGCCGGGTCCTAGATGGCATGCCAAACAGACCAGCAATCCTGCGCAAAGAGTTCATATTTGATGAGTATCAGATTTTAGAAGCCCGACTCGCGGGCGCCGATACTGTTCTTCTCATTGTCAAGATGCTGGATGTAGAAACGCTTGAGCGTCTATACAGATACTCTCAGTCTCTCGGCATGGAGCCTTTAGTCGAAGTTCAAAACGCCGAGGAGATGACTATTGCCGTCAACCTCGGCTCCAAGGTGATTGGCGTCAACAACCGAAACTTGGAGACATTTGATGTCGATTTGGACACAACAGGTCGTCTCCGCAGCATGGTTCCGGACAACACCATCATCTGCGCTCTGAGCGGAATTAACACGTATGATGATGTCGTCATGTGCAAAAACGACGGTGTTAACGCCGTTCTTGTTGGCGAAGCCATCATGAGAGCGCCGGACGCCAGCGTTTTCATCAGCGAGTTGTGCTCTGGCAAGACCCCAGCAGCCAAAAAGGAACAAGACCGGCCGTTGCTCGTCAAGATCTGCGGTACTCGGAGCGCTGCTGCCGCCAAGAAGGCAGTCGAGTCACATGCGGATTTTGTCGGCATGTGTCTCGTGCCTGGTGCGAAGCGTTGCATCGACAACGACACCGCTCTCGCCATCTCCGAAGCGGTGCACTCCTTCACCGGCACGACCGGCTCCGAGCCTGAGCCCTCAGTACCCGTTGCAGGTGCTGCCGACTACTACCAGGGCGCGTATAGTAGGCTCCAAAGCTCTCGGCCCCAGCTTGTGGGCATCTTCCAGAACCAGCCTCTCAGTGAAGTCCTAGAGAAGCAGAAGCTGTACGACTTGGATCTTGTCCAGCTCCACGGTGACGAGCCCATTGAATGGGCCAACTTCATCCCTGTCCCGGTGATTCGCGCATTCAAGCCCGATCACGTCGGGCTGGGTCTGCGCGGCTTCCACACTGTTCCGCTTCTCGACTCGGGTGCTGGCTCGGGTAAGTTGCTGGATGTGTCCAAGGTGAAGGCTGTCCTGGAGAAGGATCCTAATTTGAGAGTATTCCTGGCGGGTGGGCTGAACCCGGACAATGTCGCCGAGGCAGTGAATGCGCTAGGCAACTTGGCCGAGAGAGTCATTGGTGTGGATGTCAGCAGCGGTGTCGAGGAGGATGGACAACAGAGTCTTGAAAAAATAGAGGCTTTTATTAAAAACTCCAAGACAATTCGATAGAGCCACGATTCTGGAAAGTAAATACCCTTCTATTTTACATTGACGCAGATTCGTCGGCCGTGTATCAAGTTGCTCCAATCGCCTTTTGATCGATGTTGTGCTTCATTGCTGTGTCATTTCCGCAAACCTGCTCGTTGTCGTAACGACTCTGTTTGTGAACCACACCTGCACGCCGGTCACCGCCCGTGGTTACAGCAACTGCTATACTCGATCTATATGCTCTCTTCCAACATCTTATTATTCTCCTCGTTCCTTCTCGCCCCCCTCTGCATCCGAAACTCCGGCATGCCTCGCCAAATATTCAAGAATCGTGTGCTTGCGACCGCCGGGCCACCGCCGCAGTCAATTACACTCGAAAATCTCCGAGCTTGGATACCGATGCGTAAAGGTCGCTTTGCCGAGCGATTTGACGATGAGGTCACGCACCTTCTCTGCACCCACGAGCAGTTCAAGAAGAGAGTGCCACTAGGTATCTTTGCCGTCTCTTTTTCTCTGACCCAGGCCCTAATACTCTTGTTCCACCTCTTAGTCAAACAAGTCTTGAAGGATCATAAGCGTGTTCATATTGTCCATTATGACTGGCTCGAATTCTCTACAGTGTTCAACAAGCGTCTTCCTGAGCGGGAGTATTCCATGCGCAGCATCCTCGCAGAAGAAAGAGCAGAACAACGCGAGAGAAATCGGAAAGAAAATGGGCGTCGAGAGGGTGAGAGGGGTGTGGATTCGAGTAAGTTACAGGCGTGCTGCTGCAAACCCGGAAATCATAGCCGCTGGTGTGCTCAAAACTAACATCTCGCCTCGCACACCAGCTTTATTCCATGTCTACCGAGACCGAGAGTTCTTTCCGTATAAGATTGATATCACTCGCAGTGGTTCTGATGATGGCGAATTTGGGCAGCGCTATACGCTTACAGTGAGTCTACTAGGCAACAAGTACCTCCAGCTGGTCACATTGCTAATATTGTTTGGCAGTTGTGGGAGTCCAATGCAAAGCCGCATCTGTATTGGTTCACGGCCAAGTTTATGCGACGAAAGGGAGACCCAAATGCTGGCTACCATCGTCCCAGCCCATGTTCGGGCAAATGGCGCCACGAAATGGATCACTTCATGAACTTTTTCCGCATCAAGACGGGTATAGATTGGCAGGATCGCGTGCTCTTAGAGGGAACAACGCCGCTGTCCTCGTTTCAATATAACCCACCGGTATGCTAAAACATATCGGATATCTCTACCTCAGCCAGCTAACTTGGGGATTCCAGGCAGGTGGCAAGCCCGTCGGTCGACGGCTTCGATTTTCGTACGAATGTTGCGTGGAATTGAACATGGAGTGGAAACAGCAGAATCTAGCGCAGACAATCAGCCATGATACAGAGAATGGGGACAAAGAAGAAGAGGAATCTGGTAAATCCAAGGAAGGTGACAGCCGAGATACCGACGAGAACGACGATACCGCCGACGATAAAGATGAGTGTTGTGATACCGCAATTGGCCTCGACGACGAATGCCGTGATGGTGGACTATCCCTAACTAGTGATTTTGAAGAAATCGAGGACTCAAAGACTAGCGCATTCATTTCGAATGGTAGTGGTATCTCGTTTGCGGAAGGCGGTGCTGAGGAAGGCATTGAAGTTGCTGAGCCGACCCTGAGTACCGTTTCTTCGTGAAGTAGATCGGGGGGGGGGGGGGGAGGATGTGACGCAAAATTATCACGCGGTGGCTTTTTTAAAGTGCTTCATGGTATCATTTCATATGGTATAGCTCCTAGCTTGCATTAATACATTGGCTGCTTTGAATAACCCGCTCGCGTCGAGTGCTGCTACCTCCTCCTCGTTCAAAACCTCAGTTTAGGAAACACAAAGACGAGCAACACCAAGGCGACCATCAGGCCGTAGACCCAGGCATACAGTATCATCCGCCCCCACCATCCCTTTCCCTCCGTCATCTTCCGCAGCGTGCCCATGCGCCCGCGGGCCGCCTCCATGCTCTGCTCCGTCTTGGTCATGCCCTCGCCCGCACGGCCCACCGCCTCCTTGTCCGCCTCGAGCGTCGAAGAGAACCGCTGCGAGCTGGCCTTGAGCGCGCCGGCCATTTTGAGGATGGACTCGGAGAGCCCGTCCTGCTCCCTGCGCTGCTGGTCGAGGATGGCCTCGGCCGTGGCCGTCGACGTCTGCGGCGGGGCGCCCTTGCGGCGGTTGGCGAAGAGCGCGGCGCGGGCGGAAGAGTGCGATGTATGAGCCGTGGTGTTCTCAGCGCCGTGACGACCGCGCAGAGTTTGTGTGGTTTGCGTCGGGGCTGGGCCGGCGACCTCGGTCGGGATTTCGATTGCGGGTGCTGGCGGAGAAGGCGTTGGTACGAAGTGCTCTTGTATAATCGGCGATTCAGGCTCGGTATCGAGTGCCGGTGGTGTATATTGGGGTTCGGTATCATCGGTGGTCGAAGTTGCGCTCTGGCTAGGTGTCGGTATGAACCCCCCCAAAAGGTCCTCGTCGTCTGAGCTGTCATCGTCTAGCTCGTCCTCATCTGCGGCCACCTGCCAAAGATTAGCGTTGCTTTTCTTCTTGACGTTAGGTGAGTTAACTACCTCGCGTAGATCCTTTAATCTGTCCAGTAGAAGCTCGAGGGCCTCTCGTTGCTTAACAAGGAGGGGGCCAGCGTTGGCCGTGAAAGATGTCGTGCCAGCATCCTGCTCAAGTTTTGACAATCGTGCATTTACGTTTTCCAAGTTCTGTTCCAAAGTAAATTTAGCATAGAATTCCGCGATCCAGTATGATCATGACACAAGGCTTACAGAAGCCAGCTTCTCCCTCTCAAGAGAACTTCGACGAAGCCGTCTTTCGCGCTGGGGTGTTGGGTGCAGAATCGAGTCTTGCAACCGGTTGAGGATATTGGCCAACTCCCCAGCCTCTGCGCCTCTTGGATCACTCGCGATTCCAAATGAGTTTGATAACCGCGCCATGATGCGTTGTGATGTAATGAAGATTAACAATGGAAAAAAGGTTGCCGTCAAGCTGTCTTGGCCTCTCTGTTCCCGAGCCTGGCCAGTGCGCAGCCATAAATTTGGCTACGCCCCGCCATAGAAACTATGCCTACCCAACTACCCTACAGCGACTTTTGCATTCTAATAATCCACATTGCGTCGCCAAAACAGAGTCGGCTTACATTTCTTTCAAAGCAAAAAAAAAAATTGAAATCAAAATCGATTCGGTAGCTAGAAGTGCGACTTTGTGAGTGGTGCCTGGAAACGCAGATATGTTCTTGTTGAGAGAACAGCTAACAAAGTTCACTTGCGGCAACATGATGACTTTGCTTACGAATAAAACGAGAAGGCCTGGCAAGTATAATGCACAGCATTGTTGAAAAAATGTTATAACTGTCATATTTACATTAATAGCGAGCGCTGCTCCTATCGTCGTTTAGTCATCATTCTTCGATTTCGGAGCGTCTTCCTCCTGTCGTAAGGACCCCCTTAGCCTTTGTTCTTGTCTTTTCCAGTGACTTCCTTCTTCGTAATTCGAGCTTATCTTGAGTGCCTTTCTTAAGCGTTCATCTTCCCGAATCTTGGCATCTGCCATAGCGTGAACTTGATGCTCTTTGAAATGGCGCCGGGGACCGCCCGAGCCCTTGCTAGAATTCATCTCGTCAAGAAGTTTTTTTCGTAACTCGTCGCACTGCTTCTCAATCTCGTCTTCGTCCACTCTGAATCATCTGGTCAGCTCATCTGTTCAAGTTCAACCCCCCAGCACTTTCCCGCTTTCCCACTTACTCGTTGTCTTCTAGATTGTCGCGAAGCTCAAACACCTTGACCTCAATCTCGCGCTTGCGGTCATGTTCCAGAATGCCTTTGTCAGGCTGCCGTTGTTTGTGAGGAAGGGACTCTGTGTCTTTGGGATATGGTGCAGCGCGGTCGCGCGGGCGCATGTGCGCCAGGTTCCTCTGAACGTAGCCAGAGGTTCCACTACCACGAGGAGTGGAAAGACCGACGTTTTCGGACATATCTGTATGATTTCAGGTTCTGTATGTTATATAGGAAGTGACGGATATCGGCGAGAACGCTGCGTAACCAGAAGAAGACTATGCCGGGCGTTGTGTAGTGGCATGCGGCCTGCTAGAAATATAGTGGGGAGTGTCACTGCACGCCACTAACAAGCCCGTCATTGCTACCTACCTAGGCGGTGAAGGCGCAGCTATGGCTTGAAGGCGGCAGAATGGGGAGTCGTAGTGGGACGAATCGAATTGACAAAAAGAATGAGTCAAAGGAATTGCCTAGCGGTTTCTGACAAAAGTATGAGAGCCGTGATCAACTCATGTCGGTTTCAATCTTGATTTTTCGACACAAAATATCAGAAAAATGCCACACATGGGAGAAGACGACGTCTCGGGCTCGGAGTCCGCATTTGTCTTTCCTCCAGTGACCAAAGACCATATACAGAACTGTTCCTATGACGCCTGGTTCCCTCGTTATCGCAGTTCTTGTATCAAGTCGAGAATAATCCCGATCCCTGCTGAATTCAGTGCCTATCTACAAGAGGACGGCATCATTTTGGCAGACGACAATGATATCCTAGGCGAGGCGCAAGATGACGAGTGGCAAGGTTCCGGCGCTACGACCTCACACAATGTGCAGCAAGAAGCCGACGACTCGGATGATGACGAAGCCTCGCCGCTACCGCCAAATGAGCGTTTCCCGGAAACTCACCAGAAGATCAAAGATACCATTGAAGAGCTTGGCGGGGAAGTCGCGCCGAAGCTCAATTGGTCCTCGCCCAAGGATGCCAAGTGGATTTCAGCGCATCAAAACACTCTCAAGTGCACATCGCCAAACGACATATACCTTCTCCTTAAGTCTTCATCATTCATTTCCCACGATCTTACGCACGCCTTCGACGGGTGTACCTCCATAGAGCCCAGCCGACCATTCAGCCCAGTCCTCGTCCTGCGTCCATACTTTACTCCTCATGTGGCTCTGGAGTTTAGGTGCTTTGTTAAGCATCGCCAACTTATTGCGATTTCGCAGCGAGATTTGAACTACTACAAATTTCTCGAGGGACTGAGGCCGAATTTATGGCGCAAGATTACCAAGTTCTACAAAGAGACGCTGCGACACACATTCCCTGACGCGAGCTTTGCTTTCGACATTTATGTTCCAGAAAACTCGCTAGCAGATGATGGGCTGGGAAAAGTTAGACTTATGGATATTAATCCGTGGGCAATCCGTACTGATGCGCTGCTGTTCAGCTGGGAGGAGCTGCTCCAGCAAGAAGTTGCCAGACCACTCTACGGCCCTCCGGCGGGCGTAGACGCTGGTGATGTGAGCGGAGGAGAGACGACTGCAGACGAATTCGACGACGACATGTTGGAGGACTACAGTCCTGACCGTCTCCCTGAGCTTAGGATCGTGGAGAAGGACGATCCCGGCGCATACAATTTTAGCACGCCGCAGTATTCGGCGCACAAGCTACCCAAAGAAGTCGTCGATGCCAGTCTAGCTGGGCAGGGAGGTCTAAGGGAATTTGCACAGCAATGGAAGAACATTACTGAGGGACAGGGCGGCAATATGTGGGAGCAGCCGGGTGCCGGTGGCGCATAAGTTACTTGTAGCAAGCGAGTGGAGTGAAAGGAAGGGCTATGATACCATTGGCGACGAGCAACATAGATTCATGGACCCAAGAGCACGCATAATTGAGTAACAGCCGCGAATGCTTAATGATTTCACCAGACGCTTCCGATTCACATCCTCCTCACCTGGCCGCGTACTCGTTGTTTTCCTGGAGGCGAATACATGGCTCGTGCGCGTGCCCTCAAAAACGTCTGCCAGCTGCTGCCAGCTGCCAGCTCGACTTATACAATCAAAAACACCGACACTCCGCCACGGACCCGAGCTGCCACCCAAAACTCGAACAGCCGTCACAAATTTCGCAAGCATCGTCAGTATGCCCTCCCGCCCTCGACTGTCAAAGGTTGCAAAGCCCAATGGAAACACTCGCAACCGAAAGCCTTTGCCCGATGCTGGCTTGCAAGAGCTAGAACACCAATACGTTGTTGCCAACGCAAATGTAGGCCTGCATTCATTGACTCTCTGCTTTTCTCCCCTGCCTGGTTCAACCACCGTGTTTGCTCCTTCAAAAACACATCAAACAGACACCATGCTAATCCAAAACCATCAGGTCAATGGCCACGCCTCTATTGGCACTTCCGTTTCTCTCGACCACGGCCAGTTGACTCTTGCCGCCGCGCGGGGCAGCGCTGCTCCCAAAATTGACAGCGCGGATGGTTGCGCCAACTTTCCCTTTGCCTCCCAATCGACCCCTTATCCCATGCTAGGCGCCCAACCGAGCCTGTCCGCGCTGGAGTTGGCCTTCAACAAGTACGGCGACGCCGTCAAGATTGACAGCGCGCTCTGTAAAAAGGTCGCCGGCGAGACGGCCAAGCGTATGCCCACGCAGCGCCGCCCGGATCAAAAGCTAAACATTGACCGCCGAAGCAACATGGAGGCGTTCCTTGCTCACGTCACCGGGCAAGTGGCTAGCAAACCATGCAAGAACTGCCACAAGGGCCACGGGCCCTGGTCGCAGTGCGTGGTCTACGACGGTCAGATGTGTGGCAGCTGTACCAATTGCTGGTACAATGCTAGCGGCTCACGCTGCACGTATCATGGTATGTGATGGGCTGCTTGCGCAAGAACTCCCATCAATGATGTGACTTACAGTGAACAAAAACAGGCAATGGTACTGCCGCCTCTCCTGCCGCTGTCGAAACTCCCGGTGGTGACCCGGCTGACGGGCCTGACGAGACCAGTGTCAATAACCTGCCATATTATTCAACTCCCAAGGATGAATCCAAGCCCGTTCTGGACTGGACGACACCACATCATGACGAGGAAAGCAACGTCTCCTCGCAGAGCCAGCCTCATGTTCCCGAGCCGCTCCCCGGCCCACACGGTGCCTACTTGCACTACCATCAGCAGCCGCCGCCGCACATGCCTCACGGTCTTCCCAGCGTCGGTCTGATGCCCGGCGGCGGCGGCCATGGGATGGCGACGGCTGCCGCACCGCGGATGGCCTGCGACTCGATGGGAGGGCTCGTACGCCAGGCCATGCGCGACGTGAGCAGTCTGAGCCGGCGGGACCGATACATTGCCCGTATCGAGACGGCGGCCGAGGAGCTTGCCATGCGCTGGGCCGAGTTCGAAGAATACACGAGGACGCCCGAGGCCATGGCTGATCAGCAGCAGCACTTTCACGAGACGACCAGTGCACACATGATGCCCCCGGGCCACGCGCACGACGCACGCATGGAGACCATAGAGACCGAGTCGGTCCATGGGGGCAGCTCTATGTCTTGAGCTGTCCACGAGTATCTCCACTAGCTTTGCCCTTGCATTGCCCGAAAAAAAAAAGGAGTCATTTGGCATCTAGACACAAAATTTGCTTTCTATTCTCGGTCACATATTCCCAGCAAATCCTGCTCCCCCATCTTCTAAACAATCTCTTGCTCGAGGGGAACCTTATATGGGTTGTGCTTTGTAATTTGGGCGTTCTGGTTGGCCCTGTTTCTGGGAGGAAGAAAGAGGCGCTCGGCTGACAGGGGAAAGTGAAGCCAAATAGCACAGCTAGTCGTCCATGCGACAAAAGCAATAAATGGAGATGCCCTACACTGTTCTTTGCCATGTGACGTCGTAGCTTCATAACCACGCTCTGCGTCGATTTTGGCCGGCCTTGTGCTTAGCAATTCACTCGCATCACTTCCCATATCAAGGACCCTTGAATGGTCGTATGTAGGTAGTCGGTAAGTCTTTTTTTTGCTCAAAGAGAGTTTCGTAATTAAACAAAGTAGATGCATTGTGTCGCTGCTTCGTCAAGATGCCATCGTTTTTTTTTCGTCTTGTATCCCGGCTTTTCTTGACACCAAATCTTCCCCTACACCCCAAAAAGAAACCAAGAAAGAAGAGTCAAAGATATAGGGAAAAAACAAGGTACACAGCGCACTGTTGGTTTCATTCCACCAGAGGCCCTGGCCACCACCAAAAAAAAGCACAACTTAAAAAGAAAAAAAATACACCCCTTCTCCATTTTTACACTCGGCGGCCAGCTCGAAATGAAAAGCACAAGGATAAGAAGTAAAGAACCGGTAATAAAAATCGATAAAATGAGAGGAAACCAACAAGGAAAAAAAAGATGAACAAATATCCACTCCGTTTCCTCTCTGATCCAAGGCTGGTCTCGTTCGTAGGTAAAAAGAAGAAGGGCATTATGCCAGCTAGTCGCCATTTCTGCCAACATCCCGCTTCTTGCATTCGCTACGCAGGTTTCTTCTTCTTCTTCCTTGATGTCGAGTATTGAAGCGAAACCGGTCGCATGATAGGGATGAAGTTTCACCAAGTGATCCTGGAGTTTGAACGAAGAAAATACCGGACGCTGGTTTTAGTTGTAGGCTCGGGTCGCTGGCGTAAAAACCATTGGTGTACAAATTCGTAAGCCGCCTCCCCTAGGTCCGTATAGTTTCGTAATCGACTTTGAGGGTATTCATGGGTGCTAAATAGAAAACGCAAAAAAAAAGAAAAAAAATTGGAAACGGGTCGCGGCTTAAATGAGGCCACACAAGCGTAAATTCTCCTGGATAATTATGTCTATTCACGGTTAGCACAAGGGGCAAGTAGCACAAGTGAATCGGGTAAAAAGACATACCATTGACAGCAGCCATGACGAAACGGATTTGGGTAGTGTCGGTGGCGCAGGTAAAGTGTGTGTAGATTTGCTTGTTTTCGTGTTGGTTGAGGCTGACAAAGCGGTTGAGAATGTAGTCGCAAGCAGCGGCGTAGTCGTCACCTCCCTCGTAATCCGGGAAGTAGTTCTTCATGGGGCTGACAGGCAGCTTCTCCTTGAACCGGTCAATTTTGTTGAGGAACAGAATGATGGATGTCTTGGTGAACCACCGCGAGTTGCAAATGGAGTCGAAGAGGGTTAGAGCCTCCTGCATGCGGTTGACGGTCTCATCTTCGAAGAGAAGTTGGTCGTACTCGGAGATGGCGACGAGGAAGAGAATGGTGGTGACATTCTCAAAGCAGTGAATCCACTTCTTACGCTCAGAACGCTGGCCACCAACGTCGAACATGCGGTAGGTGAGATCGCCAATGATGAAAGTAGTCTCAGTAATACCGGTGGTCTTGACACGTGAGCGCAGAACGTCCTGGTCGTTGGGCATGTAGTCAGGAGCAGCGATGCGAGTAATATTGTCAAAGTAGCTTGGGACTGGTTAGTATTCCCGAGGAAGTTGGTGTGAGCAAGGACAACTTACTATCTAGCCGAGTCGTTGAGTTGGTATTCGCGGGAGCGCTTGAAACACTCTTGCACGCCGCGGTCCTTCCAGAGAGCTTCAATGGCGCCGCCAACCTCTGGGGGAAGGACCTCGCCTTCAATCTGGGCGGGCTGGATGAAGATGGTCTGCACGTGGTACTCCATGCGCTGGTCCTCGAGGGGTAGCTCAAGTGACTCCATGGCCTCAAGAATGACGCGCATGGACTGAACCGTGTTGCTGAAGATGATTTCCTTGAAGGATTCACGCTCGTCGCGGGAATAGCCGCCCTCGTGAATGAGCTTCATCTGCTTGAGAATGGTCGACTTGCCAGATTCACCAGCACCTGATAGGATGGTCAGCATGGCAGGTTTCAGCCAAGCGCTGGCCCTCGGCGAGCGATGAGGACCCGAAAAGCCACCGTCAGAGGCCATAAGATTGACTTACCAAGAAGAAGCATCTTGATCTCGTTGCGCTGCATCATTCTGTCACGACGGAGCTGGTTCTCGATCTCCTCGTTACGAGCCCGGCCCTCCTTCTCCTCTGCGCTCATTCCGCAACCCATCTTGACGGTATTAGACTGGTAATCGCTCTTGGGTCGTTATGGAACAAAAAAGGACGGAAAGTCGTTTCTGCCGGTGGGGATAATTGCGGGCGATGCTGATCGAGATTCAAAAAGCCGTCGATGAGATCCTGCGTCTGCGGAGAGGGGTCAGCAAAAATAGGGGAAGAGGGTGAAGCGGAATAGTGGCAGCGCGGGCGTAACACGAGAATGCGTCAGGAATGCGTTGCGGGAGAAAAAGCGAGCAAGAAGAATAGACTCGAGACAGACGCGACTACGACTTCACTGGGCCGAATGGGAATCTGGCGATAAACACGGGTTGAGGTTTGGCGATGATTCCTGGGCGCTGGAGCAGCGCAAGCGGCGACCCCTGGGAGTGGCTGGCAGTGGCGGACGCAGCGAGGCAGGTGAAGCTGGGGTGGTATGGGGTATGGGAAGCGGAACAAGGGCAACTTACCAGAAAGACTGGTTGCGCCGACTAAGAGGATGAAAAAGAGAAGCCAATTGAGGGCAGCGGAGGAAGAGGAACCGCGTAGTATGGAATTATGGGAGAAGGAAAAAGGAAGCGAAATGGCGTTGATGCGATGGTTGCGAACAGAAGACGGACGGGGTGGATAGCAGATTGGCGTGTGGGCTCGTCGTCGGAGGAGGAAATGAGTTTTGTGAGGACCGAGAGGGAAAAAAAGGATGGGAGGGGCCGAGCTGGGGGGTTTCTTGGGTTGCGTTGCTTGGGGCTTGGGAAGGGGGAGCTTGGAGCTAACCACTAGCAGCGACGCAGTGGAAGGTGGTTGGTGGCATGGTGGCATGCGGTGGTAGCGGCGAAAAAGGGCGAGCGGGCGCTAGAAACATGAGACCATTGGCTCTGTCAAAGTATTTACAGCGCTGGTGCAAGGTGCTGGGCCACTGGAGGACGCGGCAGGACAACAGACGGTCTGGGCTGACGCTAGCGGGATAATACGGATAATACTGGGTTACACTGTGCAAAGCGATCGAGTCTGCACTGTACTCCAGTCCCAGGTACTTGCCGCCACGCCAATCTCGTGTGGACAGGGGCCCAGATCATCGTCTGGCCCCCTGTGGTCGCGGCGGACTGCTGCACAATTCCCTGTGGCGTTTAAAATGTCTAATGTCCCCCGTGCCCACCACAACAAGTACCGTGTACACAGTGTCCGCGGTTGAACCCACTCACCCACTCACCCACTCACCCACCCTTCTGCCCTCTGCCATTCTCGAGCCATCCCACCCTGTCTCCTGCGCCAGTCCCTGACCTGCAAGCCTGCAGCCAAACCTGAGACGACCAGGTCCCTCATCAGTCACGTACTGGAGTATCGTCACCAAGGCATTCTGTTACGAACTGTATTACAGCTGCATTCGAAGTTGAACTCTCGCGTTTACGCTGCATCGTGGTGTCTGCCAAAGTCTACCCGGCATCTCGATACGAGTACTCTGTACATGACCTGCGTTTGCTCCAAGCCTCGCCATCATACAATCATGACCAAAGACTGACTACAATAACGGCATGTCGTTTGCATCCTTCTGCCGCCATCCTGAGCCCATTGCCAAAGGATCGACGCACGTCGCAGACTTGGTCTGACGTATCCTGTCAGAAGCGTCCTTTCAACACCGCCTCGTATCCCGAACTGCATTCTAAGTTATGCTTCATTTATTATCACTGGTAGTTTGTACATCACGCACCACAGCCCTGGCTCCCACTGCCGAGAATTCTCATATCACAATTAACTAGTTATAGCGGCCTCGAAACCGCTGTGGAGCCAGTTTTCCCATGGCAAGTCCATCGTCCTGGGGGGTCCTTTGCCCATTCGGGATTGCCAGTGCTTTGTTGGAACAAATTGGAACAAAGACGCTTGACAATTAATCAGGAGTTGCGGGGGCACGGGTTCCAGCGCTCAAGCTAACTAACTATGTAGACAGGAAGCGGCATTGACACCGCGAACCAACATCCTACAGTCAGACCAATTCCAGTCGCCCAACAAGGGAATGCAATGCTACCTCTTTCGAGCGGCGCCGTTCGATTTCCCGACAGGCTATTAAGGCTGTCGATCTCGGTGTAGCGCGAAATACGCAGGAAAGGTTGGGCATACTCCGTACACTGGCACGCATCCCTCAGCCGATCTTGACTGTAGAGACATTGCTACACAGGTATCAACCCATGGCGTGAATCAGCCACTCCCGACACACTGGCAGTCAACCTACTCCGCGATTCCCTCAAGAACAGACGCCTCCTAACTAACTACCATTTTGAATTGGATGTCCAAGTCGCCTTTTTTTGGTGGCATATCGGCACTCCTGTAGCCCGGATCAACCTGACCTAGCAGCTAGGGGCCCTGTTCCATGGCATCATAATCATGAAGCACCTGCAGCGGTTCAGAGCTCACGTGGTACATGCCACAGGCGCATAACACTTCGGCTCTTCGTATTAGTTACTACCCGTACACTGTGTTCCATTGGCGCTGTATTGAATATATTTACCTGCAGCACGGGCTTGCGAATACTGGCAAAGTATGTCTCACCTATCCTGGCCCCCAGGTCAACAGGATCTGCACTCAGCAACTCGGAACAAAGCTCCAGACATTGTTAGGACGCGCATGGTCCCTTGCATCCCAACATGCCCCCGAAGTCCTCGCTATTAACGTGAGAAAATCCGGGATTTGCGCTGCCAAAGAGCATACTGAAATCTCCGCGACGGCAGGCCCGAGGGTCAACATCACCACCGTGGATCCCTTCTTGCCACAACTATTGGCTGCCGCCTTTCGCAGCCAGATCTGCGGCAGAAGACGAGACAGGCGGGCTCTGCGCCCACACTGGTTTCGAACTGCAGTTATGGTGACAATGATTCGTCAACGCACTCTTGAAGTCTTGGTTCACGGCTAAACCGCGTGTGCGGGATCGCCAAGGATCTCGGGTCGGGGTTCTTGGGGTGACAGAAGTCGAAGGCGGAGCTGCTAGAGCCGGCAGCGCGGGTTGTCTCGGGGCAGCTGTCTGTCTGCTTTCCGGAATGGTGAATTGCGAAGCTTGTATCTGTCTACAGTCAGTTAGCCACTTGGTCTTCCTAGTTTCACACAAGTGCTTACCCTGATAAGGCCTAAGGCCAAGCATTCAGGTTGGTTAAGCCTGCCATTTACTCCGACTTAGCATCGACAATAGCTATTGAGACCAACAGGGCACATATAGGATAAGAGGTGAAGTTGTTGTATTGTGTATCTTCTATCTGGTTGTATGGTACGGATAAGTGCCAGATATACTGGGTGACGGGAGATCGTTCTTCCGGCTTCCGGGTCGTCTGTCATCAATAGCAGCTATAGTCGATACTGGCAGTATTAGTTGTATTTTAGGAGAGGTAACGAATGTCTTATACTTAACTAACTGCTTTTAAGAGCCTGTTTAATCTTTAGATTATATGTTTTGGAAAGATCCTCTAGCAGTGGCTAAAACGACGGTCTTCATTTTTCCTTATTGCTTAGAGGGAGCTCCTCTTAGCGACTTCTACCTAAGTCGGCCTATTTATATTACGCGGTTAGCTATAGAATGCAGGGTAAGGTTAGAGGCCTACTTATATAAATGGCCGTAAGTAATTATACTAGGACCGCTATGATAAAAAAAAAGACGCATATATAAGTCTATACTTAATTATTAAGAAGGTTAAACTAGGAATAGGAATAAAGGGAATTAGAATAAGTATAAGTAAGATAGGTAAGAAAGGTAAGATAGGTAAGATAGGTAAGATAAGTAGGACAAGAGGGATAGTATAATAAAAGAAAAAATTAAACAGAGAAAGAAAATAGTAAGAATAAGGAAGAGGTTAGTATTCCTAACCGGCGGGTTATTTTGTCCCCCTGGTGCCCGATCAGTGAAGCATTCAAAACGCCACGATGATACAACACACTTGCATGCGCCGCCCCAGGCAGCATACCAGGCTCCTTAGGCGGTTCCACTGGTTCCGTGGTATGTTGTAGCGAGATTACCTGGTGGCGCCGCTAACTAGTACCTAGGCAATAGTCGACGCAGCGCCGCAAAGGTCAAGCTACCTAGTTAGTAGAGTCGGATTCGGCTGGTTTCCCAGAACCTGGGTTGCTGGTTGACCACTAATTATGATGATTGGGGTCTGAAGTTGTGGGCATGAACTAGTTATTGGAAACAGCCCCTGACCTCTGCATACTCTGTTTAGCACCGTGGTCCAAATACCGAGGGCAATTGCTGTGAGTGGCCCATCTACAGCCCATGACTCTCCATTTCTCCAATAACTACGCCCCTGCAACAAGGCTGGCAGGTCATCATCTAGAAGAATGGAGCAGCCAAGGATGTCAGGAGGGATGTCAGGGGCTTCTAGAATATCTGCCGAAGAACGCAATGCCAATTTGCGAGGGTGAGTTTGATCGTGATTGGCTTGCGCTGTGGTTACAACGACGAGTGATTAGTTACTCCTCAGAGTGACGAAGAAGGTATGTAAACTGTATGCTGCGACGGTTTCTTTATACACACCGTGTCCGTACAATGTGCCAATAACCGGTACAGTGCAGCCTTCAAGTTTGCCTCTGCTTATGCCCTTGTCATGCTACATGATTCGCCCCCTTTGCTCGCGGAAGCAACTGACTAGTTAGTTAGCAAGCTGCAGCAACTCATGCAGCGTTCATGCAGCCCGCAGGTAACGCAAATCTTTGTCAACGGGCCGCAAATAACGACAGCGAGCTAACTATCGTGTCTGGACGGCCCCCGAGTGGCTGCTTTTGCCAATCACACACACCTGCATCCACCCCGTGCTAAGTGTTACATGACTTGCCCGAGGTGCAGACTATTTGCCTTGTCTAACGTTACATGTGTTAGCAAGCTCATCCAGATGACGCTGTTCTTCGTCCTCGAAGACTGGAAGAGAAAACTCTAGACCCTGCAGTAATAATACTCCGGTGCTATGCTATAAATCCCCACCAACGGTTAAGTTTTTATTTGCAGAGTTTATTGGCAGAAGAGCTAATAAGTGTCCACGCAGATGGCCCAAGCCCAGTCACCCATGTGGCCGCCTTGCTCAAGACCCGACACGATGGTTCGTCAAGGTTTTCGCCAGGATCAAAGACCTTTGGCAGCTATGAAGGCAAACAGAGGACAAGTGTGGTCCAATACAGCCCCGTTTGGTACAAGAATGGAAAACAGCTAAGATTGGCAATAGGAAACTGTTTACTAACGGTAACACAGCATCTGCCCTTTTTTTTGCTTCTTTCCAGCTTCCCGTGAGGTAAAGTCACTCGCCCCCGCAGTTAAGACGCTCTAATACGAGTTACAAGGAGATTCGAGGAATTGATTCATGATTATTGATATGTATTCGCCATTCGAAGCTCAAGAAAAACCAAAACATGAAACGATACATTGAACGCCGGTAGGGGAAAATGCAGAGGTAAACCAAGCCAAGACAAAAGGAAAATATCCGTCAGACATTGCCACAAATGAACATTAAATCATTGAGCAAATGTAAAGGAAAGAAAGGACGTCGCGTCTATTTAAACCGAAACCGCCACGAAGAGGCTAGAATGAGCAATGGTAAAGGTGCAGCCAAAGTCGGGTGAGGGGGTGGTCATCCAGTCTGGGATCCAGCTCATTCTCTTCTTGGCCAGTTCACGACCGCCAGTGGTCTCAACGGGTTCCCTCCCCCCCTCTTCGTCGCTGCTGTCGTCGCTGTCGCTGCTGTTGCTGCGGTGGCTGTCACGACGGTAGAGAGGCATACCGGCCAGAGCACCCCTGGTGACGGTGACGGCGCGGCTGAGGGAAGCGCGCTTCCACTGGGAGCTGGATGTGAGGGTGAGGGAGAGGCGGGAAGACGACTTTCTGGAGAAGGCGGTGGACATGCGCTTCTTGAAGCTCGGGGTATAAGTGTCCAGGTCGTGGGCGATGGAGTCTAGGGATGTCCTGTCGCGGAGATACTTGCCCTCGCCGTTGAGCTCCTTGAGGGCAATGTATCTGGCATCTTGCTTGAAGAATCGGCGGCGCATTGTTGTGGCTTCTCTGTTGGGTTGTGCAGAGAGAAGAGATGTGGCGTGTATGTGTGTGAGCAAGACGGAGAATTTTTTGTGCGTTGTTTGCCTGGCGATGTGTACTATCGATGGGAATATCTTGTGTAACAAAGACGTGGTGTAAGTTGGCTGGCGGGGGTGAACAAGTCCCAAATGAGCGATGGGAGGAGTAACAAGGAAAGAAGAAAAGAGTGAGAAAGGAGCGAGTGCTGAGAAGACTACTAATCTAGTATCTTGCTGCTTGAACACCGGACGGCAGACTCTTTTTAGGGAAAGAAATGAAAAAGGGTGGCACGACGCACCGTGACCGTGCGTACCGGAGCGTCAAACGTCAAGGCGGGCGGCAGACTGGCGTCGCGCGGGATGTGCTCTGGCATGCGAAATAGTTTCACTCACGCGAGGAGGGCGAGTGCGGTCTTTTTTATGTCTTTGCTGGGAAAAGGGAGTTGGGAGAATTACGAAATGTCTTGGGTTTTCTTTTTTGTTCTTTTTTTTGGGCGATTGCGCGACTCCAGGCTTCATCGCGGGCGAAAAGAGCACATGTGCGCGCACCAGGTCGACGGAAAGGAGCAGCGCCATGACATTCTGAGACATGATGGGCAGCGCCACCTGACGCCTCGCGAGGGCCGCACGGTTGGGCGAGAGCGGAGGCGAGCATGATGAATTAAAATAAAAGATGGCGATTTATTGGGGATCAGAGGATCTGGAGTTGGGCAAAGTGGTCCGATTTGCCAGTGCCGTAAGGTTAATTGATGAATTCAGGTACCGCATGAACTGAACGGCCTTTACTGCCGACGAGATGGGCATGTTTGATCGCTACCAGACTGCCGAGCGTTTTTGTTTTAGCGTAGGTACAGATAATTCCAGGTACAAAGTACAAAGACCACACCCACAGCTCACCAACTTGCCCTCCTACAATAGATGAACCAAAAGAGCCCCATGTCCTTCCTTGAACCTCTTTCCATGCCAATCTCATGCCAATTTCCATCATGAATCCATTGCAACAGTATTCACATCGCAGCGTCCGCATCTGCGCTGTTCCCTGACCGCATCCGTCTCGAACCTGTTTGCCTGGCTGGGAGACTACATACTACATACCCGTACCCGGGTACTTTGCTCCGTCTTCCCGAGACCAGAAAATCCCCCGCGACTTAGCAAACAAAGCTTCAACCATTTCTCTCTTCCTTACCGCCCCGGTCGCCCAATAGCCCATCGCATCGCCCCGTCGTCCGATTGCCGGTCCTCATCACATTCGTTCAGCTTCTTTGTTTTTGCGTCCTGGCCGAATTGACCACCCCCTCCCGCCGGAATCATGTCCATCCCCATGACTAGACTGGGCGGTCGCGGTACGGCTTCCTCCCCGGCGCATTGTGCTGTGCCTGTCGCTAACCCTCGTCGTCCGATTTGCAGCCTTCAACGCCGACGACCACGGCGACGACACTGAGCGCGAGTATGACCGCTTGCGCGACCTCGCCCGCGGCGAGGCCGACAAGCGCAATGCCTGCTACGACAAGGTTTGGCCCCCATCTCCTCCGCCGCCTCCTCCTCGCCCTCCGCTAACTTCCTCCAGTCCCGCAAGGCCTACGACTCGGGCGACGGCGCCCGCGCCAAGGAGCTCTCCAACGAGGGAAAGGCGCACGACGCCAAGATGGACGACTTCAACCGCCAGGCCTCCGAGTTCATCTTCCGCGCCAACAACGCACCCGGCCGCGTCGACGCCGACGCCATTGACCTCCACGGCCAGTTTGTCGAGGAGGCGGAGCGCATCCTCGAGGAGCGCATCCGCGCCGACCGCGCCCGCGGCCAGACGCATCTCCACGCCATTGTCGGCAAGGGCAACCACTCGGTCGGCCACGTGCAAAAGATCAAACCAAAGGTCGAGGAGATTTGCCGCGAGCTCGGCCTGCAGTGCCGCACCGAGGAAAATGCCGGGCGCATCTACATTAACCTCCAGGGCGGCGAGCCGCTGCCCCCGCAGCAGCAGCATGGCAAGCCTCATGGCGGACAGCAGCAGCATGGTGGCCAGCAGTATGGTGGTGGCCAGCAACAGCATGGCGGCCAACAGCAGCACCATGGTGGCCAGCAGTACGGTGGTGGCCAGCAGCAGCACCAGAACCAGAACCAGGGACAGAACCAGCAGCAAGACCAGATTGCCGCCATGGTCGAAAAGGTCCTCCCTCGTATTCTGCGCAAGCTCGAAAAGGCCTGCTGTACCGTCATGTGAAGAAAGAGGCGGGCGACATTTGGGGTTTTGTTTTGGCTATATACCGATTATACCATGTTGCTTTGTTTTTGGATACCAAGGCTTTTAGGCGCACGAGGGTTGGACTGCAAAGTATATACCTCAAAGTATATGCGTCATCTGAATATATTACTTGATACTAAGGAGAAGGTGTGTATGCGATCCACATTGATTTCGTCTAATTTGTTTTCGTCATCCCCCTCGCCCCCATCTTACTTATCCTGCCCTGCCCCTATCGACGTTGGCGACGCTCGCGCTTCCGCTCGCGACGAGTCTTGCGCGGCACAGACTCCGCAGGATACTGGGCCATCGGATACCCGTTCTGCGAGTGCAAGTTGCCATGTGCAGGCATCGACTGCGCCTCGACGTCGGCCGGCTTCCTCTCCTCTGGCGGTGCTCTCGCCAGCGCAAAGCCCAGTATCTCGCAGATGAGCACGACGATGACCTCCATGGCGACCTCCATGGCCAGCATAAGCCACGCCGTCGAGCGGACGTGCGCAAAGACGAGCAACTCGCTGTACACGAGGCGCACCAGCACAAAGGGCAAGCAGGCGATGACGGCGAAAACGACGCGGTGCTCCCCCTGCGCGACGTAGCCCTGGTTGACGACGGCGAGCAGGGTCTCGAGGCAGAGCAGCACGAAGACGACAATCATGAGGCCGCTGCCGACGCGGCTCGTCACGGCGTAGCTCACCTGCGGCGCGCCGCCGGCGCCGATGGTAAACGTGGCGCTGAAGCCGCCGACGATGAGGAGGATCATGGCGACGAGCATGAGGGTCTGCACGGCGCGGTGGAAGATGGGCTTGACGATGTCGTGGCCGTTGCGGCGCATCGACTCGAACGTGCGCGAGAGCAGCCCGAGCAGCATGAGGATGAGCGGGCCGAGCCCGAGCCCGGTGAGGACCAGCCAGCCAATGTACAGGTTCTCGTCGGTCGGCGCGGAGATGGTGGCCAGGCGCAGCGCGCTGCCGACGATGCGCACGAGCGCGAGCGCGAGCAGGTACCGCCAGCCGGCGGATTTCAGGAAGCCGTGCTTGAGGCAGAGAATGACGGCGCCGACGAGGAAGAAGGTGTAGAGGACGATTTGGGCGACGGCGAGGCCATCGTATGTGTCGAAAGGACGATGCATTTTTGCCTTTGGCCGGGGGGCGGGGGGGCTTGTATTTCCCAACTTGGGGGTACTTTCAAAGTATGATAGTTTGGCAAGTAAATATCTGTGTGGATGGTCGTGAGAAAGCAGCTTTGGTAGACAGGACCATTTGGTCAAAAGCTGAAGGCGCAAACTTGTATATATAGACGGATAAATTTTGCGGCCTCCCATCCTTGCAAACCGCTGGCCGGCAAAAGCGGCACACTGCCCCTTGCTTGAAAGCGGGTTATAAAAATTAAATCCTACAACCATCGGATTCACGAGAGACACTTGCGCGTTGTTGAAATCAGCCTGGCCCCCATCTTGGCACAGCCCTACATAGAATATGCGTGGGTGCGGACGCGGCCACCGAAACGTTTACCCAAAGCGGCAACAGCCTCGTGGGGATACTTGCGTGGCGGCGCTGATCCCTGCGAGTAGGGCTAATCCGCTTTGGGTCGCAATCGGCGAGAAATGAAGGGGGCTGAGCAGAAGAAGACGAAGAAGAAGAAAAAGAAGAAGAAAAAGAAGAAGAACAATTGGGGTTTGACTAATAAGGGATGCCAGCATCGGGTATGGAATGGGGCGCAATAGGAAAAAATTGAGAGCGTGGGGGCAAGTATGACGATGCAAAATGAGCTCGACACCCAGACGCTGCAGCAGCCACTCCCAGACATAATTGTTCCATCCAATCAACCAGTACCATAAGCACCAAGAGCCTCTACGCTTAATGCATAGCGAATCAAGGGTTTTCCCGAGGCCTCGAGGCAGCCGAGCCTTCGAGTGTGTGTGTGTGTCACTGTGTGGCAGCAATTGAATAAAAATTGGGATATCTCATAGTGCTTTAGTCTTTCATGTGATGTACATCAGTCAATGTACCTAGAAAAAGCCACTCTTTTCGGGGGTTTCCTTGTGCGCTCATTCTGTGCCCGACGTTGTCAGAACTAACAACCATTTCCGCTTCCTTTTAGCCCTCCAAAGAGGCCATCGACAAGGGAGCGTCCTCATCAACAAGGGGCCCCAAAGAGCCAAGAGGTTATTGACGACGGGTGTCCAAAAAAGGGTTGACTCACAAGGCTGTATGTATGAAGGTACTGCCCTAGCTACTCTGGCACTTTTTGGTTTGTACAACAATATTAGTGTATTTCTCTTTTTCTTTCTTACAAAAAAACCCCCCCCCAAAACAAATCATGATCTCTTGTACCGTCTGTTTGCATGTCGAGTCACAACATCATGGGAGCTTGATGGCGAAACCCGAAGATGCGAATCTTGTCTCGTGGACCAGTAGCTGCAGCTGCAGCTGCTCGGCGCATTCACCTTGGTTGAGCTGCTGGGCCGTTTCTATCAAGACAATTCATCATAAATGACAATTTTTATTGGAAGACGCCACTAGCGTGTACGAGTTTGTTGGTACGTGTACGCTCGTTTTGAAGTATCTTGTGTATGTCGGCCACTGGTGACTCGGGCTCAGACTCGAGGTGGTCTCGAGCGTAGCAAGCGTATACTGGCTGTGTGATGATGCAGCCCAGACTATTGACGTCCTTCGATGGGCGATACGCTAGGCTTTGTGTATCGAGTGTCCTGTGAAGCCAATGCGTCTCTGGTTTGTGCACGGGGATATATTGCTGAATCTTCTTATGATGAACGTGTCGAAGGGCTAATGGCCGAAGTCTGATGATATCACTGGGCAACAATGTTTTCGTGTACCTGCTACCAAATTATCGAGTGGACGGGAGGATGATGCGACGCCATGTGCATGACACAGCCGTGGGAACCTGTGCCAGCCACCCCAGATAGAGATAGCTTCCCTTTTAGCATCGTCACCCTCATATAATAAAGATCTCATCCAGGCTCATACACATTTGCTGTTTCTCGTGTCTTTGCATGGCTCGCGATATCCCTCGCCTTTTTGGGAATGCATTCCTCCGTTTGGTGGTGTTTTGTTCGGCTGCCTGCCGAAAGCCGATTTCACCCCTTTCCTTTTCTCTTCAAGCAAATTATCACCCCCGCCCTCGCCACCACCAACCTCTTATTTTCATTTGAATCTATAACGGCCTGTTAATCCTATAAGAAGGAAAAATAGTAATAAGGAGATAGATGAGTGGAATAGTGAAATTAGCATGAAAACGAGATAATAGGATTCCTAAGCGGCCGTTTATTTTGTGGTTGGTACCTGATTAGCTAAGCCTCGTTGACGCGCCGTGGGTCGCATCAAACGCGTGCGAGCACTTTCACGTACATTGATTGTATTACCCCCTCCATCCTTGCCTCTCCCGCGTTCCTTCTCCAACTGGTCCATTTCCTTTCATATGATCCGGGGAGTGCCTAATTCACCTACTAGATCCTTTGCTGCGCTCCAATGCCTGTTTCTCTGCCACACCGTCATCACTGCTCTGCCTGTCAACTATCGCAGAGGGCGCCGATTTCTATCTAGTGATACTGCTGTTACTGCTGCATCACATTCAATGCTTGCCAAAGCCAACAAGAAATACGAGGCCAACCGGCCTCTGCCCTCGCAGTTTACCTCCAAAGCGACCGACCTCGGCAAACAACTCTTTCCATCCAGCAGCCCCAGTCACACTCAGTCGGACATTCGGGACCAGCTCAAATGGCGTGGACCGCCGCGCTTTCTTAACTCGTCACCCTCGACAGCGCAGTCCAGACGACCACAATGCAAGCAGCCAGACCACGAGCCAGTCTGTTACAAAGGCACTACAAGCGGCAACGGAGCGGGCAAAGGATCATTGGCTTCTCTCTACCGCAATTCATCCTCTTCCTTCCAGGATAACTTCATTGACTTGACAGGAGATGACAATACCAAGACGCGGCAACCGGTAGTTGAAATCCTCGACGGAGATTTTAGCGACGACAGCGACTTCGACATCGATTTGAAAGTACCATCGGCCATTCCACCCTCCAAAGTTACTTCTATTTCCAATTTGGCAACATCGAGCCGACCTCCAGAATCTTCAGAGCAAGAGATACCGTGGTCGTCATCGCCAGCGTCCCATCTTCTACCACCACAGAAGCCTCGAAACCAGTCAAATCCATCAGGAAACAGCGGCTCTTTGAAACGAGAATCGCTAGAGCTTCATGACGATTGCGTCGAGTTGCCTGCACCCAAGAAGACGAAGCCTGATGACGATTGCTTCGAGACGCCTGCACCTCAAAAGGCGAAGAAGAGGGCGCTGCCCTCTGGCTGGCAGCGAGAGAATGTTTTAGAAGAAAAAACGTTAGACACAGAGCCACAGACGCCGGCGGAGAAAGGACAGGCTCGAGGCCTATGGGACCCATCGGCCAGTACCGTAAAGGAACTGAAGAAGCAGCTCAAAAGCCAGAGAAGCACAAAGCAGGAAGTCTCGGAAGCTGAAGCCTTGCCAGCTCAGCGTGAGCCATCTCTTGCTCCTGCTCCACGCTCAGGTGCCATTGCGTTAAGTAGTGAGCAGCTGCATGTGAGGGATCTCGTGGTCGACCAAGGGCAGAGCGTCTTTTTTACCGGACCTGCGGGCACGGGTAAATCGGTGTTGATGAGAGCTATCATACAAGCGCTCGATGACAAGCATGGGCATGGAACCGAGCGTGTGGCAGTCACGGCATCAACCGGGCTTGCTGCATGCAATATTGGTGGCATCACACTGCACAGCTTCTCGGGCATTGGGTTGGGCAAAGAGAGCGCCACCGCTCTGGTCAAAAAGGTGCGAAGAAACCCAAAGGCCAAGAACCGATGGCTCAAGACAAAGGTTCTAGTTATTGACGAGATTTCCATGGTGGATGGAGATTTATTTGACAAGCTGTCGCAAATTGGGCGGACAATACGCAACAATGGTCGACCATGGGGAGGAATTCAGCTTGTGATTACAGGAGATTTTTTTTCAACTGCCGCCTGTTCCTGACGACTCAAAAGCCCCGGTCAAGTTTGCTTTTGATGCGGCAACTTGGACTACATCGATAGACCACACGATTGGACTAAATCAGGTATTTCGACAGCGTGACCCGGAGTTTGCTCGCATGCTCAATGAAATGCGACTGGGCAAGATTACGGACGAGACGGTACGGGCATTCAAGGCCCTGGAGCGACCGCTCAAGTTCGACGATGGTGTGGACTCTGCAGAGCTATTCCCTCTTCGTGCACAAGTTGAAGGATCCAACGAGAAGCGACTACGAGACTTGCCGGGGGAGATACACAGATTTGAAGCTGCGGATACAGGAGACCCAGCGGTCAGAGACAGACTACTCGCCAACATGATGGCACCCAAGTCGATTGATTTGAAGGTGGGTGCACAGGTGATGCTCATCAAGAATCTGGATGGGTCGCTGGTGAATGGATCAGTTGGTCGTGTGATTGGATTCTCGGACGAGAAAACGTTCCAGAAGAATAAGGGCATAATGGACGACACAGTTGAGGATTTAGCGACAAAAAGGGCACGCAAGAAGCTTGGCAGCTTCAGCCGGGACAGCGAATTGACGACATCTTGGAAGGAATATCCGATGGTGCAGTTTCCTTCGGGATCTGACGACAGGCTGGGACGTGTGCTTCTGTGTCAGCCGGAAGAGTGGACAGTTGAGCTTCCAAACGGTGAGATTCAAGCGAAGCGAACACAGCTGCCGCTGATCTTGGCGTGGGCACTGTCGATCCACAAAGCACAAGGGCAGACACTGGAGCGAGTGACTGTCAACTTGAGCAGAATCTTTGAAAAGGGCCAGGCGTACGTGGCGCTCTCTCGAGCAACGTCGCAGGATGGTCTTCGTGTATTGGGGTTCGATAAGCACAAGGTCATGGCGCATCCCAAGGTGGTGGAGTTTTATGACAAGCTGTACTCGGCGGCGGAGGCGGGTATGCGACGACCGAATTCGATATTGGACTTTGTGGCAGCTAGAAGAGGCATATAGCTATAGCGAATGATGTGAATATAGAAATTTGTATATTTGTATATTTTATTTATGATGGATGCCGGCTTGTCAGGGAGATGTGGTTGTCGGGGTAGTTGTGATGATACTCGTGACATGCTGGTGCCTGTTGCCCAACCCTCTTTGCCAAACGCAGCAGCCAGCGGTACAGAGTCCTGGTGCCTATTATCGTTGGTCGAGTGGTATTGATCTCATATAAAGTACTGGTGGGTCTAGGTACTTATTACATTACAGGCTGCACAATGAGCAATGAGCAATGAGCAATGAGCAATGAGCAATGAGCAATGACTCTGCCGGCGAGCGGGTCCAGTTATCTGTGTCTGCATGTCGCAGAAGCTGCGGGAGCTATTCCAGGCGACAACGCAAGCACCAGCTCGGCATGTACTGGTCCCTCAGTCTCGAAGCAGCTACAAATTACATACGCACGAAATTAGTATCGGCATAACTTATTCACAGTCGTGTGCAAATTTCGGCACGGAATTACAAAGTTGCAGCTGTAATTACACCAAAATGCGCCCCCCTCTACCAGGCTCCCCTGGTACTACCTAGTACTAGGTAACGGTTAACTTTGCAACTTTGGCGGGGAGCCAGAACAAGCTGCATTTCCTTCATTCAGGCTTCGGGGCGAGATTTCTTGCTCTCCTCCTACATCTTCCAACCCCAACAACTCTCCTTCCCGAGACCCGAAATCCTCGCGCGCGAAAAACTACACGACGATATTTATTGCTTGATTCTCGTCTGTTTTCTCTGCTTTGCCTACCCGGCGGGAGCCGCTCCTGTCCCTGGGGCGCTACCAACTCGAGCAACTTGGCCACGAGACCTCTTTTTAATTTTCTTTCTTGCCGGCCTCTGACCGATCAACCGCAGCCAGGGCGAGAGCATCGGCGCCGACCCGCCGAAGACCAGGAAACCAGAAAGAGCAACAAGGAGCAGGTACTCGGTTACTTGGGCAACTTCCATCTCCTTCCTTCCCCTCGTGCTCGTCTCCGATCCACCGACGGCGCGCGCGAATCACGACAATCGAAATCGGCCGGCAGTCCGCAAACGACGAGACAGCTCTCCAACTCCCGCAAGCTTTACAATCCCGACTTGATCAGAAAGTCCCCATTCAATCTACCGCCACCGTCAACCTTGATCGCCTAATCCCTCCTTCATGCACGAGATTCTCGACTAGGCGCAGTCGTCTCTCTCGTGACTATAGCTTGCCCCCCCCCCCCTGTTTGGCAACGTCCACCTATGCCGTCATTCGGAACCAAGGGACGACTCAATACAGACGACTGACCGTCCAACGACACTGCAAACCACCCAACATGGCCAACGAGTTTATTGGGCTCCAGATGCGCGTCATCCTGCGCGACCCGCCAGGATACCAGCTCATCGGCACCGTCCGTAACGTCGAAGCTGGCAGCAGCCTCAGTCTCACCAATGGTAAGATATTCCCTCTTCCCTTGCCCATCTTCAGTCATCACACTTACACTCTCACCCAGTCTTTATAGTTGCGACGCAAGAGCATATCCCCGAGATGCACATCAAAGCTCACAACATTACCGACCTCTCGCAACTACCAAAACAGCAACAACCGCCGCAGCAGCCGCAGCAGCAGCCTCCTCCACCTGTGTCCGATACCTCGACACCCACTCAATCAACAGAACATGCCACCCAGACGACTTCGCCCACGAAATCAAACTTTGTTGATCCTGCTATCCTGAGCATGGGGCGCCGGCCAGACTCGGGGCCTCCATCGGGCAGTGTGCCCGTCAAGGCACCTGCGCACACTCTCGACCCGGGCAAGCCATACCCAGTCCTTGCACCAGAGGAAGCCGTTGTACCAGAGGTTCAATCAAAAGGAGATCTTGACCGCCTCTTCAAAAGCATGAATGCACCCCAAGCACAGGAATCTAAAAAAGTGCCGACAGCCTCCGAGGCGACACCGCAGAAGCGCAAAGCCCGAAAGCGCACCTCTCGACAGCTGAAGCAGCCTGACCACGATGACGAGGGCGCCGCTATTCTTCCCGGTAATCACGGCAAGGGCTGGCGACAGACGCCGATACTGCAGAGTACATCGTCTTTTCAGCTATTCAAGACTCTCAAGAAAAACGGCAAGACTGACAATGGCTGGGCTTCGGAAGATGTCACGGAAGAGCTGCCCGAGTTTGACTTTGAGAACAACCTCGCCAAATTTGACAAGCGCACGCTGTTTGACCAAATGCGCAAGGAGGACGTTGTTGACGAGGCTGACCGGCTCGTATCGCACAACCGAAAGCCGCAGCCCGGTACGGCAGGAGGCAAGAACCTTCACTACACAGAGAACGTGCTAGACTTGCCTGCAAGCACAAAAAATGCCGATTACTGGAACAGCGAGGCTGAAGTCGGAGGCGTTCACGAGAATGAAACATTGAGCGGCCGTGAGCTCAAGGGCGGACAGGCGGGCAGACGAGCAGACAGCAAATCAGGACCAAGTCGTCGATCACAGTCACGCAAGGCGAGCGCTGCTATGGGCGGACAGCCACTGTCACGAGTCAACTCGAGTGTGCGACAACCAGTGCCTTCGCGTCGGTCCAGTCCACGATCTGGGTACCGAAGCGCTGAGGTACAGCCGCCCAAGGTCCAGCAGCCCGGCCTCTACCTGGTTCCGTCAAATCGCCGAGTCGAGGCCATTTCGACGCTGCAGATGCTCAACCTGGAAAATATTGCGGCCAACGAAGTTGGATTCCCAGAGAGTTTGATGGCTGAGAATGCCGGCCGAGGCATCGCCGAGGTGGCAGTCAAGGCGCTTTCCGACCCTGCACTCAAAGTTCGATACGAAATGGCTGGAGCGGCGCTGTCGCAGACGGCGAACGTATCGCTGCCAATCAATCCGACTGTTGTGATTCTGGCGGGGAACAACAAATCAAGTATCCGTGCGCTCGTCGCTGGCCGTCACTTGCGTAACAAGGGCTACGATATCATGGTTTGCCTGGTGGGCATCGAGCGAGAGCGCGACCTGCTCGAGGAGCTACGTCGCCAGGTGCAGCTGTATCGCAGCTTTGGCGGCAAGGTTCTGAAGAAGCATGACTTTTTCGAGCAGCTGCGCAAGACGACGTCGGCTGGTGGTGCGGCAACTGGGACAGGTAGCAATGGCACTGGGCGGGTGTCGGTGTCTCTGATTATTGACGCTCTCCTGGGACTCACAATGTCATTTGAGGAGCTTCGCATCGGAGATCAGGCAACAGTCTATGAACTGATGGAGTGGGCCAACCGCAACGAAGCGTTTGTGCTGTCGATCGACGTGCCGTCAGGGATTGATCCGAGCACCGGCAAGGTTGCCATAATTGACGGGTCGCCGCTCTTTGTAAAGCCGCGATACGTGGTGGCTGTCGGGGCTCCGAAGCGCGGGCTCGTGGAGGCGGTCATGCCCCGGGATGAGGACGATCCGCTGGCAACGAGCGGGGGTGTCGCGCAAGACGACGAGTGGCGACTGTACATCGTGGACATGGGCCTAGGCCATACAGTCTGGCGCAAAGCTGGGACCAAGGTGCGCAAGGGCATCGACTTTGACGGAAAATGGGTACTGGAGATGAAGTATCGAGGGCCGGACGAGGAGTCGGATGACTACTGATTGGGAGGTTATCAATTTTCCTTTGTGACTTGCATACTGGTGGCGTTTATGGAAAGGGGGGGATGCTATATTAACATGGTTGCCAAAATAGAGGTTGGGATCCTCTTGTTCTTTATTATACATGTCCCTTTACTTATTATCATTTTTGTTACTCTTTTGCATGGAGGGCCTCTCGTTTTCTTGCACTGTGACAGTGAAAGGTCATCCGATGTCCAGACCACTATCATCTCTCTCTTGACTCACTCTCGTTTGCAGCAAAGCAACAATGGGACGGAACGTTATGAGCCGGGATGCCGAAATACTCATCATTCTGACAGATGACAACTAGACCAGTGCTAAACTCAAGCAAGGTTTATTGCTGTACTCTATGAGGTAAATAATTTTTCTAGCTCCAATGCAAAGCCTATTGACCAACACGCATGGACAATTCAGACTGACATGCTCCATCTTCGGCCCATCCAACGCATAAAACGCCCAACAAAAAAATAAAAAATAAGACGACCCAAAGTACTTTACGTATTATTATAGAGATGCCTCCTTGTGAATCTCGATGCCGGGCGGCGCGCCGGTGAGTGCCTTGCATTGGGCGTAGATGACAAACTGGCCCGAGACCAGACCGCAAGTCATGATGACACGGGGCGCCAGACCGGTGGTGAGCAGGCGGACAGGGCCAAACTCGCGGGCGAGCTGGAACATGCGGCTGGTGGCGCCCTGCTTGGGGTCGCCGGCGCCCTTGTTGATGGCGGAGAGTAGGGTGTCGGCGGGGTGCGAGAGCACGGCGGCGGCGACACCGGCGGCGATGCCCGACGTCAGCTCGATGCCCGTGTTTTGCAGCTGGGTGAGCTTTGCCTTGCGCTCGGTGCCAATGGCGCGGTAGATGACCTCGTTGACGGCCTCGTGCACGGTAAACTGGCCGACGGCGTAGGGGACCTGCTTGAAGAGCAGCGGCACGAAGCCCGAGTAGAAGCCGCGGAAGCCCTCCTCGCGCGCCATGCGCAGGAAGCCCGACGTCAGACCGTTGGCGTAGCCGCGCTGGGAGACGAGCCGGATGCGCGTGGCCTCGAGGGGGCAGAGGAAGATGTCGGCGAAGAACTCGGCGGTGGCGGAGGCGCCGAGGTAGATGGCGGTGCGGCGGGGCACGGCCGCCTCGGGCCCGCCGGCGAGGTTGATGAAGGTCTTTTTGAAGAACTCGTAGCCGGCGAACTTGCCGCCGCCCTGGACGAGGTAGCCGACGGCCGTGGGGCCGAAGCCGGTGAGGAGGGCCGAGGCGCCTTCCTTGGCGACGATGGTGCGGCCGGCGCGCACCATGTTGTAGCCCTTGAGGGAGTCATCGACCTGGATGCGCGTCTTGACGACGTCGATGGGGGTGGCGGCCTAGAGAGCATGATGGTGGTTAGCAGGGGATCTTGGGCAGCCGTCATGTGGTTCAATTGGGTGACGAGTGGTCAATTTGAGTGTGTGTGTGTGTGAGGAGGCATTGGGAAGCTTACGCCATGGGTGAGGGTCGCGGCCAGCGCTCCGGCACTGAAAAATTTCAAATAGTCGCTGAGGCTAAAGTCGGGCGTCTTGTCCTGCTTGGTGGCCATGTTGAAGGAATTGTGCTGCATTTGTCGGGAGCTCGAGGTTGGTGACGAAAGCGGCGGGGGGGGGGGGGGGGCAAGGACAAAACGTCAATTGAGGACAGACAATGAGGCCCGGGACGGGGATACTGGGAGAGCTCGCGTATTTAAAGCAAAGACGGGCAAAAAAAACAAGAGATGGGACCGAAATCGCTCTTACTGATACGCAACGGGAGGGGGAAATATGGCGCGAATGGCGATAGAGCTCCAGAGGTTGGGAGCTAATAAAAGCTCTGTTGTGGTGATGACGTCGTTCCGATGATGCCGGAAGCAAGCCAAGACCGGGGGGGGCCGCTTGGCAGCGATCTGGGTTGGGCGGCGGGACTTTATCAGGCGAGCGTTTATTTCTGGTATTTATTTTTCTCCTGTATTTATTCCAACAACCATTTTGATACCAAAAGTTGCCTGATTACGTATCGTGCCTTGGAAAGAAGCAGCAGCGCAGATTGCCTCGCGGTACTGGATTTATTCAGCCGTGGACGCTGTACATGTGTTGGCGGACCCCTGTAATGTTGTGAAAATCGGAATCGGGGGCGCCGAACTCCAGGCCGCGGAGAATCAGCTTCAACGGCCCGCGGACGAGACGACGAGACCCTGGTTCGGCATCGCGATCCGGCAGCATCATGACGCAAAATCTTGATTGTGGCACAGATGATTGGTTTCTAGAATACTTTGTGGGAAAAGAAAAAAAAAAGAAAAAATCTTGTTTAATAACGGTGTTTGCCACATCGCGACCATCTTGGCACGCGGTTTCTGTCAACTGCGTTTGCTCACAACCATGACGAATCGCTAGTCTACCCGCGACGGTATCTATCAGGAATATCCGACTACTCAGCGGCCGGTCAAATTTATTTCTAAAGCGTAATCTGGTTTTCGGGCCCAAAACGGCCCGTTGCGTTGAACACACAGTGCCCAAACGCGACATCCTACACTGGCCTAGTTTGCCTGGGTTAGAAAAAATCAGTTGCAGGAAAATGTCCGACGAAAAGCAACACGAAAGAAAGGGATTAATAAAAGTGAACCTCAGATTCACAAGTGGGTGAATCACCATCTGTCAAGTTTGATCCCTGTCTGACCAACAACCCCACAGCTCGTCTCTCACAACAGCTCAGCCCGCCTCATTCCACCTTTCCTCCAACCTCAAACACGACCACCATAGTACAGCATTTGTGACATCTCATCAAGCTGCATCTTCCAGTGCGCACACAACACCTCATATCCAATCCGTTTTGTCTTGCGCATCCGTACCACTGCTACACTCGCGCCACGAGCTCGCCGTTTGTCCCTCCCCCCCCGTATTCCATCGAGCAACCAGCATCGCCTCCATCTCGGCCCAGCTTGCCGCTCTGTCCTCATTCACCATTCACGCTACAGACCTTTGGTAGCACGCAGCGTCCCACAGCCAGCCTGGCAAAGTCGCATCGTGATAGAGCGTGCGTGGCATGGCGCCACCTCGCCGCACCCCCCGAACCTTGCGTCTGCGTTGCACCAAAACTCCCTGACGTTGCACCATGACCTCTCACCGGAGGTGCATCTGGCCCTCTGTTCTGTTAGGCCCGCCGCACTGCATCCCTCTCTCTCCTGAGAAGGGCTCGCACACACGGCACGATTGATTTGGCCGCCCGATCGCCCTCCCACCGCCCGCCAGAGTGAGGCTCCTGTTTGTCCCATCCATCGGGCTCGCGCAGACGTCTTCTCGTGCTATATAAAGACAGTGGCCAGTCCGCAGCACCCCCTGGTCGACCCCGATACAGCAATCTCTATAAAATCAAACCTCAGGCACAAAATGGAATCAAACTTCTTCCCCCAATCTTTCGAATGCGCGTACTACAGGCGCGGTGAGGGCCGCTGCACCCGCGGGGCCAGTTGCAACTTTGTGCATGCCCAACTCACAGAAGGCCTCTCCAGAGTCGGCTTTTCCATGTTGCCGATACGTACTCGCCCTGTAACTTCCATCGGCTATTGGCATGGACATGCCGATTATTCCCAGGCTGGCCCGGCCACTAACACTTGGTCACGAAGCAACACTCCCACTGCTGTTGCTGCTCCGCGCCAGGTAGATGCAGAACAGCCAGTCACCCCGGACGAGGTATTTCACAGCAACTAACATCATAACAGTGAGGCAACGGCCCTATTAACTTCCTGTCTAGGTCTTCGTCCCCGAAGAAGCCTGGGTTCGCGCCCTCAAAGGTGTATATGTCACCTTTGGCCCCGGAGCCACCGTGGCCACAATTGCCCTGCCTTGGGATGCCTCGGCTGTCCGCATCTCGCACTTGCCCGAAGACTCTCACAAATCAACCATAGCATCATATCTTTACCATGATTTGGGCTTTGAGGTCCCCGAGGCAAACATTGATCCGCTGCCCAGCAGCAGCGGGCAGAATGCTGCTGACGTCACGATGGAAGATCCAGGCTTTGCCCAGCGGTTGATTGCCGCCATGAGCAACAACCCGGCGTGTGAATTGAGCGGCGATCACGTGGTGCCTTCCCATCATCGCGCGGCCCAGTTCGATACCATGAGCAGAAACAAGGTGTGCTGCTCGTGGCACAAGCCCAGCAGGACCATCACCCTCATCTTTGCCACCCGTGACACGGCCTGGGAGGTCTACAGCCGCTTCGCGCACGGCGACTATCGCGTCTGCCAGAGCAGGGTGCGGCCCACGCGTCCCCAGCCGAGCGAGGGGCCCAACGCGTCCACGTGGAAGCTCAAGGTCGACCACGTGCCCGCGTCGGCCAGCCGCAAGGACATTCTCGATGAGATTGACAATCGGAACCGGCCGCTTACCATTACCCTAGGCTGGGCCTCGTATAGCAATCCCATGGAGTCCTCGGTGGAACAAATCACCAAGCGCCTGCTCACGATTGGTCCGCTGGACCCGACCGTCACCACGTCGACCGACAGCCAGAGCCGGCGCTCCAAGCTGACGGTGCGATTTGTCGACGTGGCGCACGCCGAAGAGGCCGTGCAAAGGCTTAATGAGATGGCCCTTCCGTTTTACGCGCATGGCAAACTAACCGTGCAGCAGGTCACGACCATCCGGACGCGCATTCCCGAGCACGTCTACGCGGCGGCCTCGCAAGACATTGAAGCCCTCTACGGCTCCTGGAAGCTCGACTTTGTGTACACGGCTATTTCGCCCGAACACAAGGGCTTTCGCAAGATCAGGTTTGAAGGGCAGCTGCACGACAAGGTGGTGGAGGCGCACGCCGCCTTTGCGCGCCTCGTGGCCGGCGAGCTGCTCATGGAAGACGGCGCCGCTCTGTGGTCGGCCTCGTTTGCGACCAACGCATGGGCGTACAACCAAATGCGCGACATGGAGCAGCGCCTCGGCGTGCTGGTCCTGTGCGACCGTCAGCTGCGCACCCTACGCCTTCTCGGTCCACGCGACGTCTTGGGCGCCGCGCGCGCCGAGCTGGCTCATCTCTGCCATCTAGACCCGCGCGCCGAATTTACCATTACGCTGGATGCAACCGATGCCCAGGCGCTGCCCTGGCTGCTCGCCACCGGCTATCAGCAGATGCGCGACCTGGTCGGCCGCGACAAGATCGCGCTCGACGTGGCCGCCCAGCCGCGCCGTATCATTGTCAGCGGCAGCGAGGCGGACCTGCAAGTGGCGCAGATGCTCTGGCACGGGCGCCACAGGCAGCAGCAGCAGCAGCAGCAGCAGCAGCAACAGCAACAGCAACAGCAACAGCAACAGCAGCAACAGCAGCAGCAACAGCCGGCCGCAGCCGCATCCGAAACAGAGCTGGCCGCGGGGAACCCCGGGCCGCTGGACTGCAGCCTGTGCTGTTTCGAGGTGGAACACCCCGTGTACACGCGCTGCCGGCACCTCTTTTGCGCGGCGTGCTACGAGGCCATGTGTCTCTCGTGCGCGGGCACACCGGCGCGCACGCCCGCCGTGCGCTGCTACGGCGACGGCGGCCGCTGCAAGGAGCTGTTGACGCTGACGGCGATTGCCGAGAGCCTGTCGTCGGTCGCGCTCGAGCGGGTCTTTGCCCGCATGCTGACTACGTTTTTGAGCGCCAACGCGGACCAGTACCGCCACTGCCCGACGAGTGCGTGCGAGCAGGTCTACAGGGTCCAGCCGCGCGACGAGGGCGTCGAGCCGGAAGACGAATTCCAGTTTCAGTGCCCGGAGTGCAACGTGGCGATTTGCTCGCGCTGTCATGTCTCGCATGACACAATTCACTGCCCGCTGCTGCGACTACCGGAACCGGATTCCATGTCGTGCGCTTCCGACGATTGAAAAAAAGCTAAACTATGTATATTTTTAGTACGTTATATCCCCCCCCCCTCCTCCTCTTTCTATCCATTGTTTTCTCGTTGGAAGGAACCGGGAGCCCTGTGAAATAACATTGGGAGTTTTCTTTTTTTCTTTTTTTTCCCATGACGATTATTCACCTCGCATGTGACTGTCACACTGGTCAAATGAAGACTGTCTTGCGGTAACCGCAGAATTTACTTGGCGGAACAGTAGTCCTGTCAACTTGCCGCCCGCTGCCGTGTCCGCGCCGGCCAACAGCATCTCCGCCCGTCCATACGCCGATGGGGCTCTTTCGCGGCTTGAAAAGGTTGCTCCTAACAATGCTGCTTTGCAAAAGATCTCCCTTCATTTTTCCGTAGTATGGTCTGATTACGTGCTCGGAAAGGATAGAACAACTCAGATTGCGCGGCAAAACTATTGCAGATTCATAAGCTAGTCAGCCAAGGAAAACAAGATCAAGTAGAAGCATGATAGTCAAGAATTGTATAGACTAGAAAATAGACCGAGGTATAATATGTGTATATAAACAATGCATTGTCAACCACGCCCATCTACCATCTAACCGTTTTCACCATTCCTATATTTCATTCCATCCATGTACCAGAGGAAGACAACTCCGTCGCCGATTATTCGATCTTGTTACCCATCGTTCTGCCCTCCCTCTGCTGGACTATACAAACCGCACCTCGTCAAACAAGCCTGCGCGGACCTGCATCAGACTGGCCAGCTCCATCAAGAAACTCTGAAAGACAATGACATTCGTCAGCACATGCGACACCGAGACGTGGGCATGCGCGCCTTCGTCAAGCACGCTGCCAGTCTCCGACTCATCCGGCGCAATCACCGCATTATCATCTTCATCTCCAAAGCGGCCACCGTCGTCGTCGTCATCCTCTTCATCGTCCGAGTTCGACTCGGGCGGTGGGCGATACGTCAGATCCAGTGGGATCGGTTTGACAGACGGCTCGGGCGGCAGGCCGACGCGCTTGGCCAGGATGCTCTGGTCCATGGCTGCGTACTCGGCCGTCTGGCTGGCGCTGATGCCCTCGCGGTAGGCGAGTGGCGTGCGCGCGCCAATGCCCCCGTTGCTGGGCGAGATGCTGCCGTCGCCGCCGTCGCCGCCACCCGCTGCGTACGGCGACGGGTAGTCTTTTGATGGTGGGCGTACGGCGCGCGGGACGGCGAGTTGATCGCCACTCACGGGCGTGCTAGCACCAGAGGGCGTTCCGCGGGTTGGATGGTCTTTTTTGGTGGCGGCACGCGGACTGGCTGAACGGCTTGGCGTACCCAGCTCCGAGAGTAGCCGCTGCGCGAGCCCTTCAAATGTAGAGGGCTTTGCTGGTGAGCCGGTGCGAACGATTTCGTCCAAGCTGCCAGGACGGTCAGGCGTCGCCGGGACGGGCGAGCCTTTGCGGATTGGTGGGGGAGGCACAGACGACGCCGGTGGCGGCGCCGGGTTGTCCAGGATGGAGTCGGCGGTTTGGAACGCGTCACGGCGCTGCTGTAGCAGCTCGTTAAAGCGCGGGATGCTCGACTTGTAGTTGCTGACCTGGTCGCACAGCCGCTTGAGCATGTTGAGAATGCGTGGCAGGGACTCGGTATTCCAGACTGGGCGCTGGCGGCACCGCTCCATGGTCTTGAGCAGCTTGGTCTCCTCCGAGGAGTCGGCAGCGCTGGGGTTATTTTGCGTGTCGAGCTCTCCCGAGACTTCGCGATGCGCTCCGACCTCGCTTGCGGTTGTGGATGGGAAGCCGACGGTGGTGTTGCCAGCCTCTTCATCTTCGTCGCCATAGTCGTATGTTGAGGGACTTCGTGCCAGCCAGCCTTCGATGCTCATGTATCCGCAGACGGCCAGGTCAACAATTGTCTCGGTGACGGAAAGGTTTGTCTCGACGGGGTTCATAAAGAAGCCGTCCAGTAGATCTAGGATCGAATTAAGTAGTGGATCGTCCATGCGCAGCGTGTGCTCGCGGACATCGCGGGGCGCGCCGGGCAGACTATCCGGTATGGCCGGCAGCCTGTGGTTATTTGTCGAGATCTTGGGCGCGACGAGCTTGAGCGAGCACGGGTGGCTCTCGAGGCGTACCATGGTGTCGCGCAGGACATTCTCGTACGTGTCGTCAAAGTTGCCGTATCCGCCAATAGCACTGGCTAACTCCATGAGATACTCAATCTCCTGCTCGTGCGCGCCGACGGTGCGGTTCACTGTGCGGTTGGGCAGCACCTCGGTCTTGAGGAGGGTTATGATGGCGTAGCGGTGATGCCGCTTGAGAATGGCCGACACGAGCTGCAGCGTGACGTGAATGGTCTGCTGGTTGCGCGAGCGTAGGCACGCGAGGATGAGGTCGACCAGGTTGAAAAGGATCGGCGTCACCGTCAGGTCCGTCTTGGAGGCCATCATGGTGGCCAGATCCATCGACTTGCGGCGTCGCGCGGCGCTCACCTTGGGCCCCAGCGGCGTGCTCCTAGATGAGCCGCTGTTGCCTTCGGGCAGTGCCAGGAGGTAGTGGAGGATGAGGTTGATCATGTCGGGGTGGTCGAGCGACTCGAGGATGCGGCGCAGATACGTCAGCACAGCAACCGACGAGCCGCCGTCAATGTCTGAGGATTCGAGAAGCGATGGGTATCTACCTCGTCAGCAGGGGTCACCTCACAGTATGCAAGTGTACACGTACAATAGTTGTTGCAGGAAAATGACTTGAAAGTGCTCGAGGAGCGTAGACTTGACCTCCACCGACCTACAGTGGTTCAAAACATCTTGCCAGAACAGGAGATGAGACAAAAACGTCTCGAGGTGGGACTGGAACTCGGGCGCACACGAGCTCACAATCTCGTAGTTGGACGTCGGGTGCTCGTAGTCGGACAGCGCCAGGATCGGGGGCAGGTCGTGCGGGAGATGGTCAATGACGAGCTTGCGGCTCAGCTGGCTGTACAGCGCGCCGAGGCCCGTGGCCATGAGCGTCGACAAGTCGCTCTCGACGATCCACTGCTCCAGCGCGGCCGAGTTGGACGCTGCTTCGATAATGTACAACAACCCCGTCCGCGCAAAGTCGCCCACCTTGCCCTCGTGGTGGATATAGTCCATGAGGATGTAAAAGAGCGGGAAGTCGGCGCGCTGCGAGCGGCCGGCGAAGCGGTCCTGCACGTCCTGACCACGCTCGCTGGCAAACTGCGCCGCGGCCTGACCGGACTTGAACCATGCGGGCAAGATGTCCGGGTCGAGGCGAATCTTGGTAGTGATGTTGAAGGCGAGCTCGACGACACGCGACTCGGTGTCTAGCCCAAGGCGCACGCTGTTGACGCCCGTAATGCGCACAAGCAGGTTTGTCAGGCTCGCGGAAAAGGCTGGGTTCTCGACGAAGGCCTCCTCCTCGCTCTCAATGAGCGTCGCGAAGAAGAGGACGGCCTCTTTGATGATCCACTCGTTGTAAGATGTCGTCGCAATCTTGCCCACGGGCACGTAAATCTGACGCATCGCCGCGTATTGGATGCACGGGTGCGGCAGCGGCCGCCGCGACTCGTCGCTCAGAATATTGGTCAGCTCCTGCAGCCGGATCTCGAGCGTTTCGGCCGCGTCGCTGTCGCGGACGAGGTTGGACGAGCTTCGCCATGTGGCCTGGGAAAGGTGTCAGCGCCGAGTCGCACCATGGATTCACACCACCGGCTTACCAGTAGAGTCCCGTATTCCTTTTCAAAGCGATGAAGTCGTTTTGCAGGGTCTTTGGCCTGGTCCTGGCGAGACGACCCAGCCGACAAGGGGCTTAATAGTCGCGACCACTTTCCAATACGCCATTTCGTTAGCAAACCTGGCCAGTCTCTCAATAGTGTATGTCCTTGTGCCTCCTCGGCGTCGGTCCTCGTCGTCGCGTGCTGCGTCTGCTCATATTTGCGGCGTTGCGGCGTCGTGTGCGGCGGGTGCTGGTGGTGGTCCTCCCAGGGATTCGTCCGTTCTCTTTTTTCGGCCATGTCTCCCGGTCGGTTGATCCCGCGCACGAGACTAGGGTGAGACAAACAGATGAAAAAAGAAACTGATGAACAACTTACAAAGTCCATGGCTGCCGTCACGTCATCTCTCGGGGGACGGTCGATCCAAGCCACGAGGCAGAGAAAGCTCTGGGTAGTTTGGGGTCCGTTTTCCCCAGGTGTCGCAGGTTTGTGTCGAGTTGGGAGGGTCTCGTTTGGAGGCGTCGAGGTGGGCGGCCGCGGGCGAGATTGGTGGTAAAAGACGAGCAATGCAGTACTAGCTGGCTTGGTTGTCCCGGCACTAACGTCGTGAGATGAATGACTTGGGACAATGCACTGAATGCCAGGGGATGATGATGTTGGCGAGCTGCCTGGTCCTAGCTTTTTGGTGACTTGGCCTACCTATGCAGGTACCTCGCGTTGTGGAGCAACGGATACGTAGTTATGCGAATATTCTGGCAATTGTCCGCGGCAAGTTTGCAAATTCAAATGACAAGGGTACTTTGGTTTATTTTACCATTGTTTACACTTGTTTATCTTATCTGCATGGTTGACCTTGACTGGTGCATCCTCTCCACCTTCATCTGCGTGTCACGCTCACAAGCCATTGTGGAAAAAGTAACGAACGATACACCTTGTTCAGACTACACCTAACCGCTGTTATTCCAATATTGCATACCGATGAATACGCTGCATCTTCTTCCCGGGCCATAGACACGACCGCGCGAGTCACATTGAGTTGCCGTCTCCACCGCTGCCGCTGCTTCCATTGCTTCGGTTGGCACCCATGCCGCGGTGGCCGCGTACCGAATTTCCAATCGGCTGCTGGTAGTGAAAGTAGGGCGAATTCTGGAGGCTGCCATCGCTCGAGCCGGTGAAGCCACTGACATCGCTCAGCATACTAGAGCTACGCATCCTCGCCCTAGTCTTTCCATACACCGTCGTCGTCAGAGAACCCGGCCACATCATCGCCGACGGAGCAAGAGCTGGGCCGGACAAAGAGGGCTGCATGTCAGCCGAGCTGGCCGGCCAGTGGCCACCACCAAGGCTACCACCAAGGGTAGCCGGTACCGCACTAGAGTTCCAAGGAGTCGTCTGCGGTGGCGGAAATGGCACCATGCCAGGGTCAACGCCCTCCATCATGCCTCCGTTAGCAGTAGCCATCGCCGGCGCCAGAGATTCAAGTTGTCCCCGCAGGTTGAGGATCGTCTCTAAACGCTCCCCATTGTCACCTTTGATATCATCAATGCGGTCCAGGTACTGTTGACGCATGGCCAAGATCTTTCCTACTTGCATGTCATGCTGCTTCTTACGGCGCTCGGCCTCATTGATTCCTCGACTGTTGGCATCGCTGAGGTTCACGAGCTCATTGTCCACTTTGGCGATGCGGGTCGCAATCTTGTTTCGACGCGCGTTAAGATTCGATCGTTCTATGCCCTTGGCCGCGAATTCGCTTTCCAGCTCTGAACGGTGCTTGAGGAACTCCCTCTGGGCAGCTTCAAACGCCTTCTTTTCCGCCGCAAAAGTCCGCTCAACCTTTCTCTTATGTTCGGCAAGCTCCGGGGACGAATCGTAGCGTCTCACAGTATCCGCGAGCTGTTCCGTCTCGCGCTCTGCCTGGGTGCGCTGAGTTTCCTGCTGGCGAATCTTTTGTCGGTACCGTTCGTCACTACTTCCGGCGGTGGCAAGCTGGTTATCGGTGGCTTCATTTTCCTTTTTCAGCGCGTTGATGCGAATCTTGCAGTCTTTGCGCAGGTTCTTCAAGTGATTCCTTTCGTGTGTGAGCCTCTCCTGAGCAGCATCGATCGATGTCTTGAGCGTGGTCACGGGAGAGTCAGGGCGCAGCGACTGTGGACCATCAGATACCATGGGCGACGAGCCGTCCCTGGATTGCAGCACTTCCTTAATGGTGCGAATGTTGGCGGTAAGAAGCACCTTGTCGGTACGGCTGTCGACGAATTCGCAGACGTACTTGGACGCCGGACGTAGACCGTAAATGTCGCCTGTCCAGCACGATGCCTCGCTTGGTTCGTCGTCGAGTTCCTTGAGAGCGTGCATACGAGTGGGCTGCCAAAGAGCACTATTCACTCTCACGTAAAACGGCTTGGTCATGTCGATGCCGGGCGGGCGTGAGGGGAGATTCGAGGTCAATTCCGAGCAGGGCGAAGACGGATCAAATTCAGCGTGGGCAAAGTAGCTTGTGCTAAAGCAGACCTCATCACTACCGATATAGGTGATCCAAATCTGCCTCGGCTCGCGGTAAAAGGTGGCATTTCCCAGGTTGTGAATGTCGGTCGCGTTGGCGCGAGCAGACTCGGACGGTGCGTGGCTTAGCTCGTATTCCTTGACGACAACGATCTTGGTACTAGCAAGAGCGGCCCAGAGTGGCTGCTTAAGTCGCACCTGGGCACTCTGTTTCCTCCTCTTCTTGGCGGTGGAAAGTTGCGGGGTCGGCGGCGGCTGTGGCAACGCGGGTGTCGATATTGCAGTATCAGTGTCGTTTGGGGTTGCGCTGGCGTCATTGGCGGCGTCGGGAAGCGCAATGTGAGCGGAGTGCTGTCTGGCGAGCTCGGGGTCGGATGGATTGGAGCCGCCTTTTTCGCGACGCAGATACCATTCTCGTATAAATCGAATAAGACTTTGGGTTAAAATGTGTATCGCAAGGACGCTTCTAACCCATGCATAGGGGCTCGAATTGTCGTAGAGCTTGCTATAATAGCCTATGGGGGTTTCCTCGGAGAGAACTTTTTTCCAAGCAGCGGGCATGTTGGGAACGAGATGGCCCCATTGGGACTGCGTGCCGCGGATTATGTGATATAGAAAGACCCAGGTGAAGCCAGTGCGGATGCCTCGAAAAGAGGGATCGTTGCGGGTAGCGCCGCCAAGGGTAATGGCGATGACTGGCTTGGCGAGATCAAGGACAGCATCCTGGATGGGGGCCCAGAGAAAGAGCCATATGAGCAGGAAGACAAAGTCCAAACAAGCGACGACGAAGAGGGACGGAGTAGTGGAGTTGGCGTCGAACATTTCGGCAAGGTTGAGAGGCATACCGGAGGTGGTCCTGACGGGGGGGACAAAAGTGATGCAAGCAAAGATGCCGTAAATAACGAGAAGAGAGATGGTGGGAACGTGCATGAGGATGATAAGAATTGCGAGGGTGTCCTGCATGGGAAGAGCGCGGAGGACGGTGGAAGCCATGTCGAGGATGCCAGAGTCGCGATGGACGTCGGAGTTTTTGGGATAATTCACATCAATCTGTCTGAGGGAGCCGTTGACGGGGACACCATTGGCATGGCCGTTGAGGACGTGGGTGGCGGCGTTGTGGAAGTGGTCGGATGAGGCCTCGGATTCTTCACCGAGCGAGGCTCTCCTGGCAGCGTCGAGGGCGGTCTTATCGTCGGGGAGTCGAGTAGACATGGCGGCGTCGAAGGGCGACTTGGCAGCGGCATCGGCAGGCGCGGTGGCGTGACCGTTGGCGTGGCCGTTGTGAAGCGACGAGGTAGGTGTTGGCAGAGCAGCACCGTTTTCAAGAGGCTTCGCAGAGCTGGACCCGTTAGCAGAGTGGCTCTTTCTGGAACCCCGTTTAGCGGAGGTTACAGCGCCATTGTCGTGCTTGGAGGAGTCGCGATGACCGCCGCCGGATTGTCGCTTGCCAGAGCCTGACGCACGAGGCATGCGAAGCGCTGGGGCTCCCACTTCTCTGCGAGGTCCAGAGACCTTGGACAAAGGCCTGGACCAAGCAGCAGCGGGAAGGGCGAACAAGGTGGACTCTGACGGGATGGAAATGGTGGACGAAGTTGGATGTCGTGCCAGCGTTGCGCGGCCAAGGCTGGTTCGGCAAAGGGCGGACTCGGGTTTAGAGTCGGGTCGGCATGCGTTCGTGGCGAGATTGTCGCAGCGAGGAATTGGAAGATGTCGATTTGTTGTGGTTGTGGCGCGGCGAAGGGTTGGTTGAAGCGATGGGTTCTGGGAGGGGAGGGGAGGGGAGGGTAAATGAAATGCAGGCGCGCACGGCGGCAATGTTGACGGGAAACCAGTCGCCGCGGGGATTGGGACAGCTCCGGGCGGCAGGGAGTTGGTCGGTGGGCGCGTGCTGCGATGGAGGTACGATGGTGGTGGTGGTGGTGGTGGGTGGTGGTGAAGAAAGAAAAAAGAAGGCCCTGGCAGTGTGGAGAGAGGAGATGGTGAGATTTTCGGCTTGGACGGACGGGCTCTGTAGTGGGCTTTGCCAGCCAGTAGCAGAAGGCCGTTTGGCGGTTGAATGGGGGTGATGATATTACGGGTTCAGCGGCGTTGGCAAGCGGCAGACAAGCGGCGGACAAGCAGCAGGTTACTAAGGTAGGTACCTACCTACCTGGTAGTTAGTCTGAGGCTACGAATTATCTAACTACAGGATATTACAGACTGCTACGTGAACGCCAATCGAGATGCTGTGCAACTGGATTATCCGTTCGATTCGCCGTCTGGCGACGACTCAAGCAGAGGGACACACGCGCCTTTTCCGTTCTAGTTAGCATCGAATCTTTAAAAAAAAAAAATACCGCTAGCCACAAGCAGGGGCAAGCCACACGAATCCTCTAGAATACCCAGGGAATTGCCAAACAGAAATCAAGCCTCGAAAAGCTTGTTGCTTGCAGCTGACCCGGCCAAGTAGCAGGGGTGCACCACTGTGCAACCGCTTCAACGCCCCCTTCAGTGGATTGCCGCATACAGGGGGCCCCTAGCACGAGTGAGGGGGGGAGCTTGGATCTGCAGTGCCCAGATCGCAGCCGACATGTACCGAGGGCAAAAGGATAAGGAGAAGAAAATAAATTATATTGCGAGGGAAAAGAGAGCCTAACCGGTAACTTAGTACGGCGGCCGCACACTTGTCCGTTGGTCTTTACCCATTTGCAGCCAACATATAGCATGATAGAGTCGCTACTCGACAACTCCAAGTCATATTCGTAGGGTGTAACTAGCAGCAGACACCTTTTTCTCTTCTTTTTTTTCTTTGCTACCTTGCTTTGCTGTCTGTGATGGCCACGTGAGGACAACTCGCACACACTTTGTCGCTTGCGCGGAGACAGGGGAGGACTGGTCCGGTGCAGCACACACGGGCGCGGCAAATGCCACCAAATAATTTGTATTATTTTGCCGTCACACGGTCGACGGCAAAGCGGGGAGAAATTGCAATGTATGTACATGCAGCATAACTAACTACTATCACGATCCAACGCATCACTGTCCTGCCCGATTTGCATTCCTGCCAAATCGCCGCCTAGGTAGCTGCACGGACTACCCCGGTGTGACTAGTGGCGCAAATGAATCGTGACGCCCTCTATTTTTCAAGATGATGATTTTTTTTATTCCGTCTTTATAATTTACAGCTAGCTAGTGCTGTGGGGACTGGAACTGCATTGCTCGGCTCTGTATCAACCGGTATTATGCCCTGCAAGGGCCAGAACAAAGTCTCGAGAACGATCAACAAATCAACAATCCATATCTACAATGGCCAAGCGAGACACACTGGAAAGCTCCCTGCTATGTACTCGGTACCACTATCGCGTGCTAGCTTCAACTGTGCAGTACTACTACCTAGTACGGAACGAGCAGAGTGCCCGACACTTCCGTCGTCCGTCCCTTGCCAGCCAGCCTCCTTTAACCCTTAAACTACCTAGGGCTTCTTCATTGTTGGCCCGAGTATGGAAGACTCGGGAGGTAGCCAACAGAGTGCATAATTCGGCTGCCTAGCTTACGTCTCTGCTTCGTCACGGCCCCTTGCAAAATACATTGCCTCGGGCCTGATATGTTGGCCTGTGTGGATAGACATGACACCTTGATTATGCTTGACAATTGCTTCGCCGTCTGGGCCGTCTTATTAGGCGGCGCCTAACTTAATAGTAACCCTAGACCCATTTCGGGCTGCCGGACGCCTCGGGTATTGCGCGCAAATCAAGACTTCCAATACTTGTTGGCAAATTCTTGCTCTTCCGCTTCTCTTTATTTTTCAACTATTTTATTTACGCTCTTGACAGGTGGGGAACAAAAAATGGACAAAACGTACGAGCGGGGAACTGCAGCACTGCAACCACCACGGGTCAACACCATCACCCATCACCCATCACCCATCACCACCTCTTCAACCAAACAGAGAGTTGCCTGCAGCTTTCCATCGCTTTTTCTACCTAGGGTGCTTAGGGGACCAGAACCCCGTAGTTGCCGCAGTCAGCCTTTTTTGCCTTTTTCCCCTCAAAAATTGAGCTGTTGTTCCCGCAGGCGTTGTCTCGGACCAAACGCTGACGCGTCCGCACCATCAAAACGGCTTTCGCTCTTGATCGACAGAGCAAAGTTTCTAGTTATCGCTCCCTTTCTACATGTTGCTCCCTCCATCCCCCCCCCCCCCCCCGCCGTGCGATGCTGGCCAGAAACATGCGTCTCTAGCGCCGACCTGCCCAAACCACTGAAGAAGCGACACGACGAAGCCAGGCTGCCGGGGTCGATTCCTCTTGCTGTGGTTTCCCATGTTCCATGGCTATTCCTGTGATTCCCTTCTTTGTCCGCTGCGCAAATTTTCTATTTCTGGTAGGTCGAAGCCTGCGGATACTTGACAGAGTGCGTCCATCACCAACTCTGCCCCGCCGATCTCTGCAGATGAAACGGAGCCGGCCGCCACACCATTCTGCTCACCACGCGCCTTTTCTTCTTCTTTTGCACGGCCATGTTACCCGTCAGAACCTTCCACCGCCTTTTCCATGCACCTGATGACTTGTAAAATTCTGGACCGAGTCTACGGAAAATATTTTCGTCGTTTGGCGGGGTCAATCAACCATCTCGAGCAGCGAAAACAGCTCACTTTGATGACATGTCCAACACCCCTCTCCTGCCTTGCAGGCTTTTCCAGTAATTTCAGTGGCTGCCAGATTCCCACCTTGGCGCCCGTTCTTTTTTTTACGAATCGGGCTTTTTGTCTTGTTAAGCTTTTCGGAGGCGCCAACTAGCTACGGGCTACTCCAACACTTGCAGCGGCTGCCAGTAACTACCCTGCATCGCGACATTGACAGAGATTACGAGCATTAGGTTTCAAGCAAGCATTCATCTATACCATCATAGTCCATGAAGTCAGGGTGTCATGCAGACGCATTCGCCGTTACAGCGTCAAACCTGTATAGCAGCATGCAGTGTAGTTGGAAGCCTCTCGCTTGTTCCTGTCCAGCTTCCTCATTTACGTATTTGTGCAGATGGCCATGCAACGCTCTTGTGACTGACTGGGTGGGATGTCGCACAGCGTCGCGTTAATTTCCTTGTATTGGCAGTTAGGGAAAATACGTACAACTGGAAGTAGTGTAATATCAACAGGCTCGTACTCCCCAGAGTTGTGCAATGACTCCTGCCACGATTGACGGCTATCTTGATGCACGTTATATACAGTAATTGCTGTTACGCTGGTACATACGACCATAGAGGACAGAGAAAACTGGGTCCCGTCTGCTCCCCAAAAGTCAAGCTGTCCATCGGCAGATTAGTAGTTGGCTCGGTGACGTCCAGCGAACACCGGCTGTTGTATGTTTTTCTTTTTGTTCATCTCGTCTTCTTCATTTCACTTTTTGATAGGTAATGGTACCAGCTTGCCCCTTCCATACACTCCTTATACAGCGATGCCCGGCGCTGTCGACGTAGTTCCCCTGATGAGAGAGTGAGTTATGATGCAAGCCGAGAAAATGCTGGCGACGCGTTGCGTGACAAAGAGTTGGAGATGTTCAACGAGCTCAAATGCAGCTGGCGTGAGACTTGGAACAAGTCGGAAGCACATTTCGAAGCTATATACCAGTAGCATCAGCTTGCTCGATTCTGATCGTCGAGATGACGACTACCATGGAACAAGGCAGCGATCCGCCGAGCTCGTCTCATGTGCCAATGCCAAAATGTAAAGCCTCGCGTCGCGTTCAATATTCGTGATATAGCATGTACAAGTGACTCCCGATACAATACAAGACTCCATCGACATTCCCATGCCGGAGCCTCCTCCCTCTTCCAGCGCAACATCCGTTCTCAATCATGCTCCTTCCCCAGGCGATGCCCCCACGTCTCCTCCTCGAGCTTCCAGAGCGCTGGAAACACCTCGAACGCCTCGACCGCGCGCTCCTCGCGCTCCTCGGGCCCCAGCACCGCCGCTGCCGTCCGCAGCGCCACCACGCGGGCAAGAATATCGCCGACCCGCCGCGCCTGCTGGTACGAGCACCCGTCAAACGCCACGACGCCGAGGTCGTGGAACAGCGTCGGCGCGTTGGCCCGCACGCACGCGCGCTTCTCCTCGTTGCCGAGCACAGCAACTTGTCCCGCTCCTTGGCGGGCTTGCCAGGAGCCGCCAATCGGGTATGCGGGCGCGCCGGGGCGCGTAGACAGCCCCCATTTCAGTAGGATGGGAAACGTGCGCACCGCGGCGCCGACAGTCTTGTGAGTGGGAATGGACATGGGTTGTTTGGCGAGGCCAGCCGCACGGCGGTGGCCTGATGCTATTCGGGCGGTGAATGGAAGTGTAGAGGTGACTCTCTGGCGGTGACGGAGCTGTGTAGGCAAAAGAAGAGACGTCGCTGTGTGATTGAGTTCGTAGCTGTGAAGCGAGAGTTTGGATTGCGGCAGCTTTGCATGAGAAACGTGAAAGAGAATCGAGGTGGTGGCGTGATGGATGGTCTCAAGTGGCGTGTCCACCCCCACCCGGATATTGGTCTGGGCAAGATCGTGAACAGTTCTGTATAAGCGGAAAAGGTAAGGAAAGATAAAAAAAAAAAAACACCCGAAATTGTGCCAATTATACCATATTGTGACATGTCAGGGTGTGCGGGCAATTTACACCCTACGCTTCTTGTCAGAACCTCCAATATTCCTGATGTACGCCCTCCCGCTCACTGTAGACACGCGATGATGGCCGCAATCGCCTTCAGGGTGTCATCCGGGTCACGCACAAGCACCGTCTTGACACCGGCTTCCTTGACCGGATAATCATTCGCGCCCGGAAAGATGGCATCTCCGATAAACACCATCTGCTCCAGCGCGATGCCGCTCTCCTCCGCTCTCCAGTGTTCGCTTGACTGGCCGCCGCCTGGATATCTATACTTTGATCCAACACGGCAAGTAATCTCTATCAGGTATATATAATGGGCAATACCAGCCACGTGTCGGATAATTTTGTCGCTTTTGTCGCTATACGATCCAGCAGCCAGCTCCATGCAGCTGCGCCGCTATCACACCAGCCTTTTGCAGCCTCCTGTAGCCTTACGAAAGTCTCCAGAGCACAATCGCTTGAGAAATACGCATTTATGCAGGTGAAATGACCTATTGAGAAAAGAATGTGCCTTCTTTGGACGAGAGGTACTGACAGGCGAGACACCGAAAAGAGAAGATGCCGATTCCATTCATCTGTTCCCCGACACAGACAGTGCAAGATTGCAAGACGCACTGTACTCTGGTACCTGATTTCTGGGCTGTCATCCCGCCGCAATCCATCCATGCGCACCACATCCAGTCATCCTTGTGCGACCACCCGATTGTATATTGAAACTGTTCTCGGTCAAGCATATTGTCGAGAGAACTCATGCAAGGATTTCATACGGCTGACCTAGCGTATCCTCAACGTATCACCAGCGAGCCACGATGCACCGGTTTAGTGGGTGGGATCCTCGCAGAATGATGCATGTTCTGGAAATATCTCGTGACAATTGTCGGGCCAGGCTCAATTCGGCACATTCCGAACTTCGATCCTGTTTTCATCGTCTCGTTATTCTCAGCTGAAGCCCGCCACAATGTCTAGTTGGGCCAGCTGCATATCCGCCACCGGCATGTATATACATGCCCCCTCACTCCAGCGGGTGTAGACTTCCTTCTGCTCGTCATCAATTTGACACGCAAACCGTTGGATCTGTAGAACGGCTCTGAATCTCATTCAAAAATGCGCGTTGCTTCTCTCCTCGTTGCCCTCTCTACCGCCTCGGCCGCGGCAGCGTACGAACACCCCAGCAGAGTCCGACGCGGCGAGACGCCCGACGGCAAAGTCGCGCCCGGCACCACAAACCAATGCACATACTACTTTACCACCACGTCCAAGGATAACACTTGCACTTTCATCGAAGGGTACTGGGGTGTCGGCCACAAGGACTTTGTGGCCTGGGTACGAAGGCCCTCGCACCCCGTCCTTGTCCCCGGCGTACAACCATGGCTAACACGGGCGTCTATATAGAACCCTGCTGTCAAAGAAGACTGCTCCGGCATCGAGATTGGCTACTCGTACTGCGTCGACGTCAACCACGGCGGCACCATCACGGCCCCGCCGACGTCGACCCTCCCGCCCGTGCCGTCGCCCACGCTCGCTGGCATCGCCAAGGACTGCGACAAGTACCACCTCATCGTCAAGGGCGACACCTGCGGCAGCGTGACCGCCAAGTACGGCATTTCCATGGACCAGCTCACCGCCTGGAACACGGCCGTCGACAAGGACTGCGGCGGCTTCTGGGCCGCGTACTACTGCTGCGTGCACATCGTCGGCGCCGGCACCTCGTCCCCGGGCTCCACGCCTACCACAAGCGACCCCGTGCCCGCGCCGCACCAGACGGGCATCGCCAAGGACTGTGACAAGTTCTACCAAGTGGTCAAGGGCGACACATGCGACAGCGTCACCGCCAAGTTTGGCATTTCCACCGACCAGCTCATCATGTGGAACTCCGCCATTGACAAGGACTGCAACGGCTTCTGGGCCGGGTACTACATCTGCGTCAAGACCAAGGGCTCCACGCCGACGTCGCCGACGAGCAGCCCGCCGACGACGTCCGCCGGCCCCACGGCCCCCGGCCCCACGCAGACGGGCATCACCAGCGACTGCCGCGACTGGTACGTCGCCAAGCCAGGCGACTACTGTGACAAGATTGTCCAGGGCTACTCCAACTTTGACAAGGACACCTTTATCAAGTGGAACCCGGCCGTCGGCAAGGACTGCGCTGGCATCTGGGTCAAGTATGCCTACTGCGTCGGTATGTGCAGCCCATCTCTGCCCCAGCCCGGTAGCTGTTTCTCTTACAAATGCTTGCTAAACCCCTGTCTGATAGGAACCCAGAGCAAGCCGGCCAAGCCGGTCAAGCCGCCGACGGAGTGCACCACGCCGCACCCTACGCCCACGCAGCCCGGCGCCATTTGCCAGTGCAAAAAGTGGCATCTGATCAAGGCCGGCGACAACTGCTGGTCTCTGGCGCAACAGTACAAGGTCAGCGAAAACGACATCAAGAAGTGGAATCCCGGCACCGATTGCAACTTGTGGGTCAAGTACAATGTCTGCGTGGGTGCCTAAACGTGCTCGAGGTCGTCTGGAGCGTTTGCAAGTTCGGAGCTTCATACATGGTAGCTAGTTACATCCCCTGACATATGTCTCTGAACATTTACGCCTACATATGCTACATAAGTGCATGTGGGCGACCCCTATGTGTCGTAGCTCTGCGCTTCATTAATGCATTCTGCGCAACTCCTCAATCATGTTCCGTACGTCCTCCACGCTCGGGCCGAGATCCTTGCAGAGCTCGACTTGAGTGAGCTCGTCCAGGTCGAGGAATCTCTCCACCATTTCGCCGTCAACAAATCGGAACGGGCCGTCTGCTTCTCGCGTCTGGTTGCGAAATGACCTCCAGGCATTGAAGCTAATATCGCCCGTCGTCTTGACGTACTGCTCTATGTTTGATTGCAGGGTAATGAGCAGATCCTGGTATTTTGGCGCAATATCGCCATATAGGTATAGCGTGCCCTCAATCTACCAGAAATCGGTCCGTCGTTAGCGGGAGGTCTTAACTACTAGCGCAGGCAACTTACAGAGGCAAGGAACGCTTTTGGCGATACGACAGCATTGTCAGCCGGCGCAACATTTAGCTTTCGGATCTTGTTGATTTGTTCGCCGAGATTCATTTCACTCGTGATTTCGAGACGGCCGCGGTCCTGCTCGGTGGGCGCTTCAGGATTGCGAGCCAGCACCATGATGTTACCCTGGGCATCCGTCTCCAACCATCGCTCCCCATCCAAGTGACACACTGAAGTAGCCCATGCCGATTGAAAATGTCTGGCTTTTTCCTGTAGCTTGGCGGGCTCGCCATCCTTTGGCGGCGTGAACTCCACTAGTGATAACGACTGCATCAGGTCGCCAACGCCAATCATATTCCCCGAGACATCTAGAGCCACTGGGAATGAAGCCGGGCGGTAAGCCGCGAGCTTCTGCAGAGAGCCTTCGGTGCTGGTTTCTTCCGTGTATCTGTAAACAACGACTGTCTTGGAAAGACCGGCAACAATATACTCGTCTAGGACACTCAGGCAGCGGCATGCGCCCTTTAGATTGTGTGTCACGATGGTGTACAGCTGGCGCTCCTCGTCCACTCCCAAGACCAATATCCGACCACGAGTCTCACTAGCCTCACCGACATCTGCGTCAGTGATGAAGCTTGTCCCAACAATGAAGCGCTCCACAAGAGCACCGGTATGATCGGGAAGCTCAGCGCGAATGACACTCTCCACCATTTCTAGTGTACTCGAGGCGTTGAGCTGTAGCGGGGCGCCCAGTTCTTGGAATATGATTTCGTCCACTAGCTTCACTGAGCTTGTGATGACTTCTTCATTGCGAATGAGCTCCTTCTTGATACAGCCAAGGGCGAATGCCTTGACCCCAGGGGCGTAAGCAACTCGACGGACGGTCTCGTATACTGGCAACGACTTGACATGTGTAAGCCGCTCTTTATCAATGTGACAAAGACGCACATGCTTGTCTGTAGAGAGCAGTATGGAATTGGGGAATGCCTCTGAATCAAACGGTACGACACAGGTGGCATCGTCAGCCGTTGTGGCCGAGTAGATGATGCGACCTTCAGAACTGTATATCAGACTCGCATTCTCGGTTGTGGCAAAGATTTTGCTAGTGCCGTCGGCTTCGGGGAGAACATGGAGACACGCAGGGCTGCTTCCCAGCGTGACGCGCTTTTTGCCTGATAACGTGAGATCCTCGGAGACATTGAAGGTGATGACTGTCCCATCCTCTAAAGCAACCAGGAGTGTGGGACCAGATGCATGACGTGGGTGAAGCTGTACTAGGGATATGTCGCGGGGCACTGAGGCGGCATCCGTAGTTTGCTGGAGGGTTTCGACATGCTTGGCGCTGAGTGTGGCAAGATCGATGATTGTAATCCTGCCAGGGTACCACCATCCAATAACGCCGTAATCTTGGAAGGTTGTCGAAGCATGTAGACAAGAAACTTGGTTGGACTGATTCGAGTCATCGGCTCCTTGGTACTGTTGCACACAAGCTTCCAAGTTTTTGTCGATATTCAACGAGACAATTTTAGATCCATCCACGCAAAGGAGTATCCATTTCCCATTGCAGGAGGCGGATGTGATGTTCGCGCCGGGAGCCACCCATCTCAGTGCCTTCGCCTGCTCGTTGGGGTCTTTTATCGTGACATCCATTCTCGTGACTTGGAGGAGACGCCCGTTAGGCAGATTGACAACCAGCAAAGACTCCACGCGCAGATTGAGACCAGGGAAGTTGTTCACTTCCTGGATGTCTCCATCTGCACCAAAGAGGAAAACTCGGGTGTCTAAAATATAACAGGCAACAAGCGTATCGACTTTCTTTGAGCGGCGCGATTTGATCGTGAACAGTCGCCTTGTGTTTTTGATCTCCTCGAGTATACCGAGGTCTTCCAGCCCAACACCGCTTCGGATGCTCCGCAATGATCCGTCTCTGTAGGCACCGCACCCAGCAACGATTCTGGCTTGACCGGACGAAAACAGGTTGCCTTGTAAATTATCACCGTCTCTGTTGCCCATATCCATGATTGCAAAGTCCAGAATTGGACCATTGTTGGAGAGAAGCTTGATTGGATGCATGGTCCGAGAGTCGATATCGATCTGCAGAAGCTGCGAATCGCCGTGGTGGGAGGCCACGACGAGCATTCCGCCGCCCATATATACAAGACTGGACGCGCGAGAGGTCAGGTTCTTAGAATCCGGAAACTTGAGAGGCTCGACAGTCATGCGATTAACAACGACTCCAGTTTGCTCTGAATGAGTTTGTAGCGTCAACAAGTCAAGACGTCCGTAGTCGTCGGCGAGGAAGTAGTGAGTTTCGTCATACATGGCCCAAGCGACGTAGATCTTAGGCTCGTCAAGCACCGACGACACGCTAGAGTATGTCAAGCTGTCGAAATACGTCAAAAGAGTCTCACCAACGACCAGCAGACCTCCCAGGTGCGCCCTTGTGCCCTCATTGTTTCGCACATGGTATCGTTTTTCCTCGGCGACCGGTACAGGAATAAGCATTGACGCGCATGGGTCCGCGATGACTTGGTCTAGCTCTCGATCTTTGTGTGGATCAAATTTCGAGACGTCACTCCCCTTGTCGTCCTTTGTTAGCCTGTAAACGGCGACGCGAGCTTCCTCCTCGTCCAGCTGCGTCTTGTAGAGAAAGGCGATGCGTGGATGGCCTGTACGGCTGTGGATGAATGCGCTGTCCTTCATCCATAGCTCCGTCAGCCGAATCTGGTCCATCTCTTCGAGCTTGTCTGAGACGCCGCGCCGAGCTGGCAGGCGGAACACATTGAGCACCCCCTCCCACAGATGCATCACCATGTATTTGGCAGTGGGATCCACCAAGCACTTGTTCTGGCTTTGCGATTCGCGCATGTACGGCTCGGCGGTGTCGTGTATTGTTTCATGGGTAAGTTCCATTTCGTTCCTTTGAGAATTCCAGGATACGTTAAAGTACTGTAGTCGCTCGGTCCCGACAAACAGGAGATCGGTGTTGGCATCTTTCGGTCGCAAACGTTGCAGCATGCATATCGTTCCGTGCACAACTTTAGTGTGCAGGCAAGTCATGTCTTCCCTCGTGACGCGCCATATTTCGAGTCGATTCGCCTTACTAGAGAACAAATTAGCAACCAGGCCGGGACGGATTGCCCGCGCAGGCCGGCCATTAATGCTGCCCGCCCTAGGCAGAAGGGCACGTACGCGACAATCAAGTCTTCGTGGTCCGGGGAGCTGAATTGGAGCCGGATCGCATGGCGAATACTCGTTGGTAGATGTACTGGCGCTATATATGCCATGATGAGGTGGTGATAGCCTCGAGATGTGTTGTAAGGCGCGAGTTGGAATGCTCCAAGAGCTTCAAAGGAGCTCGAGTCGAGAGGTGGTGTGTCACTTCGAATCGTGCTGCAACGTTAGCGTTGGCCCGCGTTTGCATTGGTGGGGTGCCAGTGCCGGAGTTTAGAATTCGTCGACGCAATCCATTGTAGGCAAACTCCGAGAAGAAGCTTTGGCAAAGAAAAAATCTATTCCAAGAAAATAGAGAAACTGTTTGTGAATTTGCGACTGTAGACTGTCAATTTTGTGATTTGTCTGCGTTTCTGGCATTATTACATACTAGGCTTCGTCATCTACATACATAGCATACATACCTACCTAGTTACTTCTTCAAACAAAGCCTCGCTCCGAGAACAGTCTTTCATTAGCAACTCCAAAGACCAGATTCAAAAATTGACCGACAGCATGTTGCATGCGGCTGTACAATGGAAATTACTGAAGAGTCTGCCTTTCAGTATTCAGAGAGACTTGGCTTGTTCCATAGCCATAGGAAAGGTCGGTTTTCGCCACACAACTGTTTGGCCAGCCTCCCTAGCTTCCCTGGCCATTCTCCCGCGGAAGCACTGGGGGGCGAATCTCTCGGTGAAGATATTGATTTTCCAATTGGCTCGGTGGGATTCGAGCGCGAGTCGCTGGTTGGAGGCAGGCAAGATGAGCTGAGATGCACCATGCAAACGAGATTGCCGTTTTCATACCAACCGAGCTCCGTGCAAGACTTGCTAGTTGAACCACCAGACATGGGACCAGACTCCTCAACAGACTTTTACGCGTCTTCAAATATTATCTGGGATTCCACAAATTCTCTCATGAAGCAATATCTACCTCTCATCTCGCTGGATTACAAGGACGACCAAGGTCTAAACTTTCCTCCTCATGTCGACCGGCTACACCAAGCACTCCTATACATGGTAGATCATGAAAGACTCCTGGCTTCAACGTTGCCAAGAAACACATATGAAGATGAATTTCATACAACATCGAGGGTAGCAAGACACCTTGATCCATTGTGCATGTGTAACCTTCTGACTCGGTGTAGGTCTTTTGTTCCAGTGAAGCTGAAATAACCCCACCGCAATCACCCAGGCATATCTCCTCGCTCCTTTGTGATGCTTCGAACGCTTTGGCTGTCATTGGTGAAACTTCTCTGGGAGGTACAGGGCCGTCACAGAGCGAAGCGAAAAGGTTGCAGGCTTCAACCACGTGGGACAGCAACGTTATTGGCCGGCAAGCCCTTCACCGCGAGCCTGAGGAGGTTGCTGATGAGAACCGAATATCTGAAGCAGAGACTCCGGCGTTGATAGCGGCCACTGGGGCAGAAGATGTGAGCCACGGGCTACCAATTCGTGTATTGGAGGCCACCGGGCACGGCGATCCGAGCAACACATTCTTCGACGATGCCTTTTTTGTCGGCAGCGACCACGACCAAGATGAACACATCGAAATGCAGAACATCGCCTCAATACTGGACAAGATTGACAGGCTTTTGCTGCCGCTGCCAAACGTTTCAACTTTTGACCTGGACCACTGCATCGCAGAGAAGTCGGCAACGCTCGGCACGCTTGAATTGGAATCTTACAAACGCCTCCCTCCTCTACGAGTCGATCCAGCCCTGGAGGAAGCGCTCCCGTGGGCACCGCTACCTCCTCGACGACGCGGCCAGTTCGAAGCCGAAACGCTTGCGGCGCCAAAAAAGTATACCACACGAGATGCACGGGAAAATGGTCCAAGTCGCATCGGTGCCATTGGGACCATTGAAGATGGCGAGATTGAAGAGTGCTCGGAGCCGCAAAAGGCTACGAAACCACCGCCGCCGCCCAACTCGCTGGATGCGCTAATAAAGCTACGGCTGCAAAGAGGAGTATCTGAGAAAGGGTCACCGTCATCGACTAAAGGATTACCGCCTTCTTCCAAAGCACACCATCCCATCTTGCCCGTTCTGGACGATCCTGGTGCCACGTCCAAGCTGGTCTCGGCATTCATGAGCCTGCGAGGCGTCAAAGCTAAGCGCTCCAATGTCAAGTGACCTCACGAGCTACTCCATATAAGAACGACATCTTTGACGCCTGTATCCCATTCTATTCTCATATATCGAAAGTCTGGATGCAGTGTACATAAATGCAAAACATATCCTGTGTATCCGGACCTAGCAGCTGTGTTATCCCGTGTATAGATGATCTAATCGAGCACACTGAAATAGCAAAAGTCATGAAAGAAGCAAGCTTGAAGCTCGGTGCATCATCTTCAGCACACCTCCCACAATGGCCGTGGCATCTTGGGCAACGCCGCGGCCATGTTGCGAACCTGCTTTAACCCAACATAGACGACCTTTTGTGACGAGCCGCCCACCAAAATGGAGCGTGACGCCAGGCCGTAGTAGTCGGAGATGGAGTGCGTCAACCAGCGCTTGTACGAGGCGCTCTCATCATCCCCAAAGGCGTCAAACACGACGCCTGTTTCCCCAGAGCTCTCACTGCGTGCTGCGCGCAACGTTGTCGTCTTCTTCTTCTTCTCCTGCAACGCACGCATCGCGTCCGAGCGACCCACAAACACAATCTCCTCCTCATCCGAGTCTAGCTCCTCGCTCTCCTCGGCGGACTCCGCGCCGGACATGTGTGCGTGGACAAACTGCCGCACCGGCTCCTCGAGCGCGCGCACCCAGCCCCGGACAGCGGGCGACCGTTTGGCCGACTCGCGCAGGTCACGCGGCACCTCGCCGACACCGAGGCCGGTGGCGCTCCCGCTGAGCAGTTGCTGCTTCTTGCGGGCGTCCTGCAGACGCCGCGTCTTGTCATCTACGCGGTCACGCACGCCGCGGTCCCAGAACTGCGCTATCTGGTAGGGCACATTGTGAATGGGATGCGTGGGCTGGACCTGCCAGTCGGAGGGCTGCGGGGGCTGTGCATTGGGGACGCCAATGAGACGGTCTATGGGTGTGTTAGTAGGCAGGGGAGAACGATTCTTTTCGCGCCGCGGTAGAACAAAAAGGGCGTACCATTCTCCCAACGGCGGCGCTGTCTGCTGCCTTCCTTGCCCTTGAGGAGTGCCTCGCGACGCGCCATGCTGTCTCGTCGGGAGGGTGGCCGCCTGGGCGGCGTTGCGGGTTCGTCGGCATCGAATTGGACGGCGCGCCGGGCGTCCGCTGCCTTGGCCTCGGCCGCCGCGCGGGCGCGGGAGGGTAGGTGATCATCGATCGGGATGGACAGGGGCGTGCCGGTGCCACGGGCAATGGGCGAGACGCTGAGCGATTGCAGCGCCGATATCGTCCAGGCGTCAATGTCGATGCCCGTGGCGGGTGTCAAAGATGTCTGCGCAGCGTGCGGCAGGGGAACAGGGCTGCCAATGGCCATGATTGCGGGTATGTAATGTGGATTGGAGGGGTCCGGCTACAGGCGGATTCGAACGGTTGCGAGTCTGGGGAGAGGCCGACTCGGCTGTGGAAATGAAGCCTATGCAGGCTCGGCACGAGATATATATTTCGTGCAGTCAATTCCTGGGCTGAGATGGCAGGGTATTGAAAGGCTGAACGCCAGGAGGGCATGAAGCTGAGGAACCGGGCTGTATGACTCCATTGTCGTGATGCGCGAGCATGGGCTACATGTCCTCGGGTTCATTGTGCAGCCAATCAGCGGGCTAGCGCAAGACATGAGGACCGATTGAGTGGACCGCACGTTGATGAAGCCGGCGGGGTTGGCGCTGTTGCCACTTAACTTTTTAATGAATAATGACGGGGTCATCCCTAAAACACCGGACTTATCAATAAACTGTGACGTGTACTCTGTACGTGTTCCTGACGACCTTGCAGACGTCGTCGCGAGGTTGATCTCACTCGGCGTCCAGTCACGAACTGTCTTCCAGAAGGCGTGTAAAAGGTACGCTGAAAAATAGCGATTGATCTAAGCTAAACTCAACTAGCAATGAAACAGAATCCGTGATGCGCCTTATGCATAAAACCTGTTAGTGGTGATTCGACGACTTGTAGGTCTTGTGGGGATTGCCGATGCCGCCGGGCTTCAACAGAGGCTGGCTCTCGCGCGCAATCGCCCGTTCTTCGCGGTCTTGGATGTGCTCCAAGTCTTCCTCGGTTTCCGCGTAGCGTTCTGGGTGCCCGGTAAAAGGCCCAGGGAGACCGCGTTCCCAGCCCTCAGAGTATGTGCGGTTAGCAATAGGTCTTTGTAGGTTGGAATGGTCAACGGGCGAGTCGGCTTCGTTGATGAGCGGGGCACCTTCAGGCTCGGCACTGCGCTCGCGGTGCCGGGCAAGCTCGTAGTAAACACACATAAAGAGCACGGAGCCTTGCATGGCCGCAGTAAGCAAGTAAATGGCCCATGTACTCCAGCCATCAACACCCAGACGCGCATACAAGCTAGCGGTGAACACGAGGCCACCAGGTGTCTGTATACACATCATGGGAATACTCAGACTGCCGGCGTGTTTGAGATGATATGTTGTCCAGATCTGAGGCAGATACTGCACGGCAGCAAGCACGGCCGCCAGGACCCCGAGAAGATGGGCCCAGAAGTTCAGGTGCTGGGGCATGGCAATGGCGAAAATGCCAGTGATGACGATGGTGATAAGGCCGTGCAAAAAGGCAAGCAGTCCCACAGCCGCGGCCGTCTGCCATTTTGGTGATTCGCCAGCGAGTTCGTCTTGTGGAACTACAGCGTCCTCATAGCGGAAGAACATGAGGAAAAGCACGAGACTAAAATGCGTCAGTGGTCCGAATGCCAAGTGTTGGAAGATTTGTGTCCGTACATGAGCCCAAAGCACAGCCACTGCCCGCCGAGTTGGGCAATTCCAAGCATACTAGCAGCACATTCGAGACCCTCAATCTCTTTGCAGCAGCTCATGGCAGCGCGCGAGGGTGCAACGGTTAATATGTTTGCAAATCCGGCTGTCGCAGACGTGGTTCCTAGAAGCACAAAGTATGGCGAAATACCCTCTGCTGTCCCTCGTGAAATGATTCGATAATGTTGGGGGAGATACGAAACGAGAAGTCCAACGAGGATCAAGCTAGAGTTGGGTAGCATATTAGCAATCTGAAGCCATGGGGATATGGGGGATGGGCATGGAGGCGTGACGCACATGGAAATGACGACCTCGAGGTATCTTGGTGTCCTGAAGGCATCGCATCGCGACGCGGCCTCGTCGAACAAGTCCATGACTGCAGAAGAGGCGCAACAACGCCTTACTGTGCAGGAGAGAGAGTGCCGATGTGGAAAGCCGGTTTGGCGGACGAGCTCTGTGATGAAATCTGGATCCGGCCCGCCCGTCACCAAGCGGCGATCGAGTCGGAACTAGCTGTGCGGCTGACGGCAGCGTTTCCGAGTCGCAGAGAGGCGTCTGCCTGATGGGCGGGTGTGATGATCGAGGGCGTGGATGCCGAGCAGCCAATACAGGCAAATGCGTAGAGAGATGTTGGAGAAATGCACAGAGGCAAAGAGGATGAGTGGAGCTGGAAGGGCGAGGTAATAAGGTACGGGAGGGATGATGGTGCAGTCCGGTACCGTGCCTCGACAAGAAGCAACTTGGTACAGTCGAGTTAGCAGGGAGCAGGCAAGCAAAGGCGAAGCGTTGGGTGTGTGTGGACTCTGGACTCTGGAGGCTGCAATCACATCACGCAGAACTTGAACCAGGAGGAAGGGGGCGGGCCTTAGCTATCCGCTCGCTTGTCTGATTGGACAGCTGGATTGGCTGGTCAAGGCTGAGGCTGCCTACAGGCCGCACAAGGCGGAGCTTGGGCCAGGACGCATCGGCTGTCAGGCGCGAATGACGTAGAAAGAGAGGTACTTTTGAGCAATAATGTAGGGAAATCGTGTGGTAACTTGATAAAAGGTACATGGCCCGAAGTCGAAGGCCCACTGGATGCCGCTAGCGACTTTGACTTGAGCGGGCATAACAGCACTGGAAGGTGCCATTCCGGGCGCTGTGCTAGCGGCCACACCACTAAAAGCCCACTAAAACCCCTCCAGAGTCTCCCAAAAGCATTCCCCCAAAGCCTGGCATTCAAGTGACGGCAATACCCCACCGCCCAGACAAAGCCAACGTGCAAATCTCCAAACAGCTTCTTTTGGCGACAAACAAATTACCGCCAATCTTATCAACTTATGCACCCCCAGAACCATGTGTCGATGCATATTGCCATAGCCCCCGCCATGGGACAAATTTCGCCAAAATAATACAGGAGACCCTGACATCCCTCACCACCGGTTAGGTATGGACTTCGACGCGCTGCCGCCAGACACAGCATCACCACAAACCTTGGATGCATCGCCTTTGCCCTCATCCGCTACTGTAATTGCACAGTGTACTGCCAGTTCAAATGCTACACAGAGCGGCCGATTTTTCTATTCTTCCGCCCAGTGGACCGCCGATGGCACATCTCTCTTGGTCGGCTCATCAGACAGCAGAGTCTCAACCTTTGTCCTGCCACCGGACCTCTTAGAAGCCGACTTCGTGCAGCCACTACAGCCCCAAGCCAGCATCCAGTTACCAGAGCCCTCACAATGCATCGCTCCCGCGCCTTACTTCTCTTTATCCAATCCGGCCACGCAAACCTTTCTCGTCGGTAGTCGTGATCATCCGCTGCACCTCTACCATGCTTTCCCCACGGGGTCAGAGAAGCCTGCGCCGTTGTGCATGTACAAGCTCATAAGGCATGAAACAGAAGCATACATTACCCCATCCTCGATCCTTTGGCCGTTACCGGGAACACACTTCTTCTGCGGCTCCGCAAACCGCATAGATTACTTTGACGCTTCTCGACCAGGCTCCGAGGGACCTGTTCACACCATCCACACCATCCCATCCAAGAGACATCTCTTGAAAGGCGGCGGGGTGGGGATGAAGGGTACTGTATCCGCGTTATCCGACTCACCTCCTAACGCTCCTGGCAGCGGTGTTGTGGCCGCTGGCACTTGGACCCGTTGGATGGGTTTGTACGACATGCAACGCGTGGACAAGGCCGTTGCCAATTGGAGCATTGCAGATGCCGATTTGCAGGAATTTGGCAAGTCTTTTGGTGGTCAGGGCATCATGCAAACCAGGTGGAGCCCTTGCGGGAGATATCTTGTCATCAACGAAAGGCACGCCCCCGGCCTCCTCGTCTACGACATTCGCGGCAACGGCAAGCTCCTCAGCGTTTTAGCTGAGCGAGACTGCCAGACGCAACAGAGGCTCACATGCGATGTATTTGGCAGCGTTGACAACAGTCCCGGCTTCGAACTCTGGGCTGGCACGGAAGCGGGAACTGTAAAGGTCTGGGACGAGGTTGGTCTACATTATGGCATCGTCAAACCAAAATGGAGCTGGGGGGCTCACGAAGCACCGATCAGCAGCACCCTTGTTCACCCAAGCGGCTCCGTCGTTGCTACTTGTGCTGGTGCTTGGCGACACCCCTCGGACGACGACATTGACAGCCGGCAGGGCGGCGCGAATGGCATCAAGGTCAAGACCGAAATCCTCGACGGATCCGCCATTAAATTGTGGTCTGTGACGACCCAGCAAGCATCAGAATAGCGCCCGTTTCAGGCCTGTATCCCGTACTAGGAATGCCCCAGCTCCCGTCGGCAGCATGTGCGTCACTCAACCAGGGACACGATGAACAGGCGTCACAATGGGTGTACAGCTACATATGCCAGGATTGGAAACGCCCGCTAACTACGTCTGTATCCGTAACATGGCGTCTTTGGTGAAATTTCTCCGTATTTTCGGCCGAGAAACGCCACCGTAATTTTACCGGCAGCCCTGAAAACGGAGATGGCCGGAAAGCCTCAGCTAAAAGGCAGATCCACAAGAAAGCGCGGCATGCGGATGATTTGCGTCTGGGACTTTCTCCTACCCTGCGTAAACGAGCTGGGGCTGCTGGGTTCATGGCAGCCTGTAGGAGATCTCGGTTCCAGGCTCCCTTGGCGTCCAGGGCTGACGAAAACGGAACATCCATGAACAAGAAATGCTTTCCGTGATTGTCCATTAATTATTGTCCTCCGAGCAGGACATGGGTGTGTTCCCTAATGCCTGGAATAATATCATATCTCGCTATTCGTACTCGCTGCAGACGTGCGCAAGAAACAAGGCTGTTGTAGAGGCGAACATAATTTGCGCGACAATTTCGAGAAATTGCAAGACTTTATGTGTTATAAACTAGTACTGTGGCGGAGTTCGTTTATCCCTGGGTTGTAGATGGTCTTCCCCTTCTTTGCTCTGGGTGCTGCTGCGGTCATACCCAGCCACACACAGCAAGCAACGTCAGTATGACACGAGCAACAATACTGGCAGACAATAGACATTAAACACTACGCTAAGCTCTCAGATCCTAGGCTATGATATAAAAGAAGGCAATCATGGAGAGGTCTGCCGTAGACATAAAATGCATCTCGAGTTTGCATCCAATGATTATGCTTGAACGACCTTCCATGTCGCTGTCGCCCTGCCGCACACACTGCGGAATTGCGACATAGAGATGATCGAAAAAATTAAAGCAGAAGAAAGAGAGAGCGTAATAACGAGAAAGAGGGGGAAGGGTGTGCCGCCTCGATCCGCGTAGAGAAGTGGACAATAAAAGAAAGAAGTGAAGCAGAAAATTAAGATCAGCAAAAGAAATGCCGTAGACACAGTCTGTTGGTCATGCCTTGTTCCCATACTCCAACCCGTCGATCTTAGTCGCGGATTTTCTCACGGCCTTGTCCTTAGCCTTTGCGCACCAGTGCTACTGGGTGGTCTATACACGCAGTTTTTGCCTCAACTGTCCGTTGCTCACGATCGAGTCAGGTTTCGGCTGCGGCCACCGCCAGTCTGCTGCCAGAATGGACGCTCACCACCACGGCGGGGCACACTGCCAGTGTCGACAGAGGAAATTTCCACAATGTTATTGGTAGGGTCGAGGTCACTCTCCTGCGTCAGAGGAGTCTGATCAGTTTCCGTGGTGGTATTAGCGACACCAATAATGCCGCCCTTTATTGCAGGAGGGATAGGCCATGACTCGGAGTCTTCTGTGTCTTCATGGTGGTGATTTCTGGGTCCTGGTGGCTGAGGCGCGGGACGCGTGTCAGTCATGTCGTCCGGGTCTTCGTAGTCATCATCCGGGCTGGCCAGCGGGCGACTAGGTATGGTTAGCTAACGATGTCTTGCTGCGAGGACTTGGTCGCCTACCTGATAGACTTGGGCTCCTCTTCGGCTTGGGGAGTCCTGGACTGTCTTTTGCGGCGCCAGAGGAAGATGCCGAGGGCTAGTAAGAGCGCGAGAGCCAGAAGACCACCAACAACGCCACCGACAATGGCACTAGTATGACTGATTCCTCCGTCATTTTGTGCAGGATCACTGCCAGTGGGCTTACTTTCGCGGCCGAGTGTGCTACTAGGGCCTTTGCCATCACTGCTCGTTTCCGAGGCCAGAGTCATGGTAGGGCGCAGAGAAACGGATACAGTTGTGTAAGCGATAGAAGGTCGGCCCGAGGCCGTAAGAACTACCGTAGTAGCCATGTCAGAGGCAGAGCCGCAACCGTACTGGAAGAAGCCGCCCTCAAAGGTATTCTTATAACAAACATCGCCACTACCACAAGTATAAATGTGAGGGTCGATGACACCATGGCCGGGGTTGTTTTGGTCGACACAGCCGGTGAAGATGCCCGTAGTACAGTCACCTCCGTCGGGACAGCAGCCAATAGCCTTGTTCTGAGCGTCGACGACACAGTGGGAACCGGCCAGGCAGGTCGCGGGCAGATCGGGGTTGCCTCCTATGTAACCGCAGACAGTGTTGAAATCGCGACCCACGAGCTCGGGAATAATGGCTGGTGGCGGTGTCGGGAGAATTTCCGTTTGCCAAGTCGGAGTGTGCTCGATGGAGTTCGATTGTCTCGTCTGGCGAGGAAGCGCATGGCCGGAGACGGGATTACTCATGGCAGACGAGGCGAGTAGAGAGGCAGCAACGGCGTTGGCGCGACGGCGCGACAGTGATTGATGTTGCGCCATGTTGGCTTCGCTTCTATCGTCGTCACAAAGCAGCGAAATGGTGATACCGGGTCGGTCTGTTTGGTTGGTGTTGAAAAAGGAGAGAAAATGTGGCGTTTGTTTGTTATACGTGGCCGAGTAGTACGTGCGTTGCTGTAAATCCTGGCGAGCGATGCAAGTGGCAGCCGACAACCAGCGATGCAGAGCCTGGAGTGGTGCAACACAATAAATAAGGGGGTTTCCGCAAAGAGGCAATAGAGAGAAGAAAAGACAGAATGAGTGATAAGCAGCCGTATACTACAGAGGCATTGGGTGGTTGACCAAGACGGAAATCCGAGCGAAGAAGCAAAAGGGATGGGCAGTCGAGGCTAGGGGGGAGGGCGGAAGGAGGAGGGAAGCGGATGCGGGTGATGAAGGACCAAACGGGCAGCCGCATAGAGAGGCAAGCACATCAAAGATCGTACTGTGGCCGGTGCCCATGGAAACGGTTCGGCTAGTAAGAGAAACGTCCCGAGAAATGTACCTAATCATATGATGAGGGCATAGATTAGCGAGAGGAAACTAAAGAGTTGATACCTAGGCATCGGCGTAGACAAGGAGAAAAATGAGGGCCATCTCGAACAAGGCCCAAGACAAACAGCTGTGCGCCCTGCGATGACTCTGGAGCTGAGACAGGGGTGATTTTTCCTTAAATACGAGCATGTACGTCTTCCTTTGAGAGAAAAACATCGAGTTGGTGTAGGATGGTAGGATGAGGGGCTACAGTGTACTGGGAAGATCCTTGCTATCAACTTGATTGCGAGGGTAATGTCGAACGGGTAATATCAGCTCCGTGGCCGCACCACTGACTGGCTACTAAACCCTGCGGCAAGGTATTCATGTTCATAAATGATTTAAATCTGCTAGAAACATCTCGGAACAAACAGCCTGTGCACTGTACATAGAGATGCCAGTAGCACGGTGCGCGATGTACTTTGTGACTGCTAGGGCGGGCCATGAAAGACAAAAATACGCCACGCGTGCAGGTCTAGTCGGAAAGAAAAGGAATTATGAGTTATGACTTGATGTGCGGTTATGTCGTTTGCTTTTAGCTCTTTTTTCTTCTCCGCTCCTGCACTCCCTGCTGGCCGAGATTCGCGGCGAAGACCCCGCGGTCAAGCGTCGCTACGGCAAAGGAACTCGGCTAGTGCACGACAAGCGTTGCGGTCAGGCTAGCTGTGAGTTCCAACTATACAAAAAAACAATAACCGTGGAATACCTGATCCGAGCCCAATTATAATCTACTCTCAGGAAATGCAGAGATGGCCAGATGCAACATTTCCCAAACAGGCAGTTCCACTCAGCGATGCCCGCGGCGATCTGATCGGCTCCACAAGCCGACAACGGGCCGAAACGCAAACAACACTCTGTCTTCCGTCTTTCGTCTTCTATACTCACCCACCCTAACCGCACCATGCTACCTGCGATGTGAGAACCCAAATCTACGGGACAACCTCCGAGTTTGCACCCAATGCGCCCATTGATTATCCGTACATGCGTGTAAACCCAGTCACTCACCCCGCTAACGACCGCACTGCGCTTGGCATGTTGCTGATGCCTGCATTTGTGCCAGGCTTACAACATCAGTCCATACCAGAATACTTCGAACAAAACCTCGGCTTTCGATATAAACTTTCCATTCTCTCTGATAAGCATATACTGTCGACATCTTTATTCTCACCAAGGCACAACCTACACCCTGTCATGCACTGGACCAAGCTCCCAGCTATCAGCACTTCTTCCACCAACACCGACCCCCGCAGCAGAACCGTCTGTGTCCTCCGCCAACTTGGTCATATTGTCTGTCTCGGTTAAGTTTCCAGCCTTTCCAGCCTTCTTTGTTTCTTTTTTCCTCTTCTTCTCCTCTTTCATCTGCTGCTTCCTCGTCTTCTTCTCCCTGCGCGTCATCCGTGGAAACTCCCCGTCCGGGCCACGCAGAACCAGCCCGGGATGCATCACATTCAGCAACACCAGCGCCAGAACCATGGGCATCGCATCCAGCACCAGCGGGTACGTCTCGTTCGTGATAAGCTTATTGTTCGCGTTGATTCCCGGTCCGAACTCTAACAGGCGGTAAATAACGCGGACCTGGCGTGCGCAAATGGTATCAGTAACGGACGGACTAAGGGAGCAAGACCCCGACAGCGCTGCTGTGACGCTTCCTGGCGCCTTGATCGAATCAATTACAACTCACCATAATAAGCACCAATACCGCCAGCATCGTCCATATCAAAAACCGCAGCCGCCCCATGCTCCGGCCCCGAGAGACCTTTCGCATCCGGTGGTAGAACCACGCCGTCATGACCCCAAAGATGACCACGAAGCCAAGCTGCAGCCCAATGCCCGCCACATAAATCTTCATCCCAATGCTGGTTAAATTTGCATTGTCGTTGTTGGACAGCAGCGCTGCACCGCCCAGCTGCACCAGGAAGCATATGATGTCGAGCCATACAAACAGCACTGTCAACTTGACGGCGCGGATGCCCCAAATCTTCTTCTCGGGCAGGCCATAGTAGACCATGCGAGCGACCGTCATGTAGGCAAAGGCGTTGACCCCTATGACTCTATTAGCTCGCTGATCTGGGGACCCCCGCGCTGGTATTATGTTCACTTACATAGCGGTGCCAGCAGAAAGAGAAGCAGTCCCCAGAGCGCATACTGCCGCTCTTGCTGGTGGTGGGCTCCAATCGTGCGTAGACTAAACGCTGCCGTCTCCCATGCGGCACCCATGATGACAACCCAGCAGAATCGCTTCATTGTGCATGTGTTAGAGTCTTCCGTCGTAGAGCGTGATTATCGGTAGTGCACATCCGTCATACCTTTTTGTGAAGGATTGCCTGGACAATGTGCGTCACAAAACTAGTTCCAAAAATAGCTGCAAAAGCTAGATTCGCTTCGAAACTGGGATTGTCATTGTAATAGGAATTGCACGCATCAAACGGCACATGTCCATATTTATCTGGGATGGCGGTGGTGCAGCTTGGCGAAGCAGCACTACTGGTGGTTGGTGTAGGTGTATTTGTCGTCGAGGTAGCCATGATACTTGCGTGTTGGGATGTAGAATAATGATATTTGGGTCTCATATCTCAACTATACTCGGCTACCGCATCTTTAAATATATATCTCTCTACAATCGTTTAAATCGCATTCCCACATAAACGAGTCTGCTATATATACTTCACATTCCCTCTCCACTCTGAAAAGAGCCGCTTACACCGTGAGGGGCCCGGACGACGGCCAAGGATATAGGGCTTCTTCGCATCAATCCGAAGAATGACGAATAGAAGATTTGTGGCTGCCAGCTATGTAGTTAGCTCGTCCTCATCCAGCCCTATCCAGCCATGGCCGGCGAGGCTGTGGTGGGGGCTCGGCCGCCAGGTACGCGTCAGCCGTCAGCGTGGTCGGATTCACTCGCAAGGCGATTTCTGCAGCCGATAACTGACACTTACAAGCGATTTTCGTCAGAGTTTTGCTTAAATTGGCTACTGCCCAGGTGCCCAAGACTTGAGCAGGGAGGGCGTTTACACCGTTGTCGACGTACCCTAGACAAATCTTGAGAATTTCAAGGTGTGGCCATCGGCTCCGATCTGGGAAGTGAGCCAGTATATCTTTTGGGAGAGAAAGATTTGTCATTCTTCTAGCAAGAAGAAAGAGCTGTTGGTGCTCGGTTTGCAACTATGTTGTGTTGCAGCTTGTGCCATGGGCACTATTCCTACCATTTGATCACACTTCAAACGAGTAGATGCCATTTACAAACGGAGGCTGGCACAAAGTATATTTTTGTGCTCTACTAAAATATAGTATGCCCAGATAGACAATGAGAATCCATATTCAAGAAAATGAAAATTCGAGCAGATGAGTCCTTTACTAAATACAACCAATCCTTCTATGCGCTATAGTGGGCTTCGGCTGAGAGGTACTAGTAACACCACGCACACCTGGTTGGGCACAAGGTCGACTTCACGATCCGTCCTTCATCACCAGTCGTGCTCTTGATGCCCGCTGCATTCGCGGTAGGTAGTCTGTTTTTTTTGCACCATCTTGCTACTGACCTTAGTTAGCATGAAACTCTATTGTCCGTCCTCGACCGTGCGACACCATGGGGGCGCTACCGTCCAAGCTGCGAGGCGGCCTCTCAACCCGTGACGCAGTAGCGTACACGGTTCCCACCTCAGCCATGGTCGCTGCCTTTGCACGTCAAGGAGCCGACATGACGCGAGATGAGAGCGTCGACTCGGCGCCGTCCGACCACCCATTGCCCGTGATTGACGATGTCGACGATTTCCGCTCCATCATCAAGAAGCTCTCCATGTGCGCCATTGCCCCCCTCCTTCTCCCCGTATCCTCGAGGCGTTCATGGTGGCGCCAAAACACCATTTTTTGCGCCGCCTCATTCGCATGCAACCCCCCCAATGTTCCATCGCAGTGCTCATCGACTAACCATCAATCGCATTGCTTTGCACCTGCAGATACTTTTGCTCCGTGATTGAGCTTCCTAGCACGTTCGAGCAGCTGCGCACGACCTCGGCGGGAGCATGCCTGCGCGACCTGGCCAACCACCTCGCCGAGACGTGCCAGAATCCCCTCATCGTGAATGCCCTTCTGTAAGCTCCCGTCTTTCGCCCGCCCGCCCGCGCTTGCTGACGCCGTTGGAACCATACACACAGCGCGCTAAAATGGCACTACGACGCCGACACGCATGAGCAGACGCTCAGCGACTCCCGCGCCTCGGCGTGCGAGATTGTCGCCTGGCGCTTCCTGGCGCAAAAGTCCGACGTGGACGCCATGCGCTTCTGCCTGCACGAGATTCCCGGCCTGCGCGCCGGTCCCCGCCGCGAGGACCGCGGTCGCTCCGACGAGGAGGCGCAGCAGCCCGGCGAGTCGACGCCGCTCCTGCACCGCGCCAAGACGAACCCGGACGGCGAGTACGGCGTCCGTCGCCGCCACGCGCACGCAACCGCGCACGCCGCCACTTCGTCTCGCCACTCGCTGCGCCTAGAGTCCTTCTCGCTGGCCGCCAACGATGCCGAGACCGCCTCGGCGGACGGGGAGGCCGACCCGGCCGAGGTGTTCCGCACGCTCAACGCGCTCGAGGTCGCCGTCGTCGCCGGCGCCAAGCGCTTCCTCGGACGCAACGTCGTGCAGCGCATCGTCACGGGCATCTGGCACGGCGAAATCATCTTTTGGGACTCGCTGTCGGTGCACGCCACCAAGACGCCGCGTCTCTACGACCCGGACAAGACGGATATTTACTCCCGCCTGCGCGTGCCCAAGTACCTCAAGACCTTTGAGGCCTTTTTCTTCTTAATCTTTCTCTACCTCTACTACTCGGTGCTGATCCAGCGCGTGACGGAGAGGATCACGGCCACCGAGGCGGTGCTGTGGGTGTGGATTGCTGCGTTTTGCTACGATGAGTTTAGCGAATGGCTGGATGCCGGGTCCGTCTTCTACGTCACGGACATATGGAACGTGTGCGACTTGATCATGATGCTGCTCGGCTGCATCTTCGCCGCACTCAGTAAGCCTTTTCTACAATGCCGACTTTGTGTCTTGTCGAGACTAACAGTTGTAGGAATCACGGGCGTCATACAGCAAAGCACCGCCATCAACAACACGGCTTTTGACATCTTGGCTCTCGAAGCCCTCTTCCTCGTGCCTCGAATGTGCTCCCTTCTCTCGCTAAACCCCTCTTGGGGCATCCTTATCCCCTGCCTCAAAGAAATGACCATGGACTTTCTCAAATTCATGGTCATCATCCTCATCATCTACTGCGGCTTCCTCACCACCTTTTCGCTCCTCGGCCGCGACCACTTCACGCTCGTCCGCATGGCCGGCGTGCTCGGCAAAATCTTCTTCGGCTCCAGCTACGTCGGCTTCGACATCATGCACGAAATTGACCCCTACTTTGGCCCGCCCCTCATGATTGTCTTCATCACGCTGTCCACCTTTCTCCTCATGGGCTCGCTCGCCGGTCTGCTCGCCAACAGCTTCGCGCGCGTCATGAACGAGGCCCACGTCGAGTACGTCTACGTCTACAGCATCTACGTCCTCGAGGCCTCGACTAGCAACCGCCTCACCCACTTCTACCCGCCGTTTAACCTGCTCGCCCTGCTCCTCTTCCGACCCTGGCGCCTGGTGCTGCGCGGCGACGAGGCCTTTCGCGGCGCCCGCATCTGGCTGCTCAAGGCGACACACACGCCCATTGTCGCCGTCATCGCCCTCTATGAGATGATGACGCGGCGCAGCACCGTCAAGGGCCTGCCGCAGCTCGCCGGGTCCATACTAGATGCGAGCGAGGGCTTGCGTCGCCCAGAGTCGCGCATCGGCGCCGACAGAGCGGAGACGGGACGCCGACGCACGAAGCGGCGGCGAGCTGTGCTACACTCGCAGGAAAGGACAGCCGTTGAGCAAGAACCCGGAGACGCTCATCGTGTCGCCCTGGAAATACAGATTGGGGAGCTGAACAGTAAGCTTGACAAATTGACTGACCTTGTTATAGAGATGAAAGGCAGAGAAGAATCACGCATTGACAGTCAGGACCTATGAACGCAAACCTAAGCAGTCTATAGATATTTCAATAGTTGGTACCAAACAGAAGTAAATTGTCCAACGCTGGATCTATGTCGCTAAGTCTTCGTAGCCCGCTGCTTCCCCTTGATTATGATTTTTCGCTCTCTATCAAATTGCGCTGCCCCGATTCTCTCCACATGTTTCATTGAGTACAGCTCGCCATCTATAGCGCTGCTCCGCTTGGTGGCAGCTGCCAGTACAAGTTGGCGGCCGCTAGAGGAAAGCAGCGTAAGTATATGTAGACTTTATTTCTAGTGAAAAAGAAGAAGAAAAAGTAGTTGAGTTGATGGCTACCAACGATGTTAGGGAGGTGTCTCCTGTTGGCGTGTTGGTCTGGCTTACACGGGCCGTCGCACGAACTCGTTTCACAGCTCCCGTGATATGCCATTCAGCCTTGCCGTCACATCACTACCACATATTCACATGTCAAGGACGTGCTGCATGTTACACTGCATCGGCGCTGACGTGGCTGCGTACAGTATTCATCGAGTTGCACAATGGGAGCCACCATGTATGTGCTGGGCAAGGCGTGGCAAAAGTCATGTGAGGGGCATTACACATTCAGCTGCAGGGAATCGAGACTGCGAAACACAGTTACGCAAAAAGGGAGTAAAATCAAGTTTAGACTGCTGATGGGGAATGAATTGCGTGTTGAGGGTCGGGTGATGATGCCCTGACGAGGAGCGGGTAGACTCAATGAGACGAGATGTTCTATTTTTCTGCGGCCTGGTTCCAAGTCAAATTCAAGAGGACGTGGACATTCTTTTTAATAGAAAAATGTCTTCTTTCGTCTTTTAATACGCTGGCGCACGCGCCGCCCTCGAATGACATCAATAAGCCAACCATTAACAAGCACCCTCCGGCCTGCCCCATTCGCTCAGCACCAGCGTCACATCAATCATTACGACATTTCCCATATTACCACCACTGCATCACCTGCATCACCTCTTTTTAATCCCTTCAATACTCGCCGTCTGTAAATCACGCATCGCTCGGATCGCCGTTGCCGCACCAGACAGACAATTTGGACAGCGCCACGGCTTCTCGCTGGCGTATGTAACAAACGAACCCCCCCAAAAAGAGCCCCCCAACTTGGTCCGCGCCAGCTCCGACTTCGGGAATTTTTTTTTCGTCATCAGTTGGAGAAGCTCCCTCTCTCCTCATTTTTCCGGACCCCCCCCCC